GAACCTTCAGACTATCGAAATGGCCCAAATTTCACATTTTTTTAACTGTTATTATTAAAATAATTGATCCAGGACTTCAACCATTCCTACCTTCAACATATACCCGTACATGTATGCTGCTGTGGATCTCGAATGCAGTGCAAATCTGAAGTAAAAGAATACAGAATAGCAATTATAGATTTTAAAAAATCAACCAATAATTAACTTTGAACTTAGATATAATCTGATCATGCTGTTTGTCAATAAATAAATATTAAAGGGATAATAACTCTTTGTATGAAATCTGTATTTCACAATAAAAACATTGTGAATGACTCATGAAAATATAATATATTCTGATTTCCCACAAAAACAGCTGTTATAGCTATTATTCTGATATCTGAGCTTGTCTTTAGACCACGTGACCTCCATTGATGGCTATACTCTGTTAAAATCTTTTAAGAGATTTTAACAAAAAAACAAACTTTTTAGAAAAAAACCAGGGACTAACTTTGAATGTAAAAATGGATTCATTAACCATTGGTAAGTATGGGAAAATTGTTGTTTACTCCAGGAAAATTCATTTTTTGGCCGAAAGGAAGAGTTATTATCACTTTAAATAAATGAATAAATAAACATTTTAATCAATCAATGCTACCTGGCAAATTTAAATTAAAACAAAATATGATAATCAGTTATTTGGACAGGCATATATTAATGTGCATCAAGTGTTTTTTTGACTTTTTCACATATTTTACTGTAGAAACTACTTCAAGTCATCAAACTTAAGTTATTTTACCATAGATGCCACCTAGACAGAAATACATAAGTAAATGGTGATTTTTCCAAATATGAATGTTTTTATGAAAAATGTGTCCTTTTTTATGAAATTTTCCATTGAGACAAATGTTACTTGTAGCTTGTCAAGCTTTCCTACAGAGGTCCCTACATGTAGTTCTTGATTCTGTCAAGATGAGCTAAATTTCTCATAGTCTTTTTACAACTTTGACTATTCTTCTGCAGTCAGACGTGCGAAAAACATTGAATTTACCAGGGGTTATCAGTTAGGGTCTCGTGCTGCAACATTATTCAACTACAGACTTGACATTTAATATGGAATATTTCAATTTCGAGGGTACGCCTAGGTAGAAATGCGTTCTTTTTTCAAAAAACTTCGATCTCATATAAGACATGTGAATGAAGAAGTGTGTAGTCAGGTGTGTCGCTTCCAATTAACTGAATAACAGGTTTGTTACGCTGCTGCTTTATGTAATATGCATTAAATTAATTGGGTAGTGCTCCTTTGGGCAGGTCAAAGCTTGGCTTTGGCAAAGCATGCTTCTGTCAAAAAAGTATCCATATGTCGGCAACTACTGCATTGAAGAATTTGAAATTTTACATGCAAGTGGTCGGTTTTACCGTGTGTAAAATGAGTTATGCAGTGCTTTACAAATTTGTTAATCTGTGGCAAAATGGCGCGAAAAAGAAAGTCAATGCCAGACAGTTAATTGCGCCAAACGAAACGGTCCGTACAGTTTTACAGTGTAATGCCCAGACTGATGTACCTACATAGAGGCCACACCCAATGTATTAAAATCTTACCACCAGAGTACAGGACCCACTGTCTTTCAGGATATGGTGCTGCAACTAAACAAAAACCACCCAGTCCGTTCAGAATGAGGGGTAAATTGCCACCAAAACGCATTTTTCAAGGCCCTTAGCGAACACCAAACTGGTTTTAGCAGGTTAGAATACCAGACGACCTCCGAGGAACCTACTGTAAACAGCAAAACATCGTTGTATGTTTCTCTATTGAATTGGGGACCCTGACCGTTTCTGGGATGAACAATGAAACCTTGTGGCTTTTATTATTGAGGTCAGATTTCACCTGTACCGCTCAACTTATCAAAACAGAGTTTACAGACATCCAGAAGAGGCCAACGACGAAGTGTGTGCCGCGTCTAAAGTGACTTAGGTCATTAACAGCGTCAGTATTTGAAGTGGATACCACATTGGTGCCAAAACACCAATGGGAGTCATCGACGAAAATCTGAACCAGATTAAATAAAGGAATAATCTGGGGACCACTTGACTATCATTTGATAGGGGGCACCCTAGGAACAATTTTAGGTTGTACGGTGAGATTGCCGGTTCACACAGAGCACTTTTAATAACAGATTACTTAGAGAACCAAGGGAATGAACAGCTACCTTGGTCATCAAAACCGCCATATTTGAACCACGTAGACAATATGTGGGTAGGCCATCACTCGCCAAATGAATGGCCTACATGTCCTACAACAAAACTGGACCAAATTGGACAGATTTTGACCTATCCCTGGAATCTTATTCCAGATTGAACTTTAAAAACCTATCCCAAGGAATGCCTTGCCACTTGAGAGCGCTGGTAGCAGCCAGAAGAGGTCAGACGTAACAGCGACTGTTACTGTGACTAGACACTGACATGAGGGTCCTTTGTGGAGTGTGTAACTCTTTTACAGACAATAATTTGGAAAAAATGGAGATCCAAAATATCTCTTTTAATGGTTGTCGTATGAAGTAGAAAAGGCAATGTGTTTTTGTTTGCTTCTCTGGCGAATTCCATTAATGAACTGATGTCACAATGACATCAAAGAGATAATTAAAAGTTATTAGAACACGATTTTATTCCTTATTTTCATTTATCAGTCAGCAAAATAGGTAAAAACTGATGAAAAATGATTTGGAAAAAATATTCCATATTAAATGTCAAGTCTGTAGTTTACATTTGAACTGTGCTCTCTTGATATAGCAGCGCCACCCAGTGACCAACCTCAACCAGAAATACATCGGAGTTTCTGTTCCTACTGGTGGCAAAAAACCTCCAATTTTCCCACTTAGTTGCCGTTTTTGTGACTTCTTTGCAGGCAAGACTTCATTCGTGAATCTTATTGTATTTTTGTAAGTAATATTTGTTGATGTATGTAGACCTTGTAAGGAATTTATTAACGTTTCATTTGGAGAATATTGTCATTTTCACAGCTCGGCCTCGGGAAATCCCCTTTCGTTTTCGAAACCTTCCCGGCCTTGTTCAAGTTGTTGTATAAACATCAGTCATCGCTTTTTAATATACCGCTAAATCGTGTTGTCTCATCTAAGTTATACGTCATGTAAGTTTTAAATCAAATTTTGTCTGTCTGCAGTGCCCCACTATCCCCTCCCCTTGATCTGTGCCTGTGTGCAACAGCAGTGATTAGTACGGTATAACGAAACTGATCGGGGTCCATGTAACAGAAAGTCCCCCCTCCATTCACTTATAACGGTTGGGGTTCAGCCTGACGTAAGTGGTTCAAATGAATGGAAAGCAGACTCTGTCATGTGGGCTTTCTGTCGTGCTACATATGTACACGGTACACCAGTACTGTATTTAAAAGCACATTATTTCAATTACTGGTGCATCTCATTTATATTAATTCAGCTTCAATTGAGGTCAGTCAAGTTGTTCCTTTTATTTTAAAATGACAGCTAGTATTTTCTTAAGTATAGTACACTTAGCAGGGTTGGATTCAGGATTATTTGAAGTGGGGGGGGGGGGGGGTCCGGGGATGCGAAACTGACCCCCTCCCTAGCTCTTTTGGTATTTTAGAGGGCAAATTAATGGTGCCTTTTGGTGGGGTTAAGAACTATGATTCAGCTAGTCAAAATTGTAATTTCAAGAGGGCACCAATGGTGGGATTTTTTTTTTTTCGGAAATCAAAGGGCAGATCATCGAAGGATGGTTATACCCATCAACACTATCTACTAGTAGTTGCACATGTACATGTTTTATTTTTACCAAGCAACATAGCCAGTTTATGGGAAAAAGTCAAGTTGTCTGTGTTACTTATGACTGTTATTGAACTTATGATGGAGGTGATTGTATACTCAGTTTTTTGTCTTTGCAGCAAACTATTGACCAAAATCCATCAGCAGGAAAGTGAACCCAGAAGACAATCTATGCTATTTTCTGAAGCATTTATTGGACTCTAAAAGAAGGATTGATACATGAAACATAAGAGCAGGTGCACAATAATAAGCATTGTGTCATAAGAGAGAAACAAGCACCAGTTCCCCATTTATATACTGATATAAGTACATGTGTACTTCCTGAACAGTAGAATCAGTTAACAACAGTGTTCTGAAATCTGAAACAGTTTTTACTGTGAAAAATATATTTTAGTCGACATCCCTGAAGTAATTTTGCCCCAATGTAAAAAATGACAGAAAAGAAGAGAAAACACAATAGCAAAAATTTTAAACTCATAGAGATCAAGAGAACTTTAGTTGGTACAAAAGAAAAGAAAAAAAGGAAAAAAAGATATTTAGAAGAGAAAAATAAGCACTCGTGCAATTATGATACTGCAACATGCACAGAATGCATATGAAGTTTTAAGTAACAGTGGGGATGGCATTGTGTTTGGTGGTGCACTACTACTACTACTACTACTACTACTATTATTACCAGTACTTTATTTTATCAATTTACATCCAGAAAATCATAATTATAAAAGAAATATCAGAAAACTTGGAAATGATGATAGGAATAAGGTTGACTGGAGTGGAACAGAGCTTGGTACCATAAACAATTTGAATTGTTTGGAGAATTTTAGCAGCATTAGGGTCCTTGATGTGTCAAGAAACAAAATAACATGTCTTCCCAAAACACTTCCACCACAATTGGAAACACTTCACTTGGGATGGAACAGACTCCATATGTTGCCCGAATCTGTTACAGAACTAAAAAAATTGACATGGCTTCATGTTGCCAGTAACCCAATCAAGAAAATTCCCAAGCGTATTGAAAGATTGACAAATCTCCAACAGTTTTATGTTTGGAGTTGTGGTATAGAGAATGTTCCTGATGAAATTGGGAATCTTGGAAATCTGGAAGTTCTAGATGTAAGTCACAATGCAATCACACACCTTCCTAGAGGTGTCTTAAAGCTCCAAAATCTGAAATGGTTAGACATAAATAACAACAGGCTTACTGAAATTCCAGAACAAATTGCAAGCCTGCAATTCCTTGAATCACTTCGCATCCACAAAAATATGTTGAAAACCATTCCTGATGCTGTTGGACGTTTATCAAATCTCACAGAACTGAATGTCTCAAACAACCAACTTACAGCAATTCCTGTCTTCATTGTGGATAATTTGACCAAGTTGAAGATTTTTGATATTCGTCACAACCAAATTACACGTTTGCCATCATTGCAAAAGCTTGTACAGCTGAAGAAGTTTGATTTTGTTAAAAACCCACTTCAAGAACCTCCTCTTGAGGTTTGTGAGCTTGGTGTGGAAGCCATTTTGCAGTACCAACATGACATGAAACTTTATGATCGTATAGGGGCTAGGTATGGCAGGAGGCAAGTAGTATATGTGATTGGGGAGTCTGAAGTTGGGAAATCCAGTTTTTGTGAAAGTCTGAGACTTCGCCACGCTTTTGTTACTGAAAGTGGGGACTACACTACAGTTGTAAATGAGTCCTTCATTAGTGATGGCAGCACAGTGTTTAATTTTTGGGACTTTGGTGGCCATGACATGTATAAAGTTATATGCCCGTTGCTTCTGAGACCAAATGCAGTGGTGATCTTGATGTTTGACCTCTCGAAGTATGCTTGTACCACGAATGCCTATTATCTTAACAGCATTGGCTTTTGGATCCGCAAATTGCAGTCTCGAATCCCAGGTGTGAAGGTTATGATTGTAGGTTCAAAATCTGATTTACTCACTGAGGAAGAGATCAAAAGTAGGATTCAGGATGTCACAGAGAAAGTGAATCACTACCAGGAACAAGTGTACAAAACGAACATTGAGCACAAACTGGAGGGCATTGAGAGTGAACTTAAAGGAAAACCCATTTGGAAAAGAGAAGAGCGCCAAAAGCTTGAAATGAAAAAGGAAAGTCTGGAGAATAAACTAGACAGCATGCTATGCATTAGTAAGAAAATTTTCGCCATTAGCTCTTTGAAGTACCAAGGTATTCCTGACATCAGAAAGGAACTCCAAGGCATAGCTAATGAAAATGCCCTGCTGCTGCCACCCAATTGGGTAGAGTTTGCAGATGAGGTCATGAAGCACAAGACCAAAGCACAGACAGAAGGGAATTCAAAACCCCAATCACTGCACATGTCTGTGGGAGAGGCCTACAGAATATGGGAACAATGTAATGGATACAGAGCAACCCAATGCACCTGGTTTCAACCCATAAAAGATGCTTTTCACACTGTCTCTAAATTCATAAAAATGCACAGTAAGAAAAAGGCCTTTGAGACCCAGTTGGATTTCCTTCACAAATGGGGTTGTATATTGTGGCATAGACAAAACTCCCGACTTTGTGACTCGGTTATCCATGACACAGGCCGAATGATAGATTTCCTGAAAAGGGTGTTTGATTACAACCTTTTCGAAACCCTGAAAGGAGAGAAGGCCAGAGGATTGTACACCTGCTCAAAGGCACAGTTTTCCAGAGAAATGCGTCTGCTTAAGAAAGGTGTTCTGATCACAAGACTGATGGCCAACATTCTTGCTGATTTTGAAGAGAATGAGCAGGAGTTTTTGTTCTCACTCCTGCAGGAGTTCGACCTTTGCTACAAAGTTCGCTTTGGCAAGGGCACTCAAGGGCTGTATTTCCCATGGTACCTTTTCAAGCAAGAAGAACCTGAAGACCTGCCACATGTCTGGCCCAGTGTTCTAGAAGATGAGCAGATTCAGCTCCAAGTAGAGTTCCATTTCCTCATTGTGGTCCCCATAAGTTATTTTGAAAAGGTAATATTCCATTTTGATAAAGTTTTGAAATATTTAATTTTTAAGGCACATGTAGATATTGTTGATCTTTGTCTATTTCATTCTTGTCTTGAAGCTGCAGGACTACGTACTTATGCATCAATTCAATATATTGTTTTTATAATAAGCTTGGGCTCAAAATAGCTAGCACATGATGAGATTTTTTTCTTATACTAACACTCTATGTCCCCATTCAGAATACGTAGGGGACTAACTAGTCTGAGGGTAAAATATGGCAACCCACTACAAAGCTTGCCATCTAATCTGCTAATAGACACTGAATAGATATTCTGTGGGGAAGTATTCAAGCGGGTCAGCCATATTTGACCCTTGGACAAGTTAGTCCCCTATTCTGAATGGGGCCTATGATTCAAAGCATCAGTCTTTTCTTGAAGGTGATGCAGAAGGAAGACAAGCACACAGAATGACCATGCTGTCATACTCAGTGTAATTGGACACCCCATGAATAAAATAATTTTCTATACCAGCTTCAGGGCCGACTCCACTGCAGTGTTTGTTCATTTGAGGACTCCCAGCGAAGAGACTGGTGCAATGGTATGTTCACCCGGTATGGCAGCTCTAGAATTTTGATCAGACGAGTTCAGGAACAAAATGAAGCCAAGATCGAGGTTGCAGTGAGGGGCAAGATTGTGGAGTTTGAAGAACTGTGGAAGATTCTTTGCTGGATACATACAGAAATGCAGGTTAGTGACAAGAATTCCCCCTCCCTCCCTCCCTCTCTCTCTCTCTCTCTTTCTCTCTTTAGCTTACAGTTTTGCCAGATTGATCAGTGCACAGCCTTAGAGTGCATTCCCAGAGATTTAGATCAATCCATCCAGATTGACCTAACTCCCTGGGGGTTCACGCTAAATTGCTATCAGTCGAGCACGCACCATAGTTACTTACCCCCTTGCAGCTTTTAGTAGGAGGGACAGACATTTAAGCCTGTTAAGCTGACAACAATCTAGTGAGACTCCCCAGGGGGATAGATTGATCTAAATATGTATGGCATTGGGAATGTGGTCCTAGTCACCTTAATAAACTCAAATTCCAAACTGACACACAGTATTATAAATGTTAAGACAAAGATTACCATGAGGCTCATCCCAAAGAAATGATCATAAAGTGTTGATTGACCCAACTCTGCGTAGACTCTTCCTGAATGCTGTCAGCTAGATTGACACATAAAACATGATTCTTCCTGCTGAAAAGCTGGCGATTACATACAGAAAAATTAACAAATTTAGCTTTTGTTTTAGTGAGATCTGGGTGTGTATAAAAATATGTGTACAGAGGAAGCATATTTTAACAAACCTGCTCATCCAGCTTCTAATAAATTTTGGAGTTGCCAACCTATCCAGAATTGACAAACATCCATTGGTCATTCATCATGGAAAATTGCATGCTGTATTCAAATTTTGCACAATTTTGGAAATATTTGGGACGTAGCCACCTGACTACTTGAGAAATGTAGGTGATTGAGTGACACGTACCTGACCGAGCCTTTTCTTCACACTTTTCTTTACAACACAAAATAATGTCTTCTTTCAGGACCTGTTGACAGAATATCCAGGGGAGACATCAGACGTCATCTACCTGTGTCCAGCCTGCACAAAGGAGGGGTCCAAGAAGCCTTTAAAACTACCCTGGGATACAGTCACAACCCTACCAGCCTTTGCCAGCTTTCGCCATTGTATCATCAGTAACACAGTTGCGTGCCATGGACAGCCGAATGCACCCCAAATCCCTGCTGTTTTTCACTACCCTATGCTTAGTTCAAAAGGTATAATTGTACTTTATCAGTTGTTGATGGTTAGGATTCATTCAGATATACTAAAAAAATGCCCATTTGAATCATCTGAAAATATTAAAAATGAATTTAAAACATAGTTTTAAGGAAATTACATTATTAATTGTTTTTACTGTTGTAAATTCATGCTTTGCTTTATATCCCCACTTGCACCCTAGGCCTTTTTAATTTAAAGGGATGGAAAACATTGAATTTTAGGAAGAGGTCACTTAAATCAGATGCACACATCGGTATTATTTCACTATTATAATTAATTATGTTTGGAATGTGTATTCATGTTTTTAAATAGCTATAATTCCTCAATGTCTTTTTATTGACCATTTTCTCATTTCCTGCATATGTCAAAAAGAAAAAGTTAACAAATATCTCTTTTCAGGCTGCTGTAAACAACTGAGAGACTATGAGAAGATTTGTAGGAAGAAATGTGTTCAAAAAGGTAATATTTAGGTCAAATGTTTTGAAGACAGATCCAGGAGGCACATTGGGCATATGGCCCCTCCTCTTCCCCCGGTTTTGGTTGCAGGCCCATAACCGGGGGGGGGGGTTTCAGGGGGTTAGAAAGGACTGCCCTTTTTGCTGGGAAAAGGTTCCCTCTGGGTAAAATTTGATCTAGTGAAGGTTTTAGAGTAAAAGCTCTGCTTTTTCAGAAAAAGACTATATCCCCCCCATGTCTGAAATTGCTGGCTACAGGCCTGGGTTGTATACCTTTCTCTCCCCCCCTCCCCCCAAAAAAATTGAGTGAAACAAGACAAAGCCAAAGAGTAATTCATCCATCACCCCTTTAGAAAAACTATATGGAATCTCTCAATGGTTAAGGTCTACTAAAAAAAGTACTGATAACATGGTTTATTTTGAAGTGCTATGTGAAAATGGATGACTGTGTGCGGTGTAGGGATAGTAAGGAAAGTTTTTGAGTGATAGATTAGCATATTTATTAAAACTGATTAAATTAAATATATTTGATAGCTTTTATACAGGTTAAGATGACAATCACAATTTAAGTTTAAAATTAAAATGTAGATTTTTTTCAGCAAGTTTCTTTGAATGGGAAAAGTTTTACAAATATTTTAATGTTTTTTCCAACTGGAAATATATTTTCTTTGTGTATATGTATTTATATGTATCATTGTATATGCCTTTTTTAATTTTTTAAAACAAAGTGTAGAGATAAAAACAAACAAAAAAATAATGATAATAACACTTAAGGCACACATAATAAAATAAAACAGCATCCATGCTTTATATGTCATTGACTCACTGTATAATATTTGAAGTTGGTCCACTTGCAAGTCATGAAAAGATAATACTGTCATTCATCCTAATAATTATTTTTGTGGTCTTTTAAATTTCCAGACCAGGTTAAGAAAGGCTCTGTCAGGAAAAAGAATTCAAAAAGAGGGAAGAAGGCTACAGTGGTGAATTTGAAGGAAGAACACCATCATCAGCATAATGAAACCATCAACATTTCTGGTAGCAATGGAGTTCATATTGGTGATACAAACATTACCAATGTTCAGCCATCACAAGTGACCACAAGTTAATACTAGTAGATGCACACCTTTATTAACATGCACAATGATTTTTTTATTATTATTTCATTTTAATGTTATGACATTTTAAATTTTTATTGTCATATTTTGCCCAATTTTAGTAAGTCAATATGCACAGTGTATACCCAAGTATATGTGCGAGTATATGCACTGTTTTCAGTACTGTATGATGACTTTGTGGACATTACTAACTATTACTGTAGCATTCCTTTCTGTTACTGTACATGAGGAGGTACAGGGTATGTACATGTATGAGAGGAACATAACTGACAAAGTGACAGCTAGAAGACTTCTAAGTACAGCTCAGTTTTTGGTGGTAGCACATATTTGACCTATATCGTATATGTTGAAAATATGACTTGTTTAACCATGTTATGGTCCTTGAGTGTGTGTGTGTGTGTGTTTGTGTGTGGTCTTAGTCAATAGCTATTTTTGTAGGACGCTTATAGAAGACGTGTATAAAAAGTATTTTGGAAAGTCTATATGTATACACATTTAATGCTCAAGTATAAGTATCATTAAAAATTGTTATTGAATCATCATCTTAAGACTTGCAAGTCTTCATCAATGATTTTAGGGTTGTGTTCTTCTGTGTGTTGAACTTTAATACATAGTTCTTAAGGCACATGAACATTGCAGAAGGCCAGTGAACACTAGCAGTCTAGCTGTTACAAAGAGCTCATCCAGAACAAGTTGATCTGCGGACTAACAGAACCAGGGATCAAGTATGACCAAACCACTTAAAAGCCATGCCGACTAATCCCCTGATGGTCTCCCCGCATTTACACTCTCCATCCCTGCAGGGGTCCAGCAATTAAGCCTTGGAGTCGAGATTTAATCTGTTTAATTGCGGAAGTGGAAGCGGGGACACCACCAGAGGATTAGGCAGCTTGCTTTTAAGTGGGTTTGCCATATTTACTCCATGGATCAGTGAATCCACAGTTCATCTACTCTGAATACACCCAAAGTTTTATAAAAGACTAAATTATATAACTTTCTGTATATAGAGGTCTAAGGTATAGAGCAATGGTTACTGATAATTATGAGTGTGGATTAACATGTTTCATTTATTAACTCAGCTCTATGGAATAATGGGGTTTTTAAAGGCTGCTATGCCTCATTAACAGTTTTTAAACTTGTTGATATGATGTTATCTATCAATCAATCAATAGAATCTGAAATGTTAAATTTTTAATTTTTATTAGTATGTTGCACCCAGTGCTGAGTGCTGGTACTGGGCCTATGTATTTTTATGCTGATTTTTAGGGAATCGACTCCCTTCAGTAGATTTAGAACTACATGTTTATGTAGCAATATAGGATATAGTTTAAATGCATGGCACTCATATAGTATTGTTTATGTACAGACACAGATGTGTCTGTACATATTGCCATCACCTGCGTCTGTCGTCGCCGTTCATGTNGGGGCTCCTCTGCATCCCTCTGGAGCACCGTGAGGTAGATAGCTGGTAAATCATACCCCCCCTGTCTGTTCAGGTCTGGTTGTTTGGTCCTGATGTGTACGGCTTCTGCTATTTTTCTTTGGAATGTCCAGTTTTCCCTGTCTATCACTTTCAGGCTGTCAAAATCTATGTGGTGACCTTGATGTTTGCAGGTATGTTCTCCAAGGGCTGATTTCCAGTTGTTTTTGGCCACTGAGTCTTTGTGTTCTTTCATTCTTGTGGCTAATGGTCTTCCTGTTTCGCCAATGTATTCTCCTTGGCAGGTTCCACATTTGACTGAATATATCACACCACATTGCTCTCCTTGGGTTAGGGGATCCTTGGGTTTCACTAGTGCTTGTCTCAGCGTCCAACCTGGCTTATGGTGGAGTTTGATGTTATATTTTTTATAAACCCAGCTTAGTTTTTCTGACAGACCTTGGCAGTATGGTAACACTATACTTTGCTTTGCACCCTCAATGAGGCCCATTGCATCCTTTTCTTTGTCATGTCTGTTCTTGCCTCTTTTTTCCCCTTGTTTTAGTGCCCATTTTGGATATCCACATGCTAACAGGTCTTTTTCAATCTTCTTCCTTTCTGTTTGTTTGTCTTCTGTATCCGATATCACAGTCTCACATCGGTGGAAAAGTGAAGCTGGTACACTAAGTTTTTGCGAGGTTGGATGATGAGACGACCACTGTAAGTAGTGATCTGTGTTCGTGGCTTTCCTGTACACTGTAGTTTTAATCCGTTCTTTGTCTTTGGTCATCTTTATATCTAGCATTGGCAGAGAACCTTCTACATTTTCTTCTTCTATTGTGAAGTGTATGCTTTGGTGTTGTGCATTAATGTGTTCAAACAGTGCCTGCACATGCGTCTTCTTGGATACCCTAGTCATTTACTCCCTGATGATGGTGACTGACAGTCACAGAAATATTGGAGGTAATACCCACATATTTTACAAGCTCTTGATAAAAAGAAAAACAATAATTTGAATTTATACATACAGAGCTAATGAAACTGTTCTCTCAGTTTCACTAATGTATTGGTTTGTTCAAATATAGCAGGTCTAAAACACGTAACTCTCTGTCTTTATTTTTTAAAAAGTTATAATAGGTTAATTTGCATGCTGTTGTTTTTATATGATATTGGTAGATATTTATCATATGATATTGCATGGAATATATTACCAAATTCTTAATATCAAGAAATAATCTTATCACAAAATATTATCTAGGTGTTGCTGGTGGCCTGACCAACTTATCCAAGATGCCATCATGCAATGTCCTAGTCCTTGGAGCACAGAAAAGAACTTTGTCAGGCTTTTCCACCACAGCAATTATGCCTCACACAGGTTATATCTATTACTGTGAGCTTGTCCAGAACACTCCCCCTGTAAGTTATGTGTGGTTTTGCAGACTAATTTGTAAATGTTTGTTAATATTTGATATGTAATTTAATAGTGTTGTTTATTGTGTTGTTATTAGAAGAATGGACAGGTGAAAGAAAGCATGCATCTGATATCACACACATATATTAATGCAACTGCATGTGCATGCACACAAACACACACACACACACACACATGAGAATAGATAGGTACAATAAGTTTTGATTAACATTTCATCCAGGATATGAGGCGGAAAGCTGCCAGGTTAGTTGCAGGGAAGTGTACGCTGGCTGCACGCGTAGATTCATTCCATGAGAGTCAAGACGGAGCAATTGGAGACCAACTCAAAGCTGAAATAGAGCAAAAATTAGACAAAATGGTAGAACCACCCCCAGTGAAACAGGTCAAAGCTCTTCCTGCTCCTATTGATGCATCCAAGAAGAAAAGAGGAGGACGAAGGTGGATTAATTTTATTTTTTTTATAAAGATTGTTTGTCAGAGATGAATCTTATTTATATATTGCCAATGAACATCAATGAACATCATTTTAAAATTACTTAAAAATAAAACCTTTTTCCACAGAATTGTATATTATAACAGGGTTTTCTAATTGTACTTTACAAAAAACATATGATATGGATTTGCTGTTTGTTGATCAATGATTATTCACTTTTACTATCCTTTTTAGGGCGAGAAAAATGAAGGAACGGAATGGTATGACAGAAATGAGGAAAGCTGCAAATAGATTAAATTTTGGAGAGGTATGTTTGCAAAAATATACTTATCATTATAAATACTAATCATTATAAATAAGAGATATTAATGACAAGCATTGCATTTGAGATGTAGAAGGGATCCTGGGAAATTTTCACTCTGATGAGCAGAAGTCAATCTAGTACTTAGATATTAGATAAGATACTCTTATTTCAATGATCCTTTGAGAAATTCATCTGATTTTGAATTCTCTTTTTTTTTTCAAGATAAGCAATTTGTGTGATATAAGTATTATTCTTCTCTTACAGATTGAAGAGGATGCATATCAAGATGATCTTGGGTTCTCTTTGGGAACACTGAAGAGTAAATCTGGTCGCATTAGAGGACCACCAGTGGACTCGAAGACTAAAGCCAGAATATCCAAAACACTGCAGGTAAATAAAGCAAATAAAGAAAGAGAGATTAAGAGGTTAATTGAGAAACTTATTTAATACAAAAGTCTCAGAAATAAATTGAATATTTTTGCATGGTGTCCACATCTTCATATTGTCTATTAAAATTTATAGTTTAGATACAAATTTACGTTATTATCTTATTTAATTATTTGTTCATTTATTATTATTTTTGTAGCAAAAACTTCAGAAACAGAACGTGACATGGGGTGGCAGTACAACAGTGAAGAAACATGTGTCAGGAACAGCATCCAGTGTAGCGTTTACACCTTTACAGGTATGATGTACCACTATAAGTCCCTTTGCATTTATTTATATTTTACACATATATATTTTTAATAAAATGTTTATATATCGTGCATTCCAAGTGGTTGAATAAACTCAGAATATTGAAAGAGTTTCATTGTAGTGTAGATAAAGAAAACTTCTAAGGCCCGTTTTTGTTAAATAACCTCTGTATGAAATGCAGCATGATATTTAATTATTTATGCCATGTTTGTTTCTTATTACTATAAGGGTACATTTTTTCACTTCTTATTCTTTGCATTGTAGTCAATGTATCAATTATTCAAATATTTATGCTATTTTCATTCATAATCAACAGGGTTTGGAAATCGTCAATCCACAGGCAGCAGAAAAAAAGGTACAGGAAGCCAACCAAAAATATTTCTCCACCACAGCAGGCTTCTTAAAAATTAATAGATCAGACCAGAAATGATGAAAATCTTAACACAAAACAAACCTCATTTTACAAATTGCAAGTGCAATTCCACCAGAGTTACAAGTTATGGTTTCATAATGCCCCTTACATAAGTGAATGTTATGGCATTATGTAGCATGCAGATAACCTTGAGGATAAATGTCATTTTCAACTGCAATGTACCAGTATCAGATGCTGTGGTTTTACGTACAAAAGTTGTATGGTTTATCACATGGGTTGGAAAAGGTCGGATATAACTGTTCCATTAAAACCTTGAGACTGATTCAGAAGGTGTGCAGAGACTAAAAGATTGGTTGAAGAAAAGCAACAGAAACTTTTTGAAATGCAAGATTTTAATAAATTTCTAATTATCCATTGTGCAAGCACAGATCTTGTCGTTCTGAGTTCAGTTAAGTTGATTATGTGTACATTCAAAGCAATTATCCATATTTATTAGAACCCATAGTATTAAATGGACAAACAGTGATCAGGAAGATTGTATTTCTTTCAAGTTAATGATAACTACTTCTATAAAATTTTGTCTACAAACAAAGATGGCATTTTCATGAAGAGAACAGATAAACTCCTTTTTATTTACCTACTTAATGTAACTAACTGATGTCTGATGTGACTTAAGTCCTACTATAGTTATTGTGAACAGATATTATTTATTTCTAGCAGTTTGAGCCAAATAGTGCTCAACATCCAACTGACAGTTGAGTCATATATGGTTCCAAGACCAACAAGCAGTTCAGTTTTGTCTTTCTGATAACTACAATATTAACTTTTGTATTTTTCATCATGTTTCATTTAAATACATATTGAACTTGCTATGCAAAGAAAAGTATGTGTTGTGTGTAATCAAATGAAAATTGTACGCTTTACTGTATCATGTAAATAGACACTGCCTACAACAGAGGGCAGTTGAAAGAAGCAGCTAGTGTACTGACAAAGCAATAAAAGAAAGTCTCTAATAGTAATGGTTGCTAAGAATAGTCATAAGAGTGGGCAAAAATTTGTTATCGAAGTGGTGATAATGTAACAGGAACTGAAGCTATAAAAATAAAGGTTACATATATACATAGCTTAATTGTAGTCTCATTTCATAATGGCAGAATGGTTTTACCCCAAAAAGTCGAATATACTGGAAGGGCATCATCTCTGAATTTTGTCTTTGCTTTTCCACTGGGGAAGTAGGTTCCACTATGGAACCTTTGGACCAATGAACCCTTGATTAAAAAACGATGAAAATGTTACCATATTTTGGACCAATGAACCTTCGGACTATCGAGACGCCCCCTTTCCACCACACGATTCAGCTCGAAGGTCACGAAAGCAACATACGGGGTCAAAGTGGTCCTTACAGATACTAGCATGTTTCAACACTACACTTGGATCTTTTAACTTCAAAGCATTGATCCAAATTTGGTGTTTTGCTGTGTCTGAAGGTAGAACAAAATATCTGACGTCTTTCTAATTGTATCCTTGAATATTGCACCCGTTTTTTGCGTTGAATTATAGTATATTGATTTATGTTGTTAATAAATTAGTTAACATTTTGTGCGTTTTAGAAAGCAGTAAGTCTTTAATAATCACACTGCTAAATACGACGGATAAGCAGTTCATAACTGTTACAATAGGCTAATTATGGACAGAAAATGTGGACATCTTTGGCCATTGCCTGCGTCTGTCACTGACTTTGCCATGTTGTGCAATTTTTGGTATTTGTTTTTCATTTTAAAACTCGATGAAGAAGAGGTTAAATCGTTTTGCAGTACTCATGAACAGGACTATAACAAAGCAAGGGTTTACAAAACAATCCTGAGTAGATTACAATTCTCCATATTATGGAATTATTTGTAAAATTTTCATTTTAACTGACTGACAATGGGTCTGAAGCCCAGTGCTAAGCTCAGTGCTAATTACATTTCCTGCAGGTGGCCGGTACACGCTTCTAGGCGTTGTGGTAGTTGAGACGACCTGTATTGCGTTCTCACGTGACCATCGGCCATAACAAGACAAATGTATGCAGAATGATGTGCGATGAATGCGAGCTCATAGCTTCGCTTAGAGTCGTTGGTTCGACCGTAAAATGTCAGGTCCTGTAGAGCGATGGCTGGAGACATTTATGTGTAAACAATATGCTCCTGCATTCGAAGCTTACGGCTACAGAACGTTAGAATCGGTAAGGCATGTGTCAATTTCTCAAGTTACAAAATGGCTGCCCAATTTCGTATTTGCCCTCGAAAATAATACAGTCATTTCGCATTCGTTTTACAGGTTTGTCAACTGAGTCTTAGCCAGTTACAATCGATTGGAGTAACCCCTGATCACTGTGATAAGATTTTAGAGAACGTGTCAGTGCTTCGGCAAACATTAATGGGTAAGTATTAACCGTAAGTGGTTTATAAACCAAATCGCCTCCCAAGTCAAGTTAAATCAGAACATTCGCACTTCAGGCAAAATATCCGTACCAGAGCCTCAGCCTTCCTTGAAGAGTTGGAGGAGTTGCATACAGAGCAGGGAACAGAGTCCATTCAAACATGCCCGCACCACACTTCCCTTTCAAGTTTTGACAGATCACACATTGTCTTTAAATTTGTGAACTAAAAGAAATTTGTTATTTATCAAAATCAGCTAAATTTTGTCATGTACAATCAATATAGTGAAATATAGTCTATGGAAACTTGGGTATGTATTTGGCCTAGGTGATTTTTTTTTTTTTTTTNATGTATTTCATTTTCCAGATGTTATACACAAATTTTTGAGGGACATTTACTCTCAGCGGTTCCCAGAATTAGAGTCATTAGTTCCTCTGCCATTGGATTACATAAAAACTGTCAAGGTGAGAGCACAAGTTGAACATATCTCATTGACCTGTTTCTGGAAATGTAAAAATGTTTTTTGGTCAAAAAAAAAAAACAAAAAAAAAACATTGATATGGATTTCTTTATTAAGACATGTGTCTCTTCAATGGTTTAAGATGTCTTATAAATGAGTATTTAAAGGTACATACGAACCGAGCATCGGTGGAGTGTGGATTCCCAGTAACACATATAAACCACTTCTACTAGTTTCTTATGTGACTCAAGTAAATTCGACATGCCAAGGGATAAACTGAATAGAGCACTCGATCAGCCATAAAAGAGCTTTAGACTGCTCCTTTCTTTAAATTTTTGGTTGTAAATTTAACCTACTTTCGTGACCCACTTTCCTGCCCCATTGACATACAGCTTAGAATGTTAGCAGAAAAATCCGTTCAAACATCATTTTCGGGTAAAATTAATGAATGCCTTTTGGTAATTCTCTTAGTTATACTACTTGAAACTATATGCTGGCATTTGGTTGGTTTTTGTGACAAAAAAATTGACTTTGTATGCATCTTTAACATAAATGTTTCTTTCAGGAACTTGGAAATAACATAGATGATTCAAAGAAAAATGAAGCATTACAAGATATTGTAACCTCAGCTACTATAATGGTGGTTAGTGTCACTGCTTCAACCACTCAAGGGTAGGTTCCTAAGGTCGGCACTGTCAAGGAAAACATTTGTAAATTTTCTCACAAGTCATCATAATTTGGAGAAAAAAAGTGCCTGATATTATCCATGAATTAACAATAAAGTATGGGTTATTTTAGAGGAAAATTTTCATTGAAAGGACTTTAATTTTTAGTATTTTTGCCTTTTATATTCACTACATTTAAAATTTACTTAATCATGAGAACAATTTAGTTTTCTTTCTGGTGTGTACATCTGAAATTCATATTGTTTTTAACCTTTTGACACCTCGTCCAGTAAGAATACTCTAAACAAGGAATGAAAAAGTCGTATGAAATTCCCTTTTTGATGCAAAAAAGTCTTGATTTACCATGGACTGTAAATTATCTTGACACACTATCTCAATCAGCAATTATTTCAATTTCTGGAGAAGCACTGTGTCTTGAGGGCTATTTATTTATTTATTTATTTATTTTTCTTTTCAGAACACCACTTTCCCAAGAAGATCTAGAAAGGGTGATGGAAGCATGTGATATGGTAAGTTCTTGTAGGAGTACATATATCTTTAGAATATTGTGTATAATGTACAAATTAATTACTTCAAACTCACTGCATCTTTACTTTAGGTGGCTATAAATTGATAAGTAAGTCTTGGAATAGAAAGAAGATAATGATACTTTATGATAAACTTGTCCACAGTTTTTGAACACTCACATGTGCTTAAGAGTGGCCAGTGTCAAATATATCAGTAGTCAAATTCAGTACTTAACCATGATCTGAGAGCTTATATTACCCTTATGATAAGATATATGAATTGCAGTTAAAATAACTTTTCTCCTTTGTTGAAGTAGTAAATGGTTTATTTTGTATTTTTTAAAGTTGGTTGGCTTAGCATCAAGGTGTCATTGAATTATTTTTCCTACATAACAGGCCATTGAACTGTGTGGCTTCAAAGAGAAGATTTTCCAGTATGTAGAGTCCAGAATGACTTTTATTGCACCTAATCTTTCCATTATTGTTGGCGCATCTACAGCTGCAAAGATAATGGGTTAGTGCCAAATAGTTTTACTAATGTTCTAGTTTGTTCCAATATAGCAGGTCTAAAGCACATAACAATCTGTCTTATTTTTTTTATAAAGTTATAAAAGGTTAATTTGCACGCTGTTGTTTTTATATGATATTGGTAAATATATATTATATGATATTGCATGGAATCTTATTACCAAATTCTTAATATGAAGAAATAATCTTATCACAAAATATTACATAGGTGTTGCTGGTGGCCTGACCAACTTATCCAAGATGCCATCATGCAATGTGTTAGTCCTTGGAGCACAGAAAAGAACTTTGTCTGGCTTTTCCACCACAGCAATTATGCCTCACACAGGTTATATCTATTACTGTGAGCTTGTCCAGAACACTCCCCCTGTAAGTTATGTGTGGTTTTGCAGACTAATTTGTAAATGTTTGTAAATATTTTTGATTAATATGTAATTTAATAGTGTTGTCAATTGTGTTTTTATTAGAAGAATGGACAGGCAAAAGAAAGCGTGCATCTGATATTACACACATATATTAATGCAACTGCATGTGCATGCACACAAACACACACACACACGAGAATAGATAGGTACAATTAGTTATGATTAATATTTCATCCAGGACATGAGGCGGAAAGCTGCCAGGTTAGTTGCAGGGAAGTGTACGCTGGCTGCACGCGTAGATTCATTCCATGAGAGTCAAGACGGAGCAATTGGAGACCAACTCAAAGCTGAAATAGAGCAAAAATTAGACAAAATGGTAGAACCACCCCCAGTGAAACAGGTCAAAGCTCTCCCTGCTCCAATTGATGCATCCAAGAAGAAAAGAGGAGGACGAAGGTGGATTTATTTTATTTTTTTATAAAGATTGTTTGTCAGAGATGAATTATATATATTTCCAATGAACATCATTAGGTAAAACTTTTTTCCACAGAAATGTATATTATAACAGGGTTTTCTAATTGTGATCTATAAAAAACCATGTGGTATGGATTTGCTGTTTGTCTATCAATGATTATTTTCTTTTACTATCCTTCTTAGGGCAAGAAAAATGAAGGAACGGAATGGTATGACAGAAATGAGGAAAGCTGCAAATAGATTAAATTTTGGAGAGGTATGTTTGCAAAAATATACTTATCATAATAAGACATAGAGATATTAATGGCAAGTATTTTATTTGAAATGTAAAAGTTCAGCTCCTGGGAAATTTTCACTCTGATGAGCAGAAATCAATGTAGTACTTACATATTAGATAAAATACTCTTATTTCAGTGATCTTTGGAAAAATTCAGCTGATTTTCAATTCTCATGATATTTTTCAGGAAAAGCAATTTGTGTGATATAAGTATATTCTTCTCTTTTAGATTGAAGAGGATGCATATCAGGATGATCTTGGGTTCTCTTTGGGAACACTGAAGAGCAAATCTGGTCGCATTAGAGGACCACCTGTGGATTCAAAGACTAAAGCCAGAATATCCAAAACACTGCAGGTGAATAAAGCAAATAAAAAAAAGAGAGATTAAGAGGTTGAGAAACTTATTTAATACAAAAGTCTCAGAAATAAATTGAATATTTTTGCATGGTGACCACATCTTCATAATGTCTATTAAAATTTATAGTTTAGATACAAATTTACGTTACTTATTATCTTATTTAATTATTTGTTCATTTATCATTATTTTTGTAGCAAAAACTTCAGAAACAGAATGTGACATGGGGTGGCAGTACAACAGTGAAGAAACATGTGTCAGGAACAGCATCCAGTGTAGCATTTACACCTTTACAGGTATGATGTATCACTTTAAGGCCCTTTGCATTTATTTATATTTTACACATATATATTTTTAATAAAATGTTTATATATCGTGCATTCCAAGTGGTTGAATAAACTCAGAATATTGAAAGAGTTTCATTGTAGTGTAGATAAAGAAAACTTCTAAGGCCCGTTTTTGTTAAATAACCTCTGTATGAAATGCAGCATGATATTTAATTATTTATGCCATGTTTGTTTCTTATTACTATAAGGGTACATTTTTTCACTTCTTATTCTTTGCATTGTAGTCAATGTATCAATTATTCAAATATTTATGCTATTTTCATTCATAATCAACAGGGTTTAGAAATCGTCAATCCACAAGCAGCAGAAAAGAAGGTACAGGAAGCCAACCAAAAATATTTCTCCACCACAGCAGGCTTCTTAAAAATTAATAGATCAGACCAGAAATGATGAAAATCTTAACACCAAACAAACCTCATTTTACAAATTGCAAGTGCAATTCCACCAGAGTTACAAGTTATGGTTTCATAATGCCCCTTACATAAGTGAATGTTATGGCATTATGTAGCATGCAGATAACCTTGAGGATAAATGTCATTTTCAACTGCAATGTACCAGTATCAGATGCTGTGGTTTTACGTACAAAAGTTGTATGGTTTATCACATGGGTGGGAAAAGGTCGGATATATCTGTTCCATTAAAACCTTAAGACTTGAAGAAAATCAACAGAAACTTTTTTAAATGCAAAATTTTAATAAATTTCTAATTATCCATTGTGCAAGCACAGATCTTGACGTTCTGAGTTCAGTTAAGATGATTATGTGTACATTCAAAGCAATTACTAGTATCCATATTTATTAGAACCCATAGTATTAAATGGACAAACAGTGATCAGGAAGATTGTATTTCTTTCAAGTTTATGATAACTACTTCTATAAAATTTTGTCTACAAACAAAGATGGCATTTTCATGAAGAGAACAGATAAACTCCTTTTTATTTACCTACTTAATGTAACTAACTGATGTCTGATGTGACTTAAGTCCTACTGTAGTTATTTTGAACAGATATTTATTTCTAGCAGTTTGAGCCAAATAGTGCTCAACATCCAACTGATAGTTGAGTCATATATGGTTCCAAGACCAACAAGCAGTTCAGGTTTGTCTTTCTGATAACTACAATATTAACTTTTGTATTTTTCATCATGTTTCATTTAAATACATATTGAACTTGCTATGCAAAGAAAAGTATGTGTTGTGTGTAATCAAATAAAAATTGTACGCTTTACTGTATCATGTAAATAGACACTGCCTACAACAGAGGGCAGTTGAAAGAAGCAGCTAGTGTACTGACAAAGCAATAAAAGAAAGTCTCTAATAGTAATGGTTGCTAAGAATAGTCATAAGAGTGGGCAAAAATTTGTTATCGAAGTGGTGATAATGTAACAGGAACTGAAGCTATAAAAATAAAGGTTACATATATACATAGCTTAATTGTAGTCTCATTTCATAATGGCAGAATGGTTTTACCCCAAAAAGTCGAATATACTGGAAGGGCATCATCTCTGAATTTTGTCTTTGCTTTTCCACTGGGGCAGTAGTAATAGTCCGAAGGTTCATTGGTCCAAATGTTCACTATGGAACCTTTGGACCAATGAACCCTTGATTAAAAAACGATGAAAATGTTACCATATTTTGGACCAATGAACCTTCGGACTATCGAGACGCCCCCTTTCCACCACACGATTCAGCTCGAAGGTCACGAAAGCAACATACGGGGTCAAAGTGGTCCTTACAGATACTAGCATGTTTCAACACTACACTTGGATCTTTTAACTTCAAAGCATTGATCCAAATTTGGTGTTTTGCTGTGTCTGAAGGTAGAACAAAATATCTGACGTCTTTCTAATTGTATCCTTGAATATTGCACCCGTTTTTGGCGTTGAATTATAGTATATTGATTTATGTTGTTAATAAATTAGTTAACATTTTGTGCGTTTTAGAAAGCAGTAAGTCTTTAATAATCACACTGCTAAATACGACGGATAAGCAGTTCATAACTGTTACAATAGGCTAATTATGGACAGAAAATGTGGACATCTTTGGCCATTGCCTGCGTCTGTCACTGACTTTGCCATGTTGTGCAATTTTTGGTATTTGTTTTTCATTTTAAAACTCGATGAAGAAGAGGTTAAATCGTTTTGCAGTACTCATGAACAGGACTATAACAAAGCAAGGGTTTACAAAACAATCCTGAGTAGATTACAATTCTCCATATTATGGAATTATTTGTAAAATTTTCATTTTAACTGACTGACAATGGGTCTGAAGCCCAGTGCTAAGCTCAGTGCTAATTACATTTCCTGCAGGTGGCTGGTACACGCTTCTAGGCGTTGTGGTAGTTGAGACGACCTGTATTGCGTTCTCACGTGACCATCGGCCATAACAAGACAAATGTATGCAGAATGATGTGCGATGAATGCGAGCTCATAGCTTCGCTTAGAGTCGTTGGTTCGACCGTAAAATGTCAGGTCCTGTAGAGCGATGGCTGGAGACATTTATGTGTAAACAATATGCTCCTGCATTCGAAGCTTACGGCTACAGAACGTTAGAATCGGTAAGGCATGTGTCAATTTCTCAAGTTACAAAATGGCTGCCCAATTTCGTATTTGCCCTCGAAAATAATACAGTCATTTCGCATTCGTTTTACAGGTTTGTCAACTGAGTCTTAGCCAGTTACAATCAATTGGAGTAACCCCTGATCACTGTGATAAGATTTTAGAGAACGTGTCAGTGCTTCGGCAAACATTAATGGGTAAGTATTAACCGTAAGTGGTTTATAAACCAAATCGCCTCCCAAGTCAAGTTAAATCAGAACATTCGCACTTAAGGCAAAATATCCGTACCAGAGCTCCAGCCTTCCTTGAAGAGTTGGAGGAGTTGCATACAGAGCAGGGAACAGAGTCCATTTAAACATGCCCGCACCACACTTCCCTTTCAAGTTTTGACAGATCACACATTGTCTTTAAATTTGTGAACTAGAAGAAATTTGTTATTTATCAAAATCAGCTAAATTTTGTCATGTACAATCAATATAGTGAAATATAGTCTATGGAAACTTGGGTATGTATTTGGCCTAGGTGATTTTTTTATTTTTTTTTGGGGGGGGGGGAGGGAGAGTCTGTTTAAGAACAGATGAAGCAGCTGTATTGAGGATCATGTGCCCTCAAGTGTCATACAATGACAGGTGTTGTGAAATACAGTGTGAGTGTTATACTATAGTAACTCCATCTTCTATGTTACCACATTCAGATGGACCTCTCACCCCTCTCAGACAGATAATATATACCTGGTGACATTTTGGACCTGAACATGGCATGCGCATGTATATGTGTGTGTGTATGTGTGCGCATCCAGTTACCTTCTGTATATATGTGCATTTGTGCTTGTTCCTACAAATTGCCATAACATAAGACTTAAAATATTGCTATGATGAGAAATATGGAACTTGCTTGGGCATAGTGGAGTTGTGACCAGTTGTTAAAAAGCACTAGACTGTAGGTCTCTTAATTACTGTTATTATCACTAATCATTTGTTGGTAAGTTCCTTAGTGTATCTCTGTTCATTCAGTTGAAAGTCTATAGAAATGACTAGTATGTGTGCAGCCCTGAGAGGCCCATGTTATCCTCTGCACATAATGTGACACTGTTGTTATTTTTCTCAGGGGCTTAGCCAGGATTTTCAAATTTTGATTTGGCTAGAAATTTTCAACTGTTAAAACAAAATTCCTGCTCCTCTTGGGTTATTTGTGCGTCTGCTTTGAATTATTGTAGAAGACTCTAAAATCCCCTTTCACTAATGAGCTGATAGACTTGATATAGTTTGACTTTATTCACATCAACTGTCTTATATGCAGCATCTGACTGTTGCAAATGAATGATGGTACTTACTTATAAGATAAGAAAAGAGTAATGCTGTGAAGAAACTGCTTGATTTATGCCAGAAACATCATTGAAATGAATTTAAATTCAATTTATCAAAAACTTGTGAATTCATACATCCCAAATATGATTAGAAAAGGGAAAATAAAAGGCCTGTGCAGCTTTGGGCCCAGCATAATATCAGATGTCCATAATAAGCTTCATGTAGCAGAGATTTTTCAATAAAGCAGTTAGCTGGGTTGAGTTAGGAAAAAATCGATATAAGAATTATACAGACATTCAATACAAATTTTGATGTGAGCTGCAGTGTCAGACTGTGCTACAGCTGAATAGTCAAGCAGGTTGTTATTTGGGGCAGGATTTAATTTATTTCTGGATATACAATTGTTTGCTGTTAGGGATGGGAATATTGAGATGTAAAACCTGTCAGTAATGGTATACATTTTGCTTATTAGTATGGTATTCACAAACCCCTGTCATTGTGAATAATTTTGATCTTTGAATATGAACTGATGTAGAAGTGTATACTCTTAACTAAGTGACCTAGGTAATAATAGATCTTATGGATTGTAAACAATTACACTTAAAATAGTACATATAAAGTTCATTATGTATACAAAGTATGGTCTGTTTTGGTGAACCTTTTTACAGTATTTATTCTCTTGGTTAAACTAAAAAAAGAAGTGAAGAGATAATAAAATGAGTGCTCTAGATGATAGTGATTTTGGCCACTGTTGGTAAATCACTTGGTATGTTGTTAAGAATAACAATAAAGACAGCTTAAGTGCATGAAAGGAGTTCTGTAGGATAAAGTGATGAAATTCAGTTCAAGTTGGAAGCTCATTTTTCCTTATTAATCTTTTAAAATGTTTATATTTATGTTTTGTAAGAAAATTGAAATATAATGGAAAGCATTATAAACAGGAGCACAAGAGGGGTGAGATCTATATAAGTGACCATATTAATGTAAATATGAAGTACTGTATTTGGTATATGGCTTAGATGCACAATAAGGTAACTTTAGTAAATTGAATGCTGTTTGAACCAAGATGTTTCATTCCATTTTATTATAGTTCATATAAAGCAGATTGGTTGTCTCATCCACAGATATTTGCATGGAATATTAACGCAATATCATTACAAGCTAGAAGGGAATGCAATATTGAATGTAGAAGAACTAATCCTTTGCTTAGCAAAGATTTGTTTATATGGAAGTTCTCCAATGACATCCCCCATAGTACATAGCACAGATGTTGAAAAAGGTGAGGCAAACATTTTCCACAGTTGAACATGATGACATACTGCAAAAGGAATCTGCCATTATCATTTTGCTCTTTCTCTTTCTCAAACGAGAAAGGAGTTCAGATACAAGTTCTTCCACTGCTGCCATTATCATATGCAGCTCTGTAAATATATGACAACAGAAGTAGGTCATACTGATACAAAACATGTTGCTGGGTGGAAAGTGGCATTTATTGCTGTCTTTTGTGTGCTAGTCTATAGGTTTTCTGTGCTCTGGATAAAGATGGTTCATATATGCACATGGTAATTGCTCTGCATCTATATCAAAAGGATGTTGAAGAAAGGAAGAAAAATGGANCCCCCATAGTACAAAGCACAGATGTTGAAAAAGGTGAGGCAAACATTTTCCACAGTTGAACATGATGACATACTGCAAAAGGAATCTGCCATTATCATTTTGCTCTTTCTCTTTCTCAAACGAGAAAGGAGTTCAGATACAAGTTCTTCCACTGCTGCCATTATCATATGCAGCTCTGTAAATATATGACAACAGAAGTAGGTCATACTGATACAAAACATGTTGCTGGGTGGAAAGTGGCATTTATTGCTGTCTTTTGTGTGCTAGTCTATAGGTTTTCTGTGCTCTGGATAAAGATGGTTCATATATGCACATGGTAATTGCTCTGCATCTATATCAAAAGGATGTTGAAGAAAGGAAGAAAAATGGAATTTGACTCATGACTTTGGTGGGAGATTGCCCTTTTGCCATAGCGGTAGAGCTTTGTCTATAATTTGGGAATCTCTTCCCATTTCAGGCATCCTGGTATTCATACTATGAAATAAAAATCTCTAATTTTTTTATTATAAGTTAATTTTCTAAATCGACTTTGGATAGGAACTTGAACCTCACTCTTCATTCATTATTGGTGTAGTTTTCCAGATAAAAAATTGCCTCATAAGCTTCTTTGGGATGAGAAATTGGCTGAATGATTTTGTGAAGATAAGATTGGTCCTTACCTTCAAGGCTTGTTATTATAAGGGATTTGCAAGATAGATGTAAATGTGCCGAAGTCCTCCTTGAACAAATAAGTTACAGGTGGACCCATATTGGTCAAAGATGCACCTGCTGGGTAGGCCTAAGCACAGTGGCATACAGGCACTAGCTAGCACATGGTTATGGTAATTACCCAGACATTTTATTTCTTTCAAAGACCCCAGGATTCATAAAATAAGTTACACCCAAACTCATTTACTACTGGAACACAATCCTTCTTTTGTAAGTTTTGAAATAAATACTTGAGAATTGTCAAGAAATATTTTGTATATTGTAAAATAATTTTGCTCAAATGTTGTGAGAAATCGGTATTAATATTAGGAAATATCCCATGGCCCTGTGAAATAATACCTTCTAATGATCTTGATCCTGTCCTTTGGAGAGGATTTTTTTTTTTCACCTTTAACTATTCTCACCTGCATGTGACCATAGTCTTCAGCATTTTATGAGGCACATTACCAGTGAAGTTGAGGCTGACACAACTTCATTAGTATGTTCAATCCTAGCAGATTGTCTGCAAACCATTAGTCCATGTAGATAGCTAATATAATCCCTCTTTTATTCTGCCTACCATCATTGTAATTTATGGAAGCCACAATGGTATGGTTCTTAAGCTTTGAAATCAGAATCTGACAATTCTGCTGAGATAGTGTTTACTACATTAGGATGGTTTAACTAGTAGAGATTGCAACTTTATAATAAAACATGATGTGAACCTAGGACATAATTTAGTACCAGACTGATGGCAGGGATTGTAGGCATCTTCGATTTTGAGCCTTCTATCTTTATTTCAGTGATGGTGATATCTTTGAAGTCAATAATGAAAAAATAGATATTCATGGAATACGATTCTAGGAACTTATCATCTTGATGTTTGTTTTGCTTGATATGAAGACATACTCTTTCCACTGCCTTGTACTTCATTTATAGTTATATTTTTCACATTGCTTATTTTTTGTTGGGCAAGTTTGCATTTTACCCCATTGCTACATCCAGATTCCTTATTACCAGCAAAGCACTTTCATCACAAATGTCATCTCTTAAAAAAAAATTTTTTTTTAACATCTGTGTCACTTTCATTTTTTTTTTTGTTTGTTTATGTAAACCTTTTTTAATTTGTGGTGCATGACTGTTGCGTATTTAACCTTTCTTTCACATCCTGCTTTGTAGCTGCTTCTTACTTGTTTTTTGTTGTCTTTTTCTGTTGTTTATAGCTGGTAAAGCCCCTGGTACCCCTGCAGTAGATCCTGTAGCCAACCCAGCCAGTTCTGCCCTTATTTCTATGTCGGTGAATGCAAACCGAGGTAAGCTTTATAACTGTTGGAGAATTGGCCAGTGGTCCATTGTTAGTACTTCCTTTCTATTTCATATGAGTAGTACATTTAGATAACCTGTTTTCCTCAGTGAGACAGATAGATGGACAGTTTCGCCATTAAGAAAGACCCAGTGATATTTAACTCCTGCCAATTTGACAAAGAAGACAATATGTGTAGTGAAACAGTATACACAGCTATTAGTACTTCAGGTTCCTGTGAATATGTTTGTCATCTGGGTTATTTTCACCTTCCTATTTCAATCATTACACACCACCAACAACAAAATGATTTTTATGTACAGACACAGATGTGTCTGTACATATTGCCATCACCTGCGTCTGTCGTCGCCGTCGTCGCCGATGGTGATGCCGATGCCGATGCCGATGCCGATGCCGTGCACTTTCCTTGTAAACACGATAAGTGGAACACAGTTTTATTTTTTGCTTTTATATTTACAGAGCTGATGAATATTCATAAAATGCAGGTCAAGTTCGAAAATCAGCATGATCGGGCCATTATAGTAGAAGTTATGCTGTTTTTTTCACTTTTCAGCATATATACAACCCTGTAAACACATTTTAAGGAAAACCGTTAGGCCTGTTGTCATGAAACTCACAGGAGTAATCAATCTTACTAAAACGCAGGACAAGTTTGAAAATTGGCATGATTGGGCCACTATTTTAGTAGTTATGCTGATTTTTTCATTTTTCAGCATATATGCAACACTGTAAACACAATATAAGAAAAACAGATAGGCCAATTGTCATTAAACTCACAGGAGTGGTCAATCTTACTAAAACGCAGGTTGAATTCGAAAATCAGCATAATCAGGCCATTATTTTAGAAGTTATGCTGTTTTTTCACATTTCCTGAGATTCAATTCTTAGGCATGTTAACAGTCTCATTATTGAACTAATAAGATACGTAAAAGTGTTTGTTTGACATTTCCTGCATCTTTACAACATTGTTAGTTGATTATGTAAAAATTATGGTAAACTTGTTATCGTGTTTTGCGTAATAAAGTGTCAAAAATGGAAATAAACTCATATCATTGCAGTTTGTCAGATTCAATCATTCACTATATTCAGAATCTCAGAATGGAAGAAATTGGACATTTAACACTGCTCTATTGATATTTTTCCCATCTCATCAATTTTCTTAGTTGATCATATAAAAATGGCAGTAAACTGTTAATTTTGTTTTATGTTAAAAATTGTTAAAAATGGGGAAAAAACATTTCAGAACAGTGCTGTCTTGTTGTTATTATTGGATTATTTCTCATATGCTGCAGCACCAGAATTTATACATTAGCACAATATAGAAGGTCTTCAATCTAACTTTCTTTAATGTTGCAATATGAAAGTGGGTCAGACGGTATCTTCTGGTAGGGAATTTATTCTTGAACCCTGTATATTGGATGAATATCAAGTGCATGGCATTTAAGATGGTTTTTTATATTTGCATGACTTCTCTTCAATTGGGCTTAAGAACGAGAACATACACTGTAAAATAAGATGGAAAATTATTCTTAAATGGGATATATGTGCTCCGAGTTACATGTGGGTAAAATGCTAAATTCATGCAAGCTCGCATAGGCCTTTACTGTGAAATGAGTGTGTTTGACTTTATGTATGGAAAGCATCATGTATGAGATATAAGGATGACTCAGTATGATACCAATCAATATTGACTTATAGAGAAATCTCTTCAGTTTGTGGTCTTCAATATGAAAATGCAGTGTGCTACTGAGTGTATGTATATGCTTGCATCTATTTGACCTCATCACTGCAAATAGACTACCATGCTCCTTGACTTTTGTGTAATGTAGGAGATTGATACTTCATTCAAGCTGTCCTCCATACAAATATTCATTCCCCTGCAGATGCCATATTGAAAAACCAAACTTGATATGTAATGCTCTTACACAATGTACCTTTTCCACATTTCTGGTCCCTCATGTAAGTGTATTTCCAACCTTGATCTTTGTATTCTGTAGTGTAGGCAAAGAAGTTTATATTTAGTCTAGTGTAGGCTCAGATAAGGTGTAATATTTCAGCAATCTTGCCAGTCAGTCTCCATCCCAGCACCACAGATTCTGTAATGAAACTGTTTATCCATGGCACTTGTCATTTTGATGCATTGTAAGGCAGATAGATAATCGATATCATTGACATATTTTTTTTCTACAATGGCAATTTCTCTTCTTCCAGGCACCATGAATCAGTATCTGGACACCTCGAGGCCTACTTATATTCCTGAGAGTAACCATTTGCCCTATCCACAGCATGGACCAGCTCAGATGGTAAGTGGCTACTCTGGGCTCACACTAGTATTTTGAAGAATCTGCCTGTAGCCAAGAATAAGAAGAAACTAGGATAACCACATATATTAACTTGATGAACAGTATCATGGCGCCATTGTCTTTTGTGCACAATTGTTCATAATTTGCAGTCTATTTTTCTCAGGCCTCTAGGAAGGGGGTGTTTAAAATAAAAGTGTCCTTTTTGGGGGAGAAGATCTGTTCTGAATCAAGAGTAAACTAAGAGGGTTAAAATGTCCAGGTTTTTTTTCCAGAGAAGAACTTCCCCTTCCCCTATGAAATTGATGGCTACTACAAGTCTTTCTACAGATGAAAAATCAATAGAGATGTTCACTGTCATATCCAGTATTTGCATTTGTTTCATGGGAGATGATAAATAGCAGTTTTTCATTTTCATTTTACAGGGTCCTATGGGCCATCAGATGCACTATCCGCAACCTTACCAAGGTCAAGGTCAGATGATGTCACCTCATCATTANCCTCCATAGTACATAGCACAGATGTTGAAAAAGGTGAGGCAAACATTTTCCACAGTTGAACATGATGACATACTGCAAAAGGAATCTGCCATTATCATTTTGCTCTTTCTCTTTCTCAAACGAGAAAGGAGTTCAGATACAAGTTCTTCCACTGCTGCCATTATCATATGCAGCTCTGTAAATATATGACAACAGAAGTAGGTCATACTGATACAAAACATGTTGCTGGGTGGAAAGTGGCATTTATTGCTGTCTTTTGTGTGCTAGTCTATAGGTTTTCTGTGCTCTGGATAAAGATGGTTCATATATGCACATGGTAATTGCTCTGCATCTATATCAAAAGGATGTTGAAGAAAGGAAGAAAAATGGAATTTGACTCATGACTTTGGTGGGAGATTGCCCTTTTGCCATAGCGGTAGAGCTTTGTCTATAATTTGGGAATCTCTTCCCATTTCAGGCATCCTGGTATTCATACTATGAAATAAAAATCTCTAATTTTTTTATTATAAGTTAATTTTCAAAATCGACTTTGGATAGGAACTTGAACCTCACTCTTCATTCATTATTGGTGTAGTTTTCCAGATAAAAAATTGCCTCATAAGCTTCTTTGGGATGAGAAATTGGCTGAATGATTTTGTGAAGATAAGATTGGTCCTTACCTTCAAGGCTTGTTATTATAAGGGATTTGCAAGATAGATGTAAATGTGCCAAAGTCCTCCTTGAACAAATAAGTTACAGGTGGACCCATATTGGTCAAAGATGCACCTGCTGGGTAGGCCTAAGCACAGTGGCATACAGGCACTAGCTAGCACATGGTTATGGTAATTACCCAGACATTTTATTTCTTTCAAAGGCCCCAGGATTCATAAAATAAGTTACACCCAAACTCATTTACTACTGGAACACAATCCTTCTTTTGTAAGTTTTGAAATAAATACTTGAGAATTGTCAAGAAATATTTTGTATATTGTAAAATAATTTTACTCAAATGTTGTGAGAAATCGGTATTAATATTAGGAAATATCCCATGGCCCTGTGAAATAATACCTTCTAATGATCTTGATCCTGTCCTTTGGAGAGGATATTTTTTTTCACCTTTAACTATTCTCACCTGCATGTGACCATAGTCTTCAGCATTTTATGAGGCACATTACCAGTGAAGTTGAGGCTGACACAACTTCATTAGTATGTTCAATCCTAGCAGATTGTCTGCAAACCATTAGTCCATGTAGATAGCTAATATAATCCCTCTTTTATTCTGCCTACCATCATTGTAATTTATGGAAGCCACAATGGTATGGTTCTTAAGCTTTGAAATCAGAATCTGACAATTCTGCTGAGATAGTGTTTACTACATTAAGATGGTTTAACTAGTAGAGATTGCAACTTTATAATAAAACATGATGTGAACCTAGGACATAATTTAGTACCAGACTGATGGCAGGGATTGTAGGCATCTTCGATTTTGAGCCTTCTATCTTTATTTCAGTGATGGTGATATCTTTGAAGTCAATAATGAAAAAATAGATATTCATGGAATATGATTCTAGGAACTTATCATCTTGATGTTTGTTTTGCTTGATATGAAGACATACTCTTTCCACTGCCTTGTACTTCATCTATAGTTATATTTTTCACATTGCTTATTTTTTGTTGGGCAAGTTTGCATTTTACCCCATTGCTACATCCAGATTCCTTATTACCAGCAAAGCACATTCATCACAAATGTCATCTCTTAAAAAAAAATTTTTTTTAAACATCTGTGTCACTTTCATTTTTTTTTTGGTTTGTTTGTTTATGTAAACCTTTTTTAATTTGTGGTGCATGACTGTTGCGTATTTAACCTTTCTTTCACATCCTGCTTTGTAGCTGCTTCTTACTTGTTTTTTTGTTGTCTTTTTCTGTTGTTTATAGCTGGCAAAGCCCCAGGTACCCCTGCAGTAGATCCTGTAGCCAACCCAGCCAGTTCTGCCCTTATTTCTATGTCGGTGAATGCAAACCGAGGTAAGCTTTATAACTGTTGGAGAATTGGCCGGTGGTTCATTGTTAGTACTTCCTTTCTATATCATATGAGTAGTACATTTAGATAACCTGTTTTCCTCAGTGAGGCAGATAGATGGACAGTTTCGCCATTAAGAAAGACCCAGTGATATTTAACTCCTGCCAATTTGACAAAGAAGACAATATGTGTAGTGAAATGGTATACACAGCTTTTAGTAATTCAGGTTCCTGTGAATGTGTTTGTCATCTGGGTAATTTTCACCTTCCTATTTCAATCATTACACACCACCAACAACAAAATGATTTTTGTTATTATTGGAATATTTCTCATATGCTGCAGCACCAGAATTTATACATTAGCACAATATAGAAGGTCTTCAATCTAACTTTCTTTAATGTTGTAATATGAAAGTGGGTCACACGGTATCTTCTGGTAGGGAATTTATTCTTGAACCCTGTTTATTGGATGGATATGAAGTGCATGGCATTTAAGATGGTTTTTTTATATTTGCATGACTTCTCTTCAATTGGGCTTAAGAACGAGCAAATACACTGTAAAATAAGATGGAAAATTATTCTAAATGGGATATATCTGCTCCGAGTTACATGTGGGTAAAATGCTAAATTCATGGAAGCTCGCATAGGCCTTTACTGTGAAATGAGTGTGTTTGACTTTATGTATGGAAAGCTTCATGTATGAGCATATAAGGATGACTCAGTCTGATACCAATCAATATTGACTTATAGAGAAATCTCTTCAGTTTGTGGTCTTCAATATGAAAATGCAGTGTGCTACTGTGTGTATGTATATGCTTGCATCTATTTGACCTCATCACTGCAAATAGACTACCATCCCCTTGACTTTTGTGTAATTTAGGAGATTGATACTTCATTCAAGCCGTCCTCCATACAAATATTCATTCCCCTGCAGAAGTCATACTGAAAAACCAAACTTGATATGCAATACTCTTACACAATGTACCTTCTCCACATTTCTGGCCTCTCATGTAAGTGTATTTCCAACCTTGATCTTTGTATTCTGTAGTGTAGGCAAAGAAGTTTATATTTAGTCTAGTGTAGGCTCAGATAAGGTGTAATATTTCAGCAATCTTGCCAGTCAGTCTCCATCCCAGCACCACAGATTCTGTAATGAAACTGTTTATCCATGGCACTTGTCATTTTGATGCATTGTAAGGCAGATAGATAATCGATATCATTGACATATTTTTTTTTCTACAATGGCAATTTCTCTTCTTCCAGGCACCATGAATCAGTATCTGGACACCTCGAGGCCTACTTATATTCCTGAGAGTAACCATTTGCCCTATCCACAGCATGGACCAGCTCAGATGGTAAGTGGCTACTCAGGGCTCACACTAGTATTTTGAAGAATCTGCCTGTAGCCAAGAATAAGAAGAAACTAGGATAACCACATATATTAACTTGATGAACAGTATCATGGCGCCATAGTCTTTTGTGCACAATTGTTCATAATTTGCAGTCTATTTTTCTCAAGCCTCTAGGAAGGGGGTGTTTAAAATAAGTGTCCTTTTGGGGGGAGAAGATCTGTTCTGAATCAAGAGTAAACTAAGAGGGTTAAAATGTCCAGGTTTTTTTCCAGAAAAGAACTTCCCCCTTCCCCTATGAAATTGATGGCTACTACAAGTCTTTCTACAGATGAAAAATCAATAGAGACTGTCATATCCAGTATTTGCATTTGTTCCATGGGAGATGATAAATAGCAGTTTTTCATTTTCATTTTACAGGGTCCTATGGGCCATCAGATGCACTATCCACAACCTTACCAAGGTCAAGGTCAGATGATGTCACCTCATCACTATAGCGACCAGAGCAGCATGTACATGCCTCATTCCTCACAATATCCTGGACAGCAGTCGTATCCAGGGTTCAGGGCTCCATTTGGTAGTCATCCTTCCATGCATCACCCTGGCAGTGCAGACGGGATGATCCCACCATCACCCATGCATCACCATTTAAGAGGTGTGTCTCAGCAAAGTTTACAGACAGGTCCACTACAAGGAGGACTACAGTCTGGGCTACAGTCTCCTCAGCAGATTGCAGACAGCATTTATCATATGGCCTCTTCCGGGTATAGTCCAGAGGGGTCTGTGCCTAAATATCCTGGACTTGGACAAGGTCTTGGACAAAGCCCCATGAGTAGGTCACCACATTACGGAGCTATGATGAACAGTCACCCTGGTGGACAGTCCTATAGGCCTACTTACTCTGCATACCCAGGGGCATCACCCTCCATGTACTCTGGGAGAGGGTCATCACCCCCAGGGTCTATCCATGCTCAAAGCCCTGCCGCATCATTGCACAGTAATCATAGTATTCACAGTAATAGCCCAGGGCCTAATCAGAGTCCAAGTATGATACGCTCTCCACTGCCCTCTCCTAGCGTGGTTGGGATGAGGTCCCCCACCCAGGGACAACCTATCAGGTCTCCTGGTCATCATTCTATGAGATCACCTCTTCATCATCCCACCCCAGCTGTTAGCTCACCAGCAACTCAACACCAGATGGCATCACCTGCACCCAGCGGGAATATCTCATCACCCAGTCAAACCAATCATTACTCACCACATGGTTCTCTAGGGTCACCAGCTCACACCAGTGCCACAGGACCCCCACATAGTTATGGGAATAACTCTCATAGTAATACTACTTCATATAGCGATTTGTCTACCTCCAGTAAGTCTGGTTCTTATCCTGGGTCTAGGGAGTCTGGACAAGCGGCCAACCCCTTGCAGTCTTTACAAAGACTTGTAATGCTGCCAGAGGCAAGGGTTGTTGATCCTAAGAGTGTGGTCAGTGATGTTAGTGGTAATGGGGGAGGAGAGGGTGGAAAAATATACGATGGGCCAAAAAACTGTGTAATTGGGACTGGCCCTTCTGAAGAGGCTAGTCCCAGGTATAATAATAATCGTGTCAGTTGTATGGATGGAGTGCATTGTGAAACTACTTCAGGGCAGGAGTCAAGTTTTGGTGGGAAAGCACAAGGCAGTACAGATAAAGTGAATCGTAGTGATAATGTTGGTAGCCCTGAGTGTATTCCTTTAAAAAGGACAGACTTTCACCACAGCTCACCTTACAGTATTGCCGAAAATGCCACTGCTTCAAACTCAAATTGCATTGGAGAAGAAAATGTGCAGGCTGATAAATCTGCCATTGAACCACAAAATCATCGTTATTCTCAGGAGAATCATGTGACTAATGGTCCAACTAATAATGATACTTTGAAAAGTTCCAGAGAATCTGAACCCGATAAAAGTAAAAAGAAAGACCAAAGCCCGGCTCCAAAAGGAAATTCCAGAAAACGACAAAGGTTTCATTCCGGAAGTAGTCACACAAGTGAGGGGAGTCTTAATGCAGATTTGATGCAAGAAAATTATAAAGATTTGCCAGGTGTAGAGTGTCCTGCAAAGCCAAAGAGAAAGTACACAAAACGGAAATCTGGTGCAAAAGAACAGATCATAAATGACGAATCCTTAACTGTTCACAGTTCAAAAAATGAATCTGAAATCAAGAAAGATGCAGGTCAAATTAAAGCCTCTAAAAGTCCCAAAAAGCGTGGCAAAAAGTTGTTAAATGATAGTACGGTACAAAATGAGCAAGTGGAAGGAAAATTGTCACACAGTATGGGAGAAAATGGATTCTTAGAGAATATTAAAAATGGAAAAGAAGTTAAAAATTCTAAAGGAAAAAAGAACCTAGACTCCATTATGATAGACAGTGATGATTGTCTAGAACTCAAATCCCCATCTAAAAAAGGCAAGGGTGGACGTCCAAGAAAAAGTATGGATAAACCAAAAACTGCAAAACCGAAAGGGAGACCCAGGAAGTCTGTAGGTACTCCCAAGGGGGTTAAAAGTAACCTTGTACATGATGATTCTGGAGGGAATATTGATGTTTATGAAATGAATTCAGATTCTGAGTTAGATATCTCAGAATCTGTTGAACCTGATTTTGTTCCCATGTTCCGTGTTTCAGGAGTAGTGAAAACTTACGAAAGGACTCCTCAGAGTATTTATAAACCAAAGGTCACAAGCCCAGATCATTGGAATAGTGTCACAGGGGATCAGGCCACACCAGTGAACCCACAAATTGAAATGCCCAAACCCAATAAAAAGACAAAAGAATCCACAAGCAAGTCCAAGAAAGCTGTGAAAGGAAAATCATCAGATAGTTGTGAGGAGGCTTTGTCTGCAGAAAAACTCAAAGACAGTAAAAAGGGATTGTCAGAATCCATTCATAATGTGTCATTAAATAACAGTGCTCCTGCCTTATCAGATTTGCCTTCCTCAGCCAAAGGGGCTAAGAAAAATGGTGCCAGAAAACAAAAGGTTAAGTCCTCTGACTTAGCAGCAAATGACAGTGGTAAAAAGAAGGTGAGGAAAAAAATAACTCACCAAGTTTTTTCTCCAGAAACTATCGAAATCCCTGATGTGTTATCTTTTGAGGATGAAGGTGAAGATAGAGAAGTGTCATCATCCAAAAACAAATATACCAAGAAGCAGGCATCGAAAAGGCCTTTGGATAAAATAAACAAAGTTGCCAACAACAAGTTCAATGATGAAAAGACTCTTAAAGACGAACTTGAGGGAGATGCTTCTCTGGAATTTGTAGAATTAAGTAAGGACAACAGAGATATTGGAAAACAAAAGAGAATAAGAAATCCATCAAGTAAAAAAAAGTCACCTGGAAAGAAAGCAACTTCTGTTGAAAAACCAGAGTCCATTGATCAGACAGTGGAACCAAAAGTTGGTGAAAATGATAGTCATGCACAAACTGATGTCACCAGTTCTCAATTGGATACTGCAGTAAGGTCTACAACAGAGCCTATGTTGGACACTTCACATCCAAGCACGTCGCAAGATAGTAGTTTTGCTACACCTGCTAGTACTGAACCAGTGAAAAAGAGACGGGGCAGACCCCCAGGTAGTAAAAACAGCACACCAAAAAAGGAAAGATTGAAAAAGGACATCAAAAAGGGACGCAAGAAGAAGGGCCAGGAGGATGTGTATGACTTCAACACGGACAACGAGGAACTGAAATCATTGAAGTTGAAAAGAACATTTGACATGATGTCAGGGAAAAAGAAACTAAATGCATTAAGTTCCCACTACCAAGGACCTTACATTCACCTAGAGGGGGACCCCAGCCATCCCACCTTGTGCACTGTGGTGAACACACCAGAGGACAAATTAACTGCAAAATCTTCCAAGAGACAAAAAACTGTGGCAGCAGTTGTTAACTCTGAGGCTGTGCGCACATTAACTGAAAAAGCTGCCATCATTCCATCATCAGTGTGTGCCCCTACTGATTGGATATGTGCCTTGTGTGGTAAAGGCACCCATCATGATGGATTAGGTGACCTGTATGGTCCCTACTATCCTGAAGGGGCGGCTCCAGAAGAGGAGCCAAAACCACCCAAACACAGAAAGCGACGCGACTCTAATGCCTCTGTAGAGAGCAAAGAGATGAAAAGGCGTAAATCTATCAGTAAAGATAGCATTGGATACAAAGACTATTGGTTTCACGAGGATTGCATCACATGGTGTGATGGTGTCTATCTCCTTGGTAACAAAGTTCATGGATTGGAAGATGTTTTGAGCATTGCTGCGCACACAGTAAGTACTATTTTAAGTGCACACGTCTATATATTTGTCAACAGCAATTTTACGATTGTTGATTCCAATGTGATGTCAAAGATACTGTTTAATTGTCATGCTTGATTTAGTGGTTCTATGTTGAAAGTTCAAAATCCAGAAATGTAGAAACATTATGAGAAATGAATATTGAAGCTTGATCACATTAAAGTAAGATATTAAATACATTTTATATTAAACTAGAATAACATGGTAAATTGACACATGCATAATTTTTTTTTTTTTTTTTTTTTAATACAGATGTGTATAGTGTGTAAGCAACCTGGTGCCACTTTGGCTTGCTTCAACAAAGGGTGTGCCCAGAAATATCACTATGGCTGTGCTGTTGAGAAAGGTAACGAGTTTCTCAGTTGTACAAATTCATATTTTCATGGGTCAAGTTCTGAAAATTATAGTTATTATGTAAACTTGGTAGTATTGATAAATTCTTAAGTTATGGAAGCGCAATGTTTTATTGGAGTTTATGATTTTGGGATATGTCAGAGTTAAAAAGTTCCTCAGCAAAAAAAAATGTACAGTATGTTGTTTGGTAAAAGTATAACCTGTATTACTATTTGATATTTAGAAGTACTGCTACCCTCAAGATCAATAATGCCTTTGTTGTCATGATGTATAGAAAATATGGTAATTTCTTACTGTGGTGATTTACCACATCTTGGGGTGTATAAAAACTGGAAGATGCCCCCTCACTATTTTGTGGCTCTAATTTGAAATTTGATTAATGTCTTGTGTGCGTGGGAAAGAGAGAGAGAGAAAAAGAGAGAGGTATTTCGAATTAATCTCTTTTGTAACTGGAAGGTTTGTCTTTTGTGTTAGCCCGTATGTAGACTGAAATGTTCTACCCCCCCCCCCCCCCACTTCTATTATCATCAATGAAACATTAGTCTTCAGAGTATCACATTTTCGTTTATTTCAGAGTGCCATTTTGATGATGACAATTTCAGCATAGTTTGTACAAAGCACAAAGTAAGAGTTATACAGTTTTGTCATAATCCATGTGTAAAAAGTTAAGCATTTAGTAAGATGTGATATGAAAGCTGTTCTTATTGTTGTTGATAAATACCTTAGACTTGGATAAAGGCAGTAAAGTATATTCATGTAAAGTCTTATGTTATCTTCGACCAACAAGGAAGTACTTAAGTATTATGATAATTTATAAACAGATAAAATGTTCATGAGAAGATGAAGAGTAATAAAGCTGAGCCCTTTGTTGTAGATATTCAAAGAAAGATGGTAATGGCATATTTTCAGGATGAAGAATAAAAGCTTACAAGAAGTTATTGTTATTAGATTCCATTCTGTTATTTTCAGGAAAAGAAAGTAAAAATGCTGGGAACACCCAATCCTCAAACCCCAGACAGCTTGAAAGCACTTTGACCAAACAATCAGTAAAGAAGGTATAAGGTTTATTTCATTATTGCCAGTCTAAGTGGAAAAACTTTTTAATTTTGAGTTTAAAGTCAAATGAATTCAAACTGAGTCCTAAGTGCATTTAAATGAACTGAGCAGAATTACTTTTCTTATTAAACAGTGGTCTTTGGTGAAAAAATTGATTGTGCATGGATATTGAAAAATAATGAAATGTATGCATAAAATATTATAGGATAATTTAATGACAAAAAGGTTACAAATATTTAATGCAATTTATAAATGATATTTTAAGATTAAACATTTTGTTCTTTGCAGGTTGATATTGTCTTCACTGGGCATCTGTGTGAGAGAAAAAGTTATGAGAAGTTTTCCCAAATACATTGTGACAAAAATGTTGTTGCTTATGTTTTCAAGTAGAGATAACTTTGCACTGACAGTGTCATTTCCTTGCCAGGAACTCAAACCAGCTGTTTATACTACTGAAAAGTTATACTGGTCTACAGATCAACCCATTTGACTTTTATTTCATTTTTTTATTTTTTTCAAAATCCAACTTCTCATTTATTAGAATATGTACATAATTTGGATATTTTTGTACAATATGGTAGAGTAAGTTTAAAGTCTTCTTTGGAGCTTTGAGACCATTCATATGCTGGTGTTGTTCCAGTTAGGTGTACAGGCCCTCCCCCCCCCCCCTTTTTTTTTGTCAAACGTAAATCATGTGTAACAAGTCATTTTAAAATGTTTATTGTTAGCTTTGGCCAAATACATCTTTTTTCAAGACTGATGAAACTGTATAAATGTTGGAGAATTGTATGAAATACAACTTATTTGTACAAATACAAAATGCTTATGAAAAAAATATATATACAGTAAGCTTATTGACAGATGTGTCACTTGAGTGTTTCCATTGGTGGATTCATGCATTTGCTCTGTCATAATTATATGTATGACAATTTTGTAAGTTGCTTGTACATTGTTGCTTATTTATATATATAAACTTAGAAATGTACAAAAATGGTTACACAGACATTGTTAAAAAGCATTTGCTAGATTTATCATTTCATTTATATCATTAATACAAGTAGGGCACTTTCAGTATCTGGAATAAAGCTGCTGTTTTGTAGTTGATATGAAAGTTTTATTTTATTGAATACTGATCATGATTTACGGCACTGTTTATTCAAGCCATTAATGTATTCAAACTCTACAGTATTTCTCTGTGAAGAAATTAAGGCTAAGTTGAAAACCTGAAACAAAACTTGCCTGCCTTTTAGTATGTAAAATCGATATAAATCATCGACTCCAGGAGGCTTGCGGTCCCTTGGTGAACGATATTTTGCTTTTCCCATTGGTTGACTCGCGGAAAATCGCCATAGGATACTCCAAAAACGTAGGAGCAGCGAGCAAGACTTGTGAAAGTTACCAAAATTTTGTGATTGCATCCCAGTGTAAACGCAGAGGCGGATTTAGGGGGGAGTCAGGGGGGTCCTGACCCCCCCTCCCTTTCGGTTTCTGAAAAAAATTAGAATTTTGACTAGATGAATTATAGTTCTAAACCCTACTGAATGGCACCTTAATTACGTCCTCCAAAACTCCATTTTTTCATGGCCCTTTAGCGGATGGCGAGGGTCCGCCTCTGAAACGGGATATATATATATATATATATATATAAACTTCAACCCTCGTAATATGGGTCTGGGAGTCTTTCTAGCATCAAGCATCGGATTCTTTAATCATGCACAGTTATCCACCAATGATTCCAACCAACTCATTCGGCATATTAAAAAAAAACTACAGCGGGTTACGAAATGTAGCCTGTAGGCCTACAGTACCATTATGAAGTTTCTTATAGGACACCCAACAGGACTCTTCAGGATATATACAGGATTCCATGGGACTTAATTTCGGCTCACGGTGGGAATTCCTATAAGGAGGGTGCCATTAATTGAGTATACTTTCGTTACCCTTGAAGGCCGTGATTCGTGAATAATCCCAATCCCGTGACACGTGAATGCAGCTTTTTATTCTTCATTATTCATGAAATGAATTCATCAAAGGCCTACTCAGTGATCCGTGATTTTCAAACTCGTATTTCCTGCATTTTCAGTGAGATTGGGATTAGGCCCGCTTTTATTTACTGTGATTTTTTAAATTGATGTTTTATTTTCTTCTACCCCCCCCCCCCCCATTCCCAAGAGGGAACCCCTAAAGGATTTCTACCTGGTCTTTCTAGGACATTGATATATGTGCTCTAAGGATCTATAGGATTTTTAGCCAATTTCGTTTACTAGGATCCTGTAGGAAAATTCCGTAAGGGTAATAGAGCGCTGAAGTTAGTGTCTGGTTTCTAGTTTTCAATTTCGTTTTTCAAAAACGATTCTGGCAACCAGAAACTAGTGTCGTTTTTCAAAAACGATTCTGGCATCCAGAATGATTCTAGTGTCGTTTTACGAAAAACGATTCTGGCATACAGAAACTAGTGTCGTTTTTCAAAAACGATTCTGAGAAACCAGAATCGTTTTTGCGGAGAGAAGCAGGGGTGGGCAGAGGGAGAGGCAACCAGCGGTGTGCGTGTACCACGACTAGGTAACCCTCACCGCGAAAGCCGGGCAGGGTCCTTTACGGTCTCTCCTCGATGTGCGCTGAGACCGAGACGGTCGCCGATTATTGCCTACGGGGTACGTGCAACCCACACCGCAGAAGCTTGCCAGGGTGTATACAGTGTTATGGTCTTTCCTCGCCGTGCTGGGAGGCCGAGTTGACCGCCGCTACCAGTCACAGGCAGCCTGCATAGCGGAAGCTGGGATTGGGGTTTGGATGGGGCTGGGGCTAGGGGTGGAGGAATAAGGGCGAGGGTGAAGAGGGGGAAGGTCCCCCGGGGCCTCCCATTGTAGTTTGAAATAGAATTTTTAATTCTTTTGAATTTTTAAAAAACGATTCTGAGAAGCCAGAATATCGTTTTTTCGAAAAACGACACTGGTTTCTGGTTGGCAGAATCGTTTTTAAAAAAAAAAAAAAAAAAAAAAAAAAAAAAAAAAAAAAAAACGACGCTGGTCTCTGGGCATCAGAATCGTTTTTGAAAAAATTCAATAAAATTAAAAAAATTATACTTCACTCGGTTCAAACTACCTAGTGAGATCCCGGGGTGGTGGGGCTTTTCCCCCTCATCCCTCTCGCCCTCTCCCTCCCTCCTCTCCTGTTTCTCTTTGCAAGAACGAATCTCAGAATCGTTTTTGAAAAACGACACTAGTTTCTGGATGCCAGAATCGTTTTTGAAAAACGGCACTAGTTTCTGGTTGCCAGAATCGTTTTTGAAAAACGAAACTGGAAACTAGAAACTATAGGCCCTATAGGCCTATATAGCTTCAGCGCTCTAAAGCAAGGACATTTGATTGTATTTTTCTACATTTTTTTAGTCCTGACGATAAAAAGAAAATTCATGAAGTTCAACTGACCTTACTCTACGAGTAAAGATCAGTGAAAGATCAGTAAATGCTAACAAATTGAAATCCTAACCAATATTTTCATACTTCATATCATTTAAAACATCGATCATTAGGTGCACGCTGTGTATACATAGGACGTCAGCAGTATGAAGTACCTATTTTCGGCCAAGTAAAAATTTCGCGCCAGTGCATCGTCTGCTTGTAAAGTGTGCCTGTTCTCGATCATGTTTACAGTATCAGTCTCAGTTTAATTAAGGTCTGTTTTTTATATACATTCAGTACCCGAAAATGTTGTATTTGATAAATTTGGGGTTTCAGTCAACAGACTGAATGATTTGAATTTGAATGATGCGGTGATAGGTTTTGTACGAGATCGTTTTCATTTTGTTTGCTGTCTAGTCGTATTGAAAAAATCTGTTCACGTCTAGTCTACGTCTTTTTATTTTTCTAAGACTAACTGAAGGTGAAAACATCAGTTTGAATCAATGCTTATACTTATCTTTAAAAAGCAGCTTATTTTCAGAAAAATCCTCGGTGGCACCTCTTCATTATAAACAGAGAAGAAAAATTCTGCATGATGGAAAACTCTTGGTGTTTAAAGATATTTTTCTTCCTTCACTTGATGTTCTCTGTTGAAGGTAGGTTAAAATCCATTTCAATAACTACAATGTTATGAGTTCCTTGTGCTAGCAAAGAAAATTTAAAACATGCTACTAATATTTTATTTTGGCTAAAGAAAATGCATCGTCACATTTTAATGAAGTAAGGGCCGATCTGTGTACTAATATAGAGTTAATATTGACAGATTCAATAAAAAAAGTAAGTACGTATGGATAAATATTTCTAAATTTGAATAATCCAGAATTTTTTTTTCAAATTTATTTTTGGATAGGTCAGGTCTTTAAACACAGTTTCCAGGTATGGATGAGTCCTTGGGGAGCAACAATCAACCCAGTTTCTGGTGCTTCTCAGTCCACAGGGAACCAGCATATAATGTCTCTTGAAAACTTGTTAGAATTACCCGGTACAGAGCATTATTGCTATTTTAAAATAAATCATGATATTTTTCATAAAATTTACAGAGAAACAGTTGAGAACATATATATTTTGATGTCAAGACGATATTGGATGAAAAAATCTTAAAATTTGTAAAGGGTTGGAATTGTTCTCTTTTTACTTTTCTGTAGGGCATTAAGTGTTTTGAAACAACCGACTGTACAATGTTGGTATGTAAAAGTTAATTTACAAAATTAAATGTATATTTTTAAGATGCATGTCAGTTTGCCACACTGACTCCTAACACAGGGGCTTTGTCAAGTACGAGTTCCATCCAAAAGCTGAGAGATTCAAAGGGACGTACATTGGGCAGGTGGTTATCATAAAGTTTAATTACTGACTTGGGGAAAATGTTGATCTCTTGAGGTACAGAAGTATGATTAGGAAATGTGCCTTTATTTGCTTTGGTTATTTTTTGATGAATGATTTAGACTATTAAATGGATATGACGATAATACATTGAGTCAATGTTCAACTTATTAATATATTGTTACCTAGAAAGTATAAAAAGATGCTCCTATAAATGGTAAATAATTTTGTAAGTTTACAATGCCAAGTTAACCTTTTCACCTATCTGTTTGGCATTCTTGCTTTGATTATAACTTAAGCTATTCAACATTTTATCTTCAGCATAAAGCCAATGGTAATAAAAAATCTGTAAGTATTTGGGTGCTTTCCCAGAGATTTAGATCGATCTAAAGATTAAGATTTAGATCGACCTAACTCCCTGGGGGTTCACGCTAAATTGCAGTCAGCCGAGCGGGCACCATAGTTAATCACCCCCTTACAGCTTTAAGTAGGCGGGACAGACCCTTAAGCCGGTCAAGCTGACAGTAATCTAGTGAGACTCCCCACAGGGATAGATCGATCTAAAAATCTATGGAAATGGGGTGTTTGATAGCAGCTAGATTATCACTTAAAATTACAAAAAAATAACTGTACTTAGATATTCTTCAGACAACAGTTATAAAACATTTCACCTAATAATTCCAGTTTTTCATTTACTAGCAGTTAAATCTCAATCAAAATGAAATTGTAGAGGTAAACTGTTTAATTTGTAAAGAATATTGTTAAATTCACTATACCATCAGACATCTGTAAAAGAAGAAAAATGAAAAATGTACTTTTGAGATTTATGCCATTTTTCTGTGAAAATAGGCACAATGTATGTTTTTTATGTTTGAGTCTCAGGCCTACCCAACTACCAGACTCAGCACTGAATGATCCTGAATTCACCAGTAGAGCACCACACTACCTGTTTTCAAGGTGTGAGTCGGTAGACGCTTCGAAGTATCAGACGCGACACCGCTCTTGACCTAGTACACAATGTGATAGTGATTATTCTAAGCAGGGTTGGATTAAAGTAGTGCATCTCATCTCAAAATTTGTTCCAGGGTATGATACTGTGAAATGCAAACTGACGCACACCTTAAAAGTAGTGTGGTCTGATCTACTGGTGAATTTGGGATCATTCAGTGCCGGTCTGGTTGTTTGGTAGGCCTGAGTCTCACCCCTTTATGGAAACAGCTGTAAGCATTTTATATCTCAGACATTTATTCTTTGCATGGGATTGATTTTTTGTAAGAATTTTGACATTTGATTTGAAATATACCTTTTTCCAGGAGAGCACAGTTCATGAAATCACTTCCAATTGCTAAAAAAGATGTTTTTCAAAGGTATTAATTTATTAATTATTTTATAGTAATTTTATAGATATAAGTGAATATAAAACCAAGTAGGGTATAACATTTTGAAAGACCTGAAAGAATCTTACTTATAATGGAAATGTGACAAAAAATCAAGTGCCTGAACTGGGAGCCCCCTCCCCCTTTTTTTAATATACACATTTTAATTACCTATTGATAGAGTAATGGATTTTGAATACCAGGGGCATTTTGGTACCCGGGCCGTAGTATTAGTCCGAAGGTTCATTGGTTCATTGAATGTTCACTAAAGAACCTTCAGATCAATGAACCCTTGATTAAAACATAGAAGTAGAGAATGTTACCATTTTCGGACCATAAACCTTCAGACTCTCAAGAGGCCCCCTTGGTACCATGGAAATTTGTTTTCCAGTGCTATGGATATGTTCAGGACTGTACCACAGCAAGATCAAGAGAGAATTATTGAAGCATTTTCTCAAGGCACATCTGCAATAGCAGAAATGGGAAACTTGTTTAGACACATTCCCTCAGCTTGTAAAAGGAGTTTACATGTAAGATACTGAGAGAAGGAACTTTAAGGGATAACAGCTGTTCATTTTGGCCAAAAAATTAATTTTTCTGGAGTAAACAACAATTTCCCCATACTTATCAATGATTAATGATTCCATTTCTACATTCAAAATTGGTGTCTGGTTTTTTTCTTAAAAGTTTGTTTTTTTGTAATAATATCTTAAGAAAAAGAGTAAAGTCATCTATGGAGGTCACATGGTCCAATGGCAAGCAAATATTTCAGAATTATTGCTTTAACTGCCTTTTTTATGGTAAAGTAGAATATATTATATTTCTTTGACCTCTTTACAAAGTTTTTATTGTGAAATATAGGTCTCATATGAAGAGTTGTCATCCCTTTAAGCATAAACTTATCTGGAATGTTTTAAAAGTCTATTGGATACTCTAAGTCAAAACATCACACAGGTAAAATGTTTGCTTTTATTAGTTTTGAGCAATTATAAAAATGAAAATTATTCAACTGTTCAATTTTGTTAGCTTCAAGACATCAGTGCTGATCAGGCCATTCATGCTATGGAAGGTAGTAAAGCAGACCCCAAAGTGTTAGAAAATATTATAAAAGGGGTGAGGGACTCAGAATTGATGACACTAGTAAATGAAATGCAGGATGATTTAGAGGTAAGATAGTTATTGTTATTTCTAATAATCTTATGATGTTTTTTATGATTTTATATTGTTAAATTGTTGCTGTAATACCTGGAATAATGTAATGCACTAAATGATCATTTTTCCATTCAAAGAAGGAGGTAGCAAACTCAGGTTTACAGATCCACATTTTTATAAGCTAAAAGTATGCTAGTTTTAGCCATTAGGAATATGTTAATCTGGGGCACTGACACTTACATATCATATATATAGTTAATTCATTTTGAAGATTCGTCATAATCAACGTGTTCATCTTTTTTTAGAAATTAATATGTTATGGAGATGGGTCAATAACCCAAAGATCTTATCAGACACCACTGTAGCACCATAAAGGACAGATATACTTGCTTAACAGTTGGACAATATTTCTACATTCCTGATCATTCTGTCAATGTCATTACAGTCACTGCATGTTTTAAAAGGGTACATGCACAAGACGAGACAAAGATGAATTGTTGAACAAAAGTTCAACAAGCTTTTTGACTCTGTTAAAAATGGACTCAATAGAAACAATCAGTTTTTTTATCAGATATAAATCTGTTTTATTATTACATAACCTGTGTGTCCTAATGCATATTGTGTTAATTTTTTTTTTACTTGTGTTTAATTTTTTCCTTGTATTTAGCATCTCCCAAAGGCAGATTTAAGCATAATTGCAGTGACCACAGTAAAGAAACTGGGACCACAGCAAATGACAGCATCAGATGTTGACATGATGGGTAAAGACCTTATTTTGAATATGCCACCAGGATATATGCGGCAGTTTTCAAGGGAGGCAATTGATAGAATGTAAGACGAGTTCATTGCACACTGTCAAAAACAGCAAGATTACATTTTAAGAATACTTATCACTTCAGATAACTTTATTATGGTGGTAAGGTAACACTTATAGTGATAGAGCCTATGTCCTGGAGAAGATATGTGATATCTGCTCAGTCTGGTATTCCAGCACATTGTCAGCTTAAGGATGGACTTGGCAATTAGTATACAATGTTGATTTTTTCCACAGTGGTTACTTTCCTTGTTTGACTTTTCTTATTTCATGTGCAGAATCTCCCATGTTAGCCAAGGATTCACTGAAGGGCACTTGAGATATTCAATGGCATCCCCAAGATGGTGGGAAACTGTAGCAGAAAGAGTATACAGATTGTATCCGCAAGTGCAAGATGATACAACATTTGACAAAGTCAGAATGTTGCTGCCTCTGATGCCATTTAGAGCTTGTGAGAGTGTCCCAACTGATTTGGTTAGATATTTGAAGATTTTTTAAAAACATGACATCGCATTAAGTTTATAATTCAACATAAAGAAAAAAAAATGATTACCATCATGTATTATAAGAGCATTGAGAAATGTTAATCTAGAAAAACTGTGAATATAACAGAAAATAGTTTTGATCTCACCTTACATACAAAGTTATTGTTAAAAAGGCACCTATCATATGGCATCAATAGCCAGTGGATTCATTTATCCCAAATCTTTGTGGGTGGGAATATATACTTTATCACCTATTAAGCGGATTTTTAATTGTCTACAATAAAGCTTCTGCAGAAAGTCAGGGTCACTAAAGTGTGTTTTATTCAAGCGTTTTTCCCCTAAGTCTATAGATTATAATAATTTTGTTGGTTCAATAATTTTTTATAAATATTTCTGTTTAGGTACAAAACATTACCGCTGACTATTTCATTAATGTAAGCTCCACAGTTTGCCTAGATGATAGTGGGACCCTTGGAAATTCAGCGCAGTGTGGAAGATGGACATGGTTAAGTCGTAGAACATACAAGTGTCTACAACACTTGTTAGACCAAAAGAATAGAGGAGACATATTTAGAGATCCAGATTTAAGGTATAAGATGTTGTCTTTTGTCTTTCATAACAAAATTCTCAGAATCTTATGTTCATTAAAGATTTGCAGAGATTTTTCAATAACAGAATTTGCTGATTTATGTTAAATTTTATGAAATATCTAATAATGTCTCAGTCATTTGTGTAACATACACGTGATTAGTCATACTTCATTCAGACAGATATCTGCATGTAAGGTGAAAGCTGAAATGTAATAAAGCTGATCTCATTATGTATACATTTTCTACAAATTTATCCAGAATTACCTTGATGTGTAATTTTTTAATAGAATAATTGCTTCAAGATTCCTGCCACAAGATCAAATGTTTAATTTTGATGAGATATCATGCCAGGATATAGAAAATGTGGCTTTGCCCAAATTGTCACCAAGAGTAAGTCCGAAAATATCACACTTTATTTTACTTTAGACACTTCGTAGTTTACTTGGAAATTGTGCTCCTCAAGCTTTTGAAAATTATAATATTTGCATTTTGCCCTAATTAATTAATATACTAATCAATTAAGTGGGCTTGAATGTGGATTTATTATTATGAAGAGAGTTATTTTCAAAAATATTTTAAAGTGATTAACCTTGGATCAGTTATTCAAAAATTAACATGAAAGAATTTGATAGAAGGTGTACCTGTATGTGAGTCCACTTTTACTCTTCTTGTGTGTCATCCAGATTGCTTCCAAAATCCGTAGAACTTGTGGGGGGGAAACTCCAACAACATGGACAGTGCAAGATGTAAGGAATATTGGATCTACAGTGGCCACAATACCTGTAAGTGATCTGAAGCGCATGGGCAAAACCGTTGCTTGCAGTCCTGAAGTAAAAGAACACTTGGCCAGCATGGAAAAATATCAGGTACACCTGCAACTGGAATTGAAAAATAAAAACTGTACATTTTCAAGGAGCATTATGTGATGGTTACACTGTGCCTTGTAAAATGTAAAAGCAGTGTGGTTTTAGAGAATGTGCGTGTTATGTTTATATCTGTTTGCTGTTTTACATACATATATCACTTATCAGTTTTCTTTTATAAACAGAGAAAATACATTATGAAGACCTGTTTTTCACCTGAAGATTTTGGAGATGCTCTTTCTCACGCCAATGAGAGCCTAATACTTGCAGCATCGGAGGCCAGCTTTGAAAGTTGGAAGCATGTCACCAAAGACAAGATTCGCCAAAATCCTTCTTTAGTCAGAGAACTGCCAAATATTGCCAAAACATTGGTCAAGAAAAAGGGAGTGGGAAGAGCTGTTTTACGAGCTCTTGCAGATCAGGTGTTATCTTCTATCTTGATTGTAGTAGTATTTCTGTGGTATTGAAAATGTTCTATGACATTCCCTGAATTTCTGCATGTAACTTGAAAACCACCCTTGTTTTAAATGACATTTCACTTTATTTATCTGAACACAAAAACTACATAGATGCTGACAGAAAACAGTATTTTTTCAATTCCATGACTTTTTATTTTGTCCTTTTTAATTTAGATGAAAGATAACTTGACACTCTCAGGGTCTATCAGGGAGGTTATGGAAACGTTAAGCAGTAAAGAAGTGTGTAATTCTATTACATCTGTAGAAAACGAACTCGGGCAGTCTTCAGAACTCCAACTTACAGATGCTCAGGTTAGAGGTTGTTTTGAGCATGGGATTATATGTAGATAAACTTCCATGTTTTGAGTTAGGTTTTTCAAATGTTGCAAGATAATGTTTAGCTTGAAGTAATATGGAGTACTATTTCTTATTACGTTCCTCACCATGGCTATCTGATGCTTTAATTCACATCATTTTGTAATTGGTGTTATTCATTTTAAATGTTTTGAAATTAGAATAAATTATTGGTACTGTAAGAGGAAAAAGTGAAAGTCATTTATGTTATATACTCTCATGGTGATGTCACGGTGAAATTTATTATCATGGTGAATAACCTGAATGGCTACGTAGTGTTATATGCCTTTTTTTCTAGCAAAAATGCCTGGCAAAGAAAATAAAAGAGATCACTTCATTTTCTGACATGTCTGTTGAGAAATTAAGGTAGGTTTTTTGGCATGTTTGTTTGCTTGATTATTGATTAATAAATAGTTAAACAAGTTGTAAGCTTATGGAAAGCAAAGTAAGTCAATTACAATTCCATTTATGGCGAGGCTCTATTCTACATATATGTATGTATATTGATAATTATTTACAACACAGTTTTGTACACAGCTAGTGCATTGCATACTGATCTGGTACATATAGTTGTATATACTAGTATGTAATACACAGGTAGTGCATTGCATACTGATCTGGTACATATAGTTGTATATACTAGTATGTAACACTGTTAAATGAAAACATTGGCTTGAAAAATAACTTCTTTTTCCTGTTGTAGGTCTTTCAGTGGAATTTTGAAAGGCATGCCATCCACAATGGTGAAAGAATTGAATGTGTCAAACAGAATGGCTAATGCATTTGCATTTTGTGAGCAGTCACATGTACCCCTCAAAACTGTTAGTACCTATATTTGTTTGATAAGATGTTATTCTATATTTATCCACAAAACATTAAACATATTTTTAAAAATAGTGTAATCTTGTATGCCCCACACCTAGGCATGCACTTATAAGGTCTCTGTTTGATGGCCATGCATAGAGATGTTAAGATAGTGCAACATGCTAACAGGGTGTTTTCTTCATGGGAGCGTAGCTTAAACAATTTAAATGAGCCATGAAGTTCCATTATGGTAGTATCCTTGAAGGGCTTCAGCATGTTTTAAATATGGATTTGGTATCAGGGGAATTGTTTATTTGATGTCATGCAAAATTACAAGTGTTCGTTGTGCTGGTATACTTGCTTAGAATCAGGACTGATTGAATCAGAGAACATTGATGACAAAAAGCTAGATAAGAAACATTTTCTGAAGTCATATGGCTCTCTGTATATATAAGAAATCAAGTGTAAAACTTTTTGTTTCAGTTTGTACATTGGTATTTTTCTTACAAGTATATTTTTGTTACAGCTTAAAGCTATTAAAGAAGAACTGTTGGTCACTGGATTAAAGGAACTAAATGATTCTGACTACATGTCACAGCTTACTTTCGCAGATGCCTTGGGACTTGGAAAAGAATGTGTGCTATATTTTAAGTAAGTTACCAATATGTAACTGGGATGGGAGACTATCTGACTAGCCAACTTCATTTGGAAGCTCAAGCCAAAATAAATAATGTCCTGTGACCACCAAATAAAACGCTGTCTTAGCTAGAGTGCAATATCGCATCAAATTGAACTGTGCATAGCATTTGGAAGCTTAATCCACGGTCCACCTCGTGTTCATTCGACATTTTCTGTATATATTTAAGAGTTTACCAAGAGCTGTAAGAATAGGCATTACTTTTAAATGAAAATATAAACATAAATTTTAAAATTTAGGACTTAAAGAAATATGGTAAAATTCACAGTAATCCTTATTGAAAAGATCAAGTCATTATTAATTATTGCATTTCACAGGGTTCTTTACTTCAGACGTCACTGTAAAACACTTATACCAATACATTAAAATTAAAATCTGTTTGCCTCAATTGGATTTATTTTTATTCTTCAGAGTAGTATTTACTCATATAGCATTTATTTGATACCCTCTGAAATCGGATGCTTCTAAAATAGTATACAGAATTAATGTATCAATGATTTTGTAACAGACTACACCCTTTGGTTAGAGAGTATTATTTGATACATTCTAAATATTATTACTTCAGTTCATCTGAAATTCAAGCAGCTAGTGATGAAACTTGTCAGGAAATATGCAGGAAAATGGGAAATTTAGATCAAGTGAAAACGATTCTTCCACTAAAAAGAAGAGAACTAAAAGATGCTTGTCTAAAGTGCATTGTAAGTTGCACAGTTAATGAAATAACTTATTTGATATTTTAACGCATTCTTTAAGAATAACGAGAAAAAATTAATTGGAAAATATGCTAAGCTGTGTAGGTTTCCTTGTTACAAAAATAATAAGTGTATGTTTTAGACATGAGCTGGAATGATGTCCAAACTAATGATGTATATTATTTGTCTGTTTCTGATTTTGATTGTACATGTACACAATCACCTTTTTAGTGGCATATTTGCATGCTGTAAAGTTTCCTTTTTCATTTTTATTTATATTTTTAATAGTAATCAAGTTTGTTTGGAAATTTCTACATTTCCAAAACAATCAATTATAATCGATTTTCAGGGGAAAGAAACTGGAACCCTTCAAGAGGAAGATCTAGATGTCCTTGGGAATTTAATTGCTGAACTCGGTGCCAGTGAACTTCAGAGCAGAGTGAATAAAACAGCATTGGCCAGTAGAATTGAGATACTACATGGAAGCTGTAGAAAAAAAGATTTTAATACACAACTTGGTTCAATATTAACAGACAATTCAATGTTTGGGTAAATATTTGAATCCAAGAGAAAGAGTGTTGCTTATGAGACTATTCTGCACTTTTCCTTTAATAAAATTATAAAAATGCCATTTTCATTCTTGCTGATAGATTTTGAAATGTTTTAATTTTTTTTTTTAAATAATAATTAATGCATTGTTTGCTTTGAATTGCAGTCCTCCTTCAGGGTGGGACAGCAATACAATGCTGAGACTGGGAGATTTGTCAACCACCCTATCAGAGACAGACTTTGGGAGCATCTCTGATGTAAGTATATGGTCATTCGGGTAACATGCATAAAAGGTACGTAACAATACACATGGTATATAAGATATTAGGATAAATTTTGCACCATTTGTGACTCCTGCCATTTTGGATGAGTACTAATATGTACATTTATTTTTTCATTTCAGGATGTTATAGTTGATTCACGAGACTCCATTATAAACTCCATCTCCCCCACAGATAGCTATTTACAAGAAACCAACAGGATTTGTCACTTTAGTTTGGATGACATTGACAAAACAGACAGGGAAATTCGAAAAAGAATGGTAGACAGTGCTGTTTTCAATGCAGTGAAAAGCACTGTTCAGGTGTCAAAGAGGGGAAGAGATGACATAGGTACATATGGTACAGTCAGATGACATATAGGTTCAAAATTTTTTCTTTGCTTTTAGTTGCCCACTTGATCCACAAAAAGAGAGATTTGCATTATATGTTTCTGTGCTTTTCATACATTTGTAACAGGTATTGCAATACTGCTTTTGAAAAAGATATACTTTTAGATTAATAGATGAGTAAATGGCCACTTCTGCACTCGGTCATATTTTGGTTTCATTTTGGATATATTTTAATATTTAATACTTTAATGTTTGCTGTGACTGATTTTTATAATGTATAATTTCTTATTTTTGTTCACAAATACTTTGTAAACTTAATTCTAATTAATAATTATTATATTTATTCATTTATTTTAAATTTGTAGATAAGCGATCATCAGTGCCATGGAGTTGTGCAGATATTATGACTATGGGAAGTACCATTGTCCAAGCTACTGCACAGGAGTTGGAAGCTAACATAGACGACAGTGCTTTTGGTGATTGTATATTGAACTTAGGACAAGTTCAGGGATGGAGTACAGAGCAAACTGAAGTTCTGTTACAAAAAGCTATACAGGTCTGTATGATATGGCTCTAATTAACTGAAACTTTTTGAATTTTCCCCCCAAGTTGGGCATTGTTCGTGGCTTTAGCTAAATATAATGATTCTTTTGGCTGAGGGAAATGGGTAGAATATATATTTATTTGTCATTTTTGTATTTATTTAATTTAAATTTATTGCTATTAATTTTGATTTGATGGTTTTAATATTATCTTTCTGACTGAAAATTGAAAATTGACTGAACAAATATATGAAATTAGAAAAGGCTATATATGTAATTACTTAATTGAAATGTTTGCTCCAGTTAATTAGCTTTGGACTAGTTAACTGCTTTGTATTCACTATGTTTTAATATATTTAACAATTTTTAAAATATTATTAAACTTCCAGCACCAATTTCTTAAAATTCAATTTATTAAAATAGTGTATGTATTTCTTATTAACCTATTTCAGTTATGGGGTCAACCGTGTACTATGAGTTCAGCTGATGTAGGACTTCTTGGCAGTATAGCAGTTGGTCTCAGCGGGTCCCATATTCAATGTTTAAACCTTACTCTTGATGACACAGTGGCCACTTTGGGAGGGCAGGCTACTTGGTCAGATGAGCAAGTGAGTAATTATTTTGGGCATGATGGTACAATTATATGTCAAATTACAAAATCTTGGAGAAAAATATTAGCAATGTTTTTAGTTATACTACTCTACAATTACATATATGTAAAGTTGATGTCTAAAAAAACGGCATTTTATGGCAAAAATACATGTATTTAGATTTTGTTTATTTATTTATTTAAACAGTATGGGCTCTGGGCAGGAAACTGAACTTGGACTAAAATATCTTTACAGTTGACAAAGCTAGCAGAAAGATACAAGGTAACTCATGGTGCTGGAAGTTTGACAGAATCTTCTGTGGCAGTATTGGGCCATATATTGTGTGGGTTTACTGATGATGAGTTAAACCAAATAAGTGGAAGTGTTTTCATGTAAGTGCTTAATTTTTTCCATCGTTGTGTTTCCATTGAACTTGAGGTGCAACTTGCATATTTATTATGTTTACATAAGTTTCACTTCATGATACTCTTTGAAATTACAAGCAATGATGACCTGTTAAACTGTTCACACTGATAAGGATAAAAAACATTCAGAAATATTTATCTTCAGTTGATTTTCCTCTTGATTGATCCTTACACAACCAGAGGATTGTTTAAACTTGACTAGGAACATTTAATATATTCTGCAATATATTTTCAGATCTGTTAGTGCTCTAGTAGGGAATCTTAAGATGTGCCCAGTTTCCAAGCTCCGCACATTAAAATCTGTCGCAACAGGAGGAGCAGCTTATGGTTCCATACATGTTTGGGATGCCTCAGTTTTCAGTGATATTGGCATCGTCTTGGCTGGGTTAGTACATGAGGACTTTCAGGCAATAACTGATATAAGTGCAGTTGAGGGAATGCAACCACATGGCATTGCATTTGTTCCTTCTGAGGAACTAAAGGTAAGAATGTAATGTTCATAATAGATTGATAATGGTGCGTTTAAAAATGTTCTATAATATGATGATATGTACCATGGTACTCTCATAGAAAAAGAAATTATTTAAGGATGTATTAACGTTATCATTTAGCATAAAAAATATACCAGGCTGTGGGTTACATTTACATACAATATAAGGTACTCTCTTCATTTCAGGGTCTTTCTCCAACTTTTATAGCAGCACTAAGTCCACTTCAGGCTTCTGCTGTGACAAAATTGCAACAAGCACAGTTTACAACAGAGCAGCTGAAGGCCTTAGAAAATGCTTTGGCTAGCACACCCTATGTGGCACCAGTGGTACATGTAGTTGATAGTACAGCAGGTGGTGAATTCAAACTTGTCTATTGCATTCAAGACTGCACTATATTTTGTGAAGTAAATTTGATCTTTTATTGTGAAAATCAGTGGTATGATATTAAGGAGCTCTAAGCTATGGTACAGTATCAGTATGGTCAGTGGTGTTGTACATTTAATTTCGGACAAAAATTAATCTTAATTATGGAGTTCCAACAGTCTGTTAGAACTCATTGTCTGAATCTACATTTTACCATTAAGCTTAAGTTGAGTAATGTATTTTTTCTACATTTGGTTTCTCTTTTAGGATTTTTATACAGCAGCAAGAACTGGTGGATAACCGTATGTTTTATTATGTCACTGCACCTGTTGAACTACAACTGAGATGAAAAAAAAATGCCCAAGCATGGACAAAGGAATTCAAATATTCATTTTTAAGCCACATTAAAACAAAACAAACATTTGTTTAATATTAATAGCAGACAATTTCAAGCTAATAAGTAACATTTAATATGCCTGTTAATGTTGTTAAATTTCTTTATTGTTGCACAATAAAGGTTTTTTGTATTATATTGCTTGCTGTAATTGATTGTATTGTAATGGATGGTTGAAATATCAGCTGTGCTCTATAATTACAGACAACTAAAGATGAAAGGATTGGTTCACAGAAAGTCTTATTGAATGTACTAGAGCAGCCAATCTAATATTTTACAAAAATATATATATAAATAAATAAAAAGAATGAAAATACTAGTAACTAATATGATCATTTCTGAATAAATATTTATTTTGTCAGCCATGATACAATTAAATACAAAGAAGATAAAACTATTAAATATTAAGTAAAAACCTAAGCAACATGCATGGATATTGTAACCCTCTCCTGGCAGTGTCATTATATCATTATAATTACTGTTAGCAAACTGATGTCAGGCATACTACCTGTTGATTTTCCAGATCTTGCACTGGTAATATGCTTTATTACATTAAAATATTATAATAATTTATTAATACAAATGCGCATATAAAATGGCATAAAATTATGTCCATCACCCATTTGTATATCTAACATAAAACAATTATTGTAAAAACTATATAGAGGTTTAAAATGGATTTCACCTGATACCAGAAACTATCATTTAAATGGCACTGTCCTAGAAAACCATTTTTGTTGGATCTTAGTTACAGTAATAGCTGTGTTATGTATCATCATCAAAGGTTCTCTCATCAGAGACAATGGCACTGACATCTCTCAAATAAAATCATATTGACCGATTTGGCTACATTCTAAAAGAGTTCTAATGAAGTAAGGAAACACTTTATCAAAACTAAAATTAATTTCTTTCCAACACAAGACTGCTTTCCTTTAAGCATTAAAATAACTGTCAAGTGAGCAATCTAGTTTAACAGTAAACTAATGATTAAAAATCCATAAATATTTTATGTTAGAGAACAAAAAAAAAATAGGCAGCTAAAGCAGCTTCATGTACAGACCTGTACCTTCATCAAAACTTTAGATAGCCAATAAAGTTTTCTGTTTTGTGCTATATCAATATGCATGTTGTGAAGTTGTGACACAATGGTGTATAAACACCAGCAATTATTATAAGTACTAAGACTGAACAAAAGCAAAAAACAGAACTTGAAAAAAAAAAGTCTGATAAGACCCATTGTCAAACTTGACCTGTATTTTTGTCATGCAGATGGCCCCACAAAGTTTGAAGCAAAACACTGAATCTATATCCAAGTTTACCTGATAAAAGAAACCTGTATGAATCTACCCTTAACAACACAGACACTGGTGATGGCTGTATGTACAGACACAAGTAGGTCTGTACATAAAATACTAAAATAAAAAATGAAGGAATGCAAATATGAAGTGTTGATCTTAAAATAAGTTTAAACACCTCGTGGACTCATTTCACAAAAGAATATGATCCGAGAGCTGGTCTACACTTAAAGACATAAAATTTGAGTCTACTGCAGGATGTGTAGTTGTTCTCTAAAATATAACTACTGGCACTGTATAACATTCTGCACCTCATGCATTTTGTGAAACAAGTCCAACATTCTCAATGATGTGGGCAACAAATAAGTATCCAGGTCTAAAGCAAACTAAAATTTTTGGTCTTAAAGCACAGACCAACTTTTGTGAAATGTGTCTGCAGAAGTTAAAAGCGCCTTTAGTTTTGATAAAAACCTTTTGTTCACCATAAAATTATCACTCTTCATGCAATCTTCATTAACCAGTTACTTCTGAAATGAAAAATAATTCACTAGTGGTGTGACTGTAAAAAACTTTAACAATCTTTTATGCGGTTGTGAAATACAGTGTAACCTAATTCAAATAACATGTGAAAAATCAAAATCAAAATGACTCTTGATGTTTGAATTTATAATGCCCAAAAAAATTAAATGAAAAATCGAAAGTTTACCTAAAAGTACTTAAAACAATTGTTGTGCACAATGTGTAACACTTATTTTTCTTTGGCATCATATTTTCCCATTTCAGCATCACAAAAAATAATGTTTTTTATTGCAACATGACCTTTAATTTGTACATTCAATAACTCTCCAATTAAGAAAACCAAATTCTTTTAAATATTATTTTTAAATTCCAATATCATTAATTGCTGTGGGTATAAAAATCAGGTTTTCTAGATAGTGAGTAAAAAGAGGAAAACAAGCTGGTTAATATGATTTGCCTCTGCAGATATCAGCATGTTTTCGACAGCAGTTTTAATTAAGAAAATCAGGAAATCCATTGTAACAGCTCCAATTATCACTGGTGTAAAACAGAAAATATACTAACAAAGAAAACACTGCAATGGCGGATTGATACCCCATACCCTCTCCAAAACACAACATCTCCATCCAGCAGTATGAGAAAAATGTACTGTTTTATATTTGCTGAGTGAAGCATGGCAATTTTCTAAAATCTTGTGCCCCCCACCCCCCTCCATCCTGGATTCGCCATTGCACTGTCACACTGAGGCATAGAGAAAATAATAAGTATCAAAATAGAGTATGTGAGTTTGTCACCTTAAAGGGGAAAACAACTTTCTGGGGACCTAAATTCAATAAAATCCGACCCCCCTCTTCTCTCTAGATCTGCCCATCACGTTTTACCCACTGTAAGCGTAAGCCCAATTTTTGGAGGGGGGGGGGGGGTAATTATCCTGTGGTGACATCATTGCCTGAACTCTCTGCCATTGGCCTACACATTATAATGCGGTGTGTAATGCCTTTGCACGGGTACGACATGTTTACCTCGCGAAGAAAGCACTAACGATACAAAAAATGGAACACATTATCCTGGACTTTCGTGCATTCTGATTATGTAAAACATATCTTCCTAGTAGCGCTTGGACTATTTTTAAAGGATTATTTAAAAGTGGCTATGCATATCATAGACAGCTGAAACCAGGAAAACTAACTGTATTAAAAAATTGAAATAAAATACTGTAAGGCTTATTTCAGCATTTATTTGCAAACGTACATTTTCTATAGTATTATCTAATTTGCTGACAGTCGGGCAGTTGGACGATAAAGGCACGGTGTATGCTTATAAACAATGGAATAATACGCTTTAATTCCCAAAATGTTTCGATTCTGTTGATGTAAGCCACCTATGCACATGAGCAGTAACAGGTCCCCATAAAGTTGTATTCCCCTTTAAATACAGAAAAGGTTTGTGTACCTTGGTTGCCACATAAAGTTGGTAAATTGTAAAATATTTGTGCGACAGATTAGTCCAAGAGAGGAAAAAGCATAAGTACAAATAAATGAAACTAGAAAATAGAATAAAAATTTAAAAATATCAAAATAAATTCACATTAGTCTAAAGATTCAAAGCAGTAGTTATCAAAAGTTACATTACTTTATAGGAAAGGAAGTTAAAATAAGAAAAACCTAATCTATTAGGTGAAGGTTAAAGTAGGGCATAGTGAACAGAATGATTATAGATAATAAAAGAAAATATCAGAAAAGCAGCTTAAGATTTTGTACAAAAATCAAATTCTCACTTAATAATAAATATAAAGAAATTCAAAAATTGCACTGAGGACAACATTCCATTTATGATTAAGTATCATAAAAAGTATGTGAGAATTTGATTTGTAAGGTTAAGTATAATTGAATCATATGAGTGTTATTAATGTGAGTGAAGGTGTTCATCTAATGTGAATGAAGGTGTTCATCTACCTTGATGACTTCATCATAGCCAAAACGCAACCGCAACTGTTCAAAAAAGATGAACGTGAAAATTGTGTGTGGTCCAAGTCTCACCCAGGCAGGCACAAAACCCTGAAAAAATAGAAAATAAAACATCAATACAAATAACTAAATATACACATACACATGTAATTAAACAACATTTTTTTTAATCAAAAATCAATCCTATGACTAAAGCAAGATTTGTATTGTAACAGTACTGAAGATGTGCACATATTTTTTGTCACCTCGTACAACTAGGCTGTGACATACGTATATACTATATATATGATAACTATTCATCGCAGCTTGAGTAGAATATGCACAGGGGGTACCACATTTGAAAAAAGTTAACACAGGTTTTGAAATGCCATATAAAGTATGTGATTTGGATGGCTTCATCTGCACATTCTGAAAGTCTTTTCCAAAAATAGCAAGAAAAAACTTCTAGATGGCATTAGTGTTATGAAACCTAAAGGGACTGAACCTAAGAACTTGTAAATTAATAGCTCCTGTTTAATATTAACAATTTTTAAAAATTTGTGGCACAATAACTTGATTAGTGTTTCACTCAACATGTACTGATTTTCAACAGTACACATAACACATTTCTGAGAAAATTGGATCCTTTTAATTCCTCTGATGACAATTTATTTCTTGAGAAAACTAAAAGATTTTGGTAAAACAGAAGTATTTTCATAAACTTTTATAAAGCTAAAGGCAGTGAGAGGTATTAAAAGAGATTTTACTCTGCTGCTTATTTTAACTTCAATTCTTAACTTTGTTTTTCTTTTTCATACATCAATTAATTTTTGATTTTCTCATCTTACACTTAAATGATTTTATACTTCACTAGTAAGAGCAACAGCAAAAACAAATTTCTGGGGTGTACTTTACACATATTAGCTGAATAAATAGCTGTTCCAGTCAACCACAAATGATCTTATATTTCAGAAATCATGACAATTTAAATAATGCGTGTAAACCTTAGTGTTTATGTAAACTATCTCTATGATGAATTATCATTTGTGTGCATACAGTTTAATATCTTTTGCAGAGGGCATATAATGGAGGTAAAGATATGGATATTGCTTTAAGTTTCCATTGTTGTGAATCTTCAGAACATAACACATTCACAACACATACCTTGAAAAATCCTAATGGACCAACAGCTGCAATATCTTTGAAACAAGCTAAAATATTCTGAAAACAACAGAAAATTGTTGAACAAACAGAACAATATCAATATCATAATGGTCAAAATCTAATTTATAAATCCCACACATGCATCAATGAACAGACACACCTGCACACTCTCTCTCCTAATATTTCTGTATTATTCACATTTATTTTAAAAAACAAAGTGATTGAAAAAAGTGAAATTCTAAATTCATATACAGCAACTAAAGCCTCTGTTAACAAAGGAAAAAAGCTTTAGAATCCAGGGGCCATTTATTACCCAAATTTTGCCTTTAAAATAACTTTGGTTCAAGAAAATGACATATATTTTAATAAAGCCCTTTTTATCAACTGATCATTGTTGAAGTTGAGAATAAAACAACTGACCAAGACAAAAATTTGATGGTTCCATCTTATTGAAAGAAACCATACAATCGGATAAGCTCACCTTATATTGCCCTGGGGCAGCATTCATAAATCTTGTTTTCATCACATCCAATGGCTGGGTCAATAATGTTGCTATAGTACCCTATCATGAAATAATGATTAACAATAGGATGACATATTTGACAACTATAACAGGGTCATAAGAAAATGCTGTTAACTGTTATTACTTTGGAACACCAGGCAAAGATATTGCAAAAAGGTTCCATCATCAATTTACTTATGATAATCATTATTCAAAAAAAAAAAAAAAAAAAAAAAAAAAAAAAACAGAAATAAGTAACAGATATATTAATTTTAAACAACAAAGTCTGTTATATCAAGAAAAATGTCAATTTATCAAAATATTAAATACTTACAGCAATAAAACTACAGAGAAAATGTGTTCGCATGTTATCTTCAAATTTCCCTGTAGACATAACCATTTGCTTAATTTGGTCATAGAATGAAAGCTGAAAATATTACAAATATAACTCAATTTGCTTCTTCATATTTTGGGATGTATATTAACATCATTCCATCATCTATCAAAAGAAAGAATCGAAATATTATAATGTAGATGTATGCAAAGCAATTTCACCCCAATTTTACTTGTCAATGAGCAGCATGAGAGAACTTGCCTGACCAACAGTGACAAAGACAGCTCTTGAGCTAGCCATAGTAGCACCAGAAAATAATCGTCTTCCACCTTCTTCACTGTATACTCTCCATAATCCATCTAAGGCATGTTTGTAGCTAAATATGAGATCATATAATTTAACCACAATTTAATTTCACCATTCTTTTAAAATCAGGAAAATATAAAGAATTGTAGGCTATCTAATATTAGTATGTGTATGCCCAATCTTATAACTTTTTCTTTTATTCCAATCAAATATTGATTTAGTAGTGTTGCTTACCCTCGTCTCTGTTCCGGTGGAAGTTTCATGTCATTTTGCATTCTACAGTTAAATAAAAATACAATTTAAGTTGGAAGCAAAAATGCAGTCCATTCAATGTTGTGAACTACTTTCATTATTCGGTCTTTATATTGTACATTTTTGTCATTTCTTGCACCTTATACCTACACATTAAATGCATGACTTTCAAAAACTGACATAAGAATCTATCATTAAAGATATAATTGTTTTCTGTAAATGAAAAAAATTGTACAAAAATTTATCAAAATGTAGTTTTTTAAATTTAAATAAGTCCCTGTTAACTTTAAACCAATCTCACCTGACATTCACCATATCTCCAGGTGTACCTACAACACCTCCTGTAGAACCTGCCACCGCTGCTACAAGAACTTTTTCATAAAATGGCATTTGCCTTCCATCCTCTGTCAGCTTCTTTTTAGCAGTTTCATAAATAGCAAATCTTGTCAGGGAATATGTCAGCTGTGAACAAGAAATTTTAAAATAAATCTCAGTGTAACAGAAGATCAAAATATGAAATGGATCGGCTTTATTGTTCAAAAATTCATCCTGACACAAGTCCCCAAATTATTGCACGAACAATAAAATGTGCAGCATCTGATCCAGCTTCAGTTCCGTCTTTGGTAAAACAGCAGACTGAGGTATACTAAGATAAAAAAGCATATGGTAATAGCATCAAGTTGGCCTGACTTAATACATTCAAGACTAATGTGACACGCTTCTGATCCAGTTCCATTTCTGACTTTGGTAAAACAGCAGACAGAGGTATATTTAGATTTAAAAAAGTGGTAATAACATCAAGTTGCCTAAGTATATTCAAGACTAATGTGACATGCTTCTGATTATCAACAACTTAATATACATAAAAACGTGACTTAAGCGGTTATGAAAGGTGTTACCTAAAATGGGTTAACACTGTAATTTTTACATCTTAGTGGTGTCTTAGATATATTCTTAAGATAATATAAATAAAAAATAAGAACCTACCAAAAATATCATTCAGAAACTATACCTACCTGTCTAACTAGGGAAGCAGATAGGCCATTGTATAAACCTAAAATTCCATCATTTTTCACAACCTTAACGCCCATTTTTACAAAGCCCATGTCTGATTTCTGTTGGGTCTGAAGATGGACCTGTCAATTTTTAAAGAAAACAAACATATAAGAAATCCACTATTCACTCTATTAATTTTATATGTATTATATGGCACTGAAGTTGTAAGGCAGTCCAAAAGCACTGAGCTGCAGTTCAACTCTCATCATTATTAATTTATTTCATCAATCAATTATTGAATCACCACCAAAGTCTAACTGATTCCAAGTTAACTCATTTCTGACCAATCCTTAAAATTTTATCAAAATCTATCTAATACATTTTGGGTTAGGCTTTAAACCAACATTGGCAAAAACAGCCTTTTTGCTGGAGGTAATCAAAATCCACATATATCATAAACTTTTTCAAATGATACTGTAGTCAACATAACAAACCTTTATAAGCTATGTTAAAGGGATAATAACTCTTCATATGAGATCTATATTTCAGAATAAAAACATTGTGAATAACTCATAAAAATATAATATATTCTGTTTTACCACAAAAAAAGGCAGTTATAGCTATTATTCAGATATCTGAGCTTGTCTTTAGACCACGTGACCTCCACTGATGGCTATACTCTTAAGAGATTTTAACAAAAAACCAAACTTTTTAGAAAAAAACCAGGGACTAACTATGAATGTAAAAATGGACTCATTAATTAACCATTGGTAAGTATGGGAAAATTGTTGTTTACTCCAGGAAAATTCATCTTTTGGTCGAAACGAAGAGTTATTATCCCTTTAAACTAACAAAGAGTCAATTACATATTACAAGAATAAGCATAAAACTGAAAAAAAAATATACTCAACTATTATGGACATTAATCTAAATAAAATCTTTTATTACTGTTGAACACTAAAATAATCTTCGGTATTTTTAGCAAAAGTCAACTTCTGGCTGCTGCACCTATTATTATTTAACCAGAAAAAATACAATGGCAATTTAAAACAACCATGACATTGCTAATCTATAAAACAGATTATAATGAAAACATCATGCTCAATGTTTTGGTTTGAGTCACGACCTTGAGGAGATCCAAGGGATGAGTGCAGCATGCTGCCCCTGCGCTGGCAAACCCTCCAAAAAACCAACGCCCGACTCTCTTAGTCTCTGGTTGTGTGTCAGACATATTTCACTAAGTACTAAGCCCCACGTCCTTCCACTTCTCCTTCTTCCCAGACCTTGATCACAACACCTGAGCTGCGGTTGGAATGCGAGTGAATGGTAAAGTCCTTCTGAAATGGGTCAAGGGCAATATGTACTAAAGTTGCATTAAGGTTCGATGCAAGTTAAAAACAGCTGGGTAATTAAGGGTCTGTTACCGTACCAAGGCCACTTCTGTCCCCGTAAAAATCGGCTCGGATTTGATTATCAAGAGACTGATGCTTAACAGGAGTTTATTTAGAGCAAGCGAACGGTTCAAAGTTAAGGAGTTACGTCATTTAACTGGGGCGCGTTCAGATAACAAACTCATGATGGTTTTAAATCCTTCGCCTTACTTCGCTTCAGACAGGACGTGTTTTAAAAATCCTATACTTATATATCATGTATAATTTTTGAATATAGGGTTGTTTTAAATACAAAATTAACTACATTTTCACCTTTTTTTCTGCGCTACTAGTCATAAGCCTTTGTATAAAGTAAAAAAAATACGTTAAGGTCAACAATGAGCACGTAACTCTTCCACTTTGACCTTGATGGGAAATCCTTGCTTAATCGTTTTCATCTTGCCACCCATAGTAAAATATATAGGGCTTTACGCATGCGCACCGGGAAAGTACAACAGCAAAATACATTTGAAAACGAGAAGTGTCATGTATATTTCTTGACATTATATAAGTTTGCATGTCAATTATTAAACATCTGTATGTTGCAGATACATGAAAATATATTTTCCACTACTTTTCTAATATTGAAGGTGAGTTTAATAGCATACTTAGTTCATAATAATAGGAAAACCCCCAGCACTTTCTGACCGTTTAGTAATGTACGATTGACTTTGTTTATATCGACTCAGGCTGTGCACTAAGTAAAGTGTAACACTGTATATGTATATGTGCTACATGGCTATATATTTTTATTGGAAAATTTATGATGATGATGTTAAATAACTGAAAAAACATTCGATATCGCTGATGATCAATGCAATGACCTGAAATAGACTCCAAAGTGTTTGAACTGGAAGTGACAGTGTAATTCATAATGTTTATCCAGACAGATTAAACGTTATGTCTTATGACTTATGTATACTATTTTGACAAATGACTAAAGTATAACTCTTTGCATTAGTTGTGATCTTGGTCATTTGAAAAATGGAAGATCCTGAGGTCCTTGCAAGTGAATTGGATCGGGAGTTTGATGTGCATCTAGCAGATATGAAACCTTTTGTGCTCAGGCTAGTGCATAAGTCAGGTATGTTATATTGAAGGACAATTTAAATTACAAAAATAATATCTGCTTCAGTATACCTATTTTACTATCTCAAAACTAGCTGACAGAGGTCCTACTATACTGAAATTATTGTTTAAACTAATTAGTAGTTGAAATTATTTTTCTTAATTAAGTTTTAGTTTTTTTTTTCAAGCAAAAAAGTGACATACTATAGTGTGAATAAAAAGTTTCTTTTGGTTGCTTCATACTTCACAAGATGGTGGACACCATTTGGCAAAGAGGGAAAAATTGAATCAGTGATAATACAAATTTTTATCAATTATTATTCTGTTCATTCTTACAGAGAGGCAGAGATGTGCATTGTGGATCAAAAAGATGTGTGAACCACCAGGATCTGGTATATCAGGAAGGTGTGTTCTCTCTCTCTCTCTCTCTCTCTGTCTCTGTCTGTCTGTCTGTCTGTCTCAATTGCCTAGTTATTTTCATCTATTATGTTTTTTTAAAGGAAAAACAGAAATATGTATGCCCTCCTAATGCTACACATGCTGAAAAGGGGTGCACTTGAAGGTCCATTTACACAGAGACCCGGGGAAGGTCCCCTAGATACATTGCCAGCTTACATGGTGAGTTTTTAACAGGTTTAACAGCCATTCATCGAATAAATTTGTAAATATGAAGTATATATCTATTAATTTTCTCAATATTTGAATACATATTCAATAATTTTCTTAAGGAATATGTAAGATGTGGAATTATATGTAATTGTATAGTGATGGTATTACGTAATTGGCATTGTATTTTTTAGTCCATATACTTCGATGAAAGTACATCTGTAAAGGGTGAAGAGGCAGATCGAGTAAGTTTTATGTATCATCAGATATTATTTTCATATCTGTTTTCTTACTTCCTTTTTTCAAGAGATCTTAGACAGTGTCTTTATGCCTGCTATTATTAAATATTCAGACAAGAACATGTTCTAACAGTTGTTCTTTCATAATTAGCAGTGCAGTAGAATTGGTGTATGTATGAAGTAAGGATATATGAATGAAACTTCAAGTTCTGATATTCTTCATACCACTTCAAACGAGGCAAGAATTTCTGAAGTTCTTGAATGATTGACTGACTTTGGTAAAATATTTTAAAAAGTTTTTTTAATGCCTCTAATGGTAAAATTAACTATTCAGAGCTCTAAATGATTAAAGCCTTGTCTACCTACAACAAACATTAGTAAAGGGATTTAATTTTTACAGAAAAACCTCCCAGACTGGGTGAATGGCCTTGGTGACTCTTCCACAGTGCTCAGGTCTTCCAGTATGGGTGAGCCCAGTGCCTCCTCTACTTTAAGACAAGGAATGTCCTCCAGGGAGAGATTGGCTCAAATTACTCAATCACCAAGCAGAAGGTACAGACATACTTTTGTGGAGTATTTGTGGTATTGAATTAAAGCCTTATTTCTGAGGTTGTGTATGGTATTTTAATTATTTTAATTATTGGCGTTTCATGGTCTAATAAACTTGCTTGCATAGTAAAAAAATTATATCTCTTTAACATTTTTATTTTATGTTCACAAAGCTCTCCCCTCTGTTACTCTTTTCTTTCACATTTTATTACATACCGTTTTTTTTTTTTTTCATACACAGACGAACACACACAGCTATAGGGATAGATAGGGGACGCCCATCAAGTCCAGGAAGATCAAGGACCTATCCGTCACTACCCAGGGTATGATATGTAAATTATATATATTATACGGAAAACTCTAAATGCTGGATTAAAGAAAAATGTTCCAAAAGCATACATGCTTGACAAAAATGCAGTTTTAGGATCAGATAAATACACATTTCTTTAATGTTGAAAAGTTTCACCTAGTACTTATCAGGAAACTTGAGTGCAACTGACTTGTGACTGTGAGTAATAAGCAAGAGTGTCCTTACTTGCTCATTTGGTGGTGCATTGAGTGAGCGTGCACTTTACATTTCATTGAGACTGACTGAGTAGCCACTTACTTCACTTTACCTTTTTTTCATAAGAAAGTGCACTTATTAAGTTGCTAAGTTTTATTATGTTTAAAGAGATAAAATGGCAAGCCTCAGGTTATCCTTATCTACTTGCAGGAGAAGTCTCCAAGCAGAAATAGGATAACTTTCTCTGATGGAGAAGATGTTGAAGGTAAGAAAAAAATGAGCTGCGTTATTCACAAGGGTGATTGTATTCTACTAGTCTCCCATTTTTTGTAAAAAATCTTTGTTTTGTTTACATAATAAAAAAAAAATTTGAAAGTTTGAAGGGAATTTTCAGATTCCAAAGTTGTCAATCTCCTCTCTGTTTTAAACAACAATATTTTTATCAGCAAAATAATATCTTTTGAAGGTAAAGATTTTGTACCTTCTAAAATATAGTAAGACTTAAGTTACTATTTGCTTGAAGAGCTGATGTTTTGTCTTAATATTTCTATTTATTTATTTATTTTCTTAGACGGAAGAAAGAGTCCACATAGCTCCCCGGTGCCCAGTAGATCTTCCATAAGGTCGCCTACTAATAGAAAAGCCAATGAGGTATTCCATTTCATTAAAATAAATACATATTTTGGGCTATAAACATGCTTTTCTTTTCATTCATATATAGCTCTGTGTCAAAGTAATGCTCTGAAATGTTTTTCAGAATAATTTAATGTATTAAAACAACTATTGCCACTGTTGAGTCTACAAAATTTGTGTGTATTATTATAATTTTGTTTTAGGGCAATGACTGGAGTAGGCCTGTCAATTCATTACATGGGCCTTCCAGTTTGAAAGGTACAGTGTTTTCATTGGTGTATGCAAATTAATTTCCTTAAATATGTATTATGTAGACAGGTGAAACACTATCATTTGTTCAGTCAGCTAATTAAAGATTGTATAGATACAAAAATGGTGTTGTGTGCATAATTTGTCAGTCTTTCATAGTTTTGTATCCCTGTGTTGTTTTAAAATTTTCTTATAGAGTCTGAGTGAAATACAGTTTTTTTCCAGGAGTGTCTTCCTTTAGGGATGAACAAAGTTTGATAAGAATGCATGAAAGAGAGGTATATCTTTACCTAGATTTTGGTATCATGACAATAAGTATTTCAAAGGTAGTATTTATAAATGTTATTTCAAACCAGTTTCCTTCTAAACATTGAAACTCTGTTTTAATCATTTTATCTGTTACTTGTTTAAATTGTTTTAAAATGTTTTTCTATATTGATATGCAAAAGTTAGCGCAAAATCCCAATGTTATTAAAACAAAATTTTTATACAGCTTGATATGAAAACAAAGATGTTAGAGGCAAAGTTTCATGAAGAGAAATTAAGGATGCAACAGAAGCATGATTCAGCAGTACAAAAGGTGAGATAGGCATCAGTTACCCACTATGCTGATATGGCATATTCACAAGGAAACCATATACTGTTTATAATTCTATTTTTCCAGTGAATTAAAAAAACGAGGCAATGATGTCAAAATTGTTTTATGTATGTGTATACTCAAAAATTATATTAGAATTTCATTTAATTTTCTTCGTTGCATAGTGTTAATCTACTCAACTAAGATTGTGCAGTGTCAGTAAGAGTTTTATACATTTTCAGTTTAAAGAACATGTTTTAGACATTGGTATATTTGGAACTGTCATTAGTTTAACTCGTGATCATAGTTATGGTTGTGATTTTGTTGACTTGTTATTGTATTTCCCTTAAAGATTCTTGACAGGAAGAATGCTGAGATAGAAGATGTGAAGACACATTACAGAGCAAAGAATAGAGAACAGGAAGAACAGATAAATAAGATGGAAAAGAAAAGTATGTTTACATGATGCCTCATATCTAATTGACTTCTTTGGTGTGTGTGTGTGTGAAAAAAAGGTACCATTCTAGAGTTTAAAGGGATAATAACTCTTCGTTTTGGCCAAAAAATGAATTTTCCTGGAGTAAACAACAATTTTCCCATACTAACCAATGGTTAATGAATCCATTTTTACATTCAGAGTTAGTCCCTGATTTCTTTCTAAAAAGTTTGTTTTTTTGTTAAAATCTCTTAAGAGATTTTAACAGAGTATAGCCATCAATAGAGTTCACATGGTCTGAAGACAAGCTCAGATATCAGAAAAAATGGCTATAACTGCCGTTTTTGCGGTAAAACAGAATATATTATAGATCTATGAGTTATTCACAATGATTTTATTGTGAAATATAGATCTCATACAAAGAGTTATTATCCCTTTAAGCACTTGGTGGTTTATTTTAAACACATATTGTTAGACATGTAGAGACACAAATTGAATAGGAATCCTATAATTTTGCAGTCCAGTCATTGGTGAAGGAATCTGCTGTGGTGAGAGAAAATAAAGACAAGCAAATAGCAGAGTTAAAGAAGCTGTCAGAAGAAACCACTCAAAGTAGACAGAATGAATATGAAAAAAAGGTTTGTGGCTGATCTTTTTCTCCCATACATTTGAGCTACTCATTTCAAATTGTAGTCTGTATAAAGTTGGAGTGCATGGGGAACACTTTGCGGATCTAATAAACGTATTGTTGTCAAAAATCACATTTATTCATAAGCCTTCCTTACTTTTCTGTTTTTATCTTCCTCTTTTTCTCTTGAAAAATGTTTGTTATCATGAGGTGTTATGCTTTATTTTACTAGTTGTGTTGTGCTTTTATCAAATTTTGTTGCAGCTGCGAGGGGCATTTTATTAATTTTTTAGTCATAATTATCATTATTGTTTGCTTATCTAAGTATGTTCTGCTTTTGCAAGAGTTTTGTTCTTGTTTCAAAGGCACATGAGGTAGAAGAAATAAAAAAGCAGGTAAAAGGTGGACACTAGCAGCTTTTTTCCAACATGCACTTAAAATTTCTTGTCTCCATGTTGATCACATTATATAGAATTTCAGCTATTAAAAACACTGTACTGCTGTGTCAAAGTATATGAATAGACTAGATATGCTGTCACTAATGTTTATTAGATTCACATTCACACTTTTATTTTGTCAATTTTTAGTTATTTCTAGTGTAGCTATTTAAGTTCTGTGCTGTATTTATTTAAAGTTGGGTTGTGAAAGGAGCTTTATTTAAAGTGGGGTTGTTGAAGAAGCTTTTTCATTTTCCTAAAAAAGTTTGAGTTTTGAAGGCAGAGATGATTTTCAGAAAAGATGTTTAAAAGGTGTAAGTTATATTTAATCCTCTTTGCGAATACATGATTACGAGATCTTCCTCATATCTATAGATGCATGACCTGGTGGCAGATTTTGAACAGGAGAAGTTTGACATGCAAAAACAACACACTAAAAATATCCAGGAGCTATTAGAAGATACAAATGGACGTCTTCAAAAGATGGAACATGAGTACAGTGAACAGGCAGTGCAGACAGTAAGGATAAACATTCTTCCATGTTGTAAATATTGTATGTATTAAAATTTAGAAACTTAAAAGCAGGTACTATTTTTAAAAAATGGTGGTATCTTTAACTGATATAAGATAAGGAGCCTTAATAGTAGTTGGACTTGTTGGGATTGGAGTATATAATAATCCAATTTAATTACTGTAGATTGCTTATATCCTTAAGCCATAAGCCCATCCCCATAACAAAATAATACTTGACACAAGATTTTGGTTTTGTCAATAAATCTAAAAATGTGTATAACGTCAAATAATAGTAGTCCTAAATTGACATTAGATTTTTCAAATGAGAAAGAATAATCACTATAAATAACGTGATGAATTTAGCAATCCGTTATACGTGAACTGGAAGACAGAGTTCAGCAGTTAACCATAGAAGCTCAGAACACTACAGCTGACAGAAATGCACTGGAAAGACTGAAGGTGGAGCTGGAGCACAGAATGGAAGAGACTCGCACAGAGCTGCAAGATTACAAGTCAAAGTAAGATTTTGTCTGATGTTTGGCAAATGTAATGAGTCAAGTGATGAATTCTTACACAATGTGATTGGTTCTAACTTGTCTTTCAATTTAGTTGTGAAGAACTGTATATGTAATTGAAATAGTATGTTGATATTTCGATATTATAAAAATGAACAAAAATTTACCTATTTTTCCACCTCAGATATTCAATATTAGAACAAGAGCACCAGAAGACTCTGGAAGACCATGACCTGACTCTAAGAAGTCTCAAGAACAAGAATGATGCCACAGTGGAATATCTACAGCAAGAACACAGCTTGGCAGCAGCTAAAGTATGATATCATACATATCAAGAATTCTCTTTTTATTTATTTATTTTGAAATTCTTCCAATCGAACATGGACCACAAAGTCATGTCAAGGTTATCTCACTTATGCACCCTTAGTAAATCCAGCTGTGATAATAGTTTGTGCAAGAGCAGTATATTTTACATATTTTGAATGTTTTCAAACATCTTTTCCTGATTTGTGTTTTGTATTTCAGGCAGCAGACACAATTTCTGATTTAGAAGATCATATTGCTCATCTTAAACAAGAATTGCAGGATGCTGAAACCCACAGACGAGGCCAAATAAGAGTAAGAAAAAAACTGAAATACATTTCCAATCAATATTAAGACAATTCACTTGATGTATTCAGTTTGATATATTTATAACTCCATCATTTTAGCCGTTTGTATAATTATTTTATTTGCTAGATTTTCTGTGGTTCCAGCTACATCAAATTATATAAATAGCTTGGAGTCAACCTTGTAAGTTATCATATTGGTACAAAGAAATAAGGTTTGTGATATAAATCAGTTTCTACCTTTATAGGAGATGGAGCAAGTTCAGCAACAAGACAAGATGCATGCTGAAAATCTGCATGAAAAGAAGGTATAAAATTATGTTTTACCTGGAGTTTATTGAAAAAAAATTAAATTTTTTATCCACTGATTACCTCTTTGTTGACACTTATATGTTTGAATATCAGTGTCTAGAATCCTATATAATTGCTGTTTTATTTTGACTGTAAAAAAATTGAATGTGTCTTTCACCTCTTTTTTTAGGTTCAGAGCTTGAAAAGAGAAATGGAACATGCAGAACAGGAATCTCAAAAAGTTATTAAAAAACTAGAGCAAACTGTCAAGTAAGACTACAAGCCTATGTTAATGCTTCCCATCCTTCTTTTAGTTTAATGGATTAAACATTTTAAGTTTCATCTATCAGGAGAAATGCATGTCATTATCTCAGTTTTTTTCCTTAAATGCCAAATATAATAAACTTTGGCTAAAGAAAATGAAAATGCCACTCTTTTGTCAAGTTTGTAGTGATTTAGAGGAATTAAACTACCTGAAACAAAAATCTATTGAGGATGGATCGTAGCTATACTATTCTCCATCATATTTTTAAACTGCAGCATTTTAAGAGAGATTATACTGATGGTTTAGAACACCTTTACAGAGAGAAAGATGAAGAAATTCAGAAAATAATAGAACAACATAGGCAACATGCTCAGCAGTCAGAGCAGGCTCTGACAGAGTTCAAATCCCAGGTGGAGAAGAATTCTGGTAGGATGTATGATGAAATGAAACAACAGGTATTTTTACTCTTGTATTACATTTATTCTATTTCCTTATTTAGAATTCATAGGCTAAAAATCAAACATCAATAATTTGAATGACTGGTATCATATGATGAGTGAGATATTGTTTTGTTTTATTGTTAGCTAAATCTGGTTANTGAAATTAATTAATTAATCTTGGTCGAATTGTTTGGCATATTACCGTATATATCAATCAGTTGAAGTTAGTGTGAAATGTCTAACCAAACTAAGTGCTGTTACTGAAAATGCACAACTCTGAAGAGGATATAGGTTGTCTTACTCAAATGTACTATATTTTCCAGGTTTTTGAAATGATCTGATATAATAAGCTCAGAGAATATGTCTTGAAATGATTTCTAAATATTTCCAGATGGAGAAGGTTGCAGCAGATTTGAGCAGGTCCAAGCAGCTGAGAGAAAAACAGGCACAAGAATTCCAAAAACAGATTGAGGACTTGAAAAAAGTGCATGAACAAGAGGTAATTTTTAAATTATTTTTCTTAATTTAGAAACATTTGTTAGCAAGCTTGTGGCTATGAAGTTTATTTTACCAATTAATATTTACCAAGTCATTTATCTCTTTCCCTTTTGTTCATTAGATATGTCCAACTTACAGGATAGATTTGTATTTTTTTCTTATGTTATTTCATTATAAATTCATTTAATTCATTTATATCAGGTAAGTATGATCTGAAGCTAGTTGTTTAAATAGCAAAGATATACCTTTGGTTACCTTACAAGGTTTTCATATTCACTTAATTTAATTTAACAAAGGTGTAAACTATAATACACAGCTGTGGGTTTAATTATTTAGTTGGCTGATTTGAAATTCTCTGTGGACCAAGACAAAGCACAGCTACTAAGAAACCACCATCTTGAGAAAGAGAGCATGCTGTCAGATCATGAGCAGGAGTTGGAGAGAGTGAAAGAGAACTTGAGGAGGGAGTTACAGGATGTGGAGCAAAGATCACAAAGTAGACAGGACAGAGACTCCAAGGTGGAGTAGGAACATTCTGCAATTTTCTTACTTTCTGCTGTTTCTTGTCCCGAAAATTATTGCATTTGCTTTACATTTTTTTTTTTCTTAAGTGCACAGGAAATAGAAATTATATGAAATAGGAAAGTTCTGACACTAAATCTAGTTGAGGTTTTCTCTTGGTTACCCTACAGACAGTCACAGAGCTTGAGGCGCAGGTGAGAGAGCTGAGAGAGGAGATTGTACAGTCTAACCAACTCCGCAAGCAGCAACTGGTAGAGCTGGGTCTCCTCAGGGAGGAAGAGAAACAAAAGATGCAGAGAGACCATGAAGCTCAGGTGAGCTTTTGAAATTATATTTTTGAAGATTAATGAATAAATAAGTTCGGAAAACATAAAGTTTACAGTGTCTTTGAAAATTTTATTACAGTGAAGATAGATATTTTTAAACATTAAATTTTGGAAACTATGCCCTTCCCTTTTAGCAAAACACAAACGAATCATTCACCTGGCAGTTAAGGATTGAAATGGCTTTGTAGTTAATTATGTTTTTGCATATGAATCTTGTGGGCATAACATTTTAATCACTGATGTAACTGTTATTGTTGAAAATTACAGGTTGCCAAATTAAAGTCTGAAACAGAGCAGCAAAAACTTTCCCTGCAGAAGTCACATAGTGAGGAGATTGAGAAAAATCTAGAAAAGGTATGTTTTTTTTCTGTGTGTGTAAAAGATTAAAATGTCCACTTTTGTGCAAAACATGAACACAAGAGTTAAAATGTTATTTAAAAAGTTCTGCTTAATGATATTATATAGAATAAGAGGGTTTTTTACTTAATTTCAGACAAATGTTCGTCTAAGAGAGATTGAAAAAGAATACACACAAAAGAGCCAGAAAGCCAATGAGGTATGTGTATAGTTGCATTATTTTTGACAGAAGTTTTGAAGGATCTATTATTTTTGTTCATTGTAATAAAATGTGATTAAATAAGTTATTATTTGTAAGGTAAGCATAATATTGTAAAAACTGTAAGACGAAATTTGTATTATGGCCATTGTTTTGTAATCCTGATTTTCTTTTTATTTTAATCTCAGGCCATAGCAGAATTGAATAAGACCATTGATATACTGAGAGAGGAAAAGAACAGGTAAATAAATACAGTTATTTGGTATTTTTTATAACAAATTTGTGTGCTCTAACTTATTTCAATTTGTAGGAGTGTTGTTTACCATCAAATAAATTCCAGAAGGATTTAAGTACCTCTAATTCAGTATTATACATTTTTTCTACTGCAGGTTGATCCAGGAGAGTAACAAGAGATTCTCTGAGATTTCCAGTAAGCTTGAAGAGGAAAAAAGAACAATGAAGAGGCAGCATTCAAATACAATGATGGTAATAGATAAGTGCTTTCTTGTCCATTAACACATTACTTTTTTTTTAAGTCATTAAATCAAAGTCATCGCAAATTGAATGGAATAGTTGTATTAGCATTGTACTCCCTGAGAACTTTTTTTATAATATATTAACTCTATGAATTTTTCTCAAAATTCTTCCTGGCCTTGGTGTGTTTTAAGTATCAGTGTGCCTGACAACTCAAATATCTGAATATTATTTTGCCATATTCAGGGTGCTCAACAACAGTTGGATGAGACCAGAAACCATATTAGGAGCCTGGAGAAGAGACTTCAACAGCAAGAAGCAGAATATGAGGACAAGGTGATAATATTTTGAAAAATTGGAATTCTCTAATGTAATTTCATCTTGGAATGGTTTTAATTAAAAAAAAAAGATTTGTAAATAAGTAGGTAAGAATAATACTTGTCCTTTTTCCGGTTAGTTTTGTGGAAATATAGGTCTAGAATTATTTATCACTATTGATTGCCATTTTCTCTTTTTTTTACACACATAAGATCAGTTTTTACCAACATCCTGTGTCTTTATTACAGATAAACGATTTGAGGTATCAACACGAGAACAAAATGAAAGGACTGATGCCAGTGTCATTACGCAATGAACTGGAGGACACCATTGCATCACTGAAAGCTCAGGTGACAGCACTCCAGCAGAGGGCAGAGATATTACAAGATGAGCTCAACACCAGAGATAGATATTCCTCAATGGGAGGAGGACCCAGAACTCTATCCCCTGCTAGATCACCTATCAGAACTTAGTTGATGAACTTACTTTAATTTTTAGTGTCCTACAAGATTTCCAAATGCCAGATATGACACATTGAATGTGGGCAATTAAGATGTGTGGAAAAATAATTACGTGTCAGACTTTATTTATTTATTTAGCTATATGTGAAAATTTTGTTTTATTTTTTACTTTTATGAACATGACTGTTTTTATTGATTTTATATTTTTGGATTTCTGCTATAGAGTTAAGCATACATTATGCAGTTTCTTCATGAAAAATTTCCACATTTTTCTTGCCAGCAGCATTAATTCAGTTTTGTTGATTTTTCATTGCAGTGTTAATAATTGATAAAATTTCTGAACTCATATTTGTGCCAAAATGTGTGAATTCAGTCCATCTTTTCATTATCATTTAAGGAAATATTATTATTATTATTATTATTATTATTATTATTATTATTATTATTATTACTCAGCATGTACACAGTCCTAAATCCTGACTATTTAGCATCAACATTTATTTAACAGCTCCTGATTTCAATTCTATTATTTTATTTGAGATATTGTATTATTTGACACTTACTTAGATACTTGAAAGCCATGAATAATTATTTTTCATGGAAAGAAGAAAGTTCTGGGGCAGTGTAAAAGATTACATGACCAATTAGTGCTTCCCAGTACCAAATTCAGTATTAAATGCAGGCTCAGGGAAACCGAGGATTTACAGCATCTGCATATCTTTGTTTTTAGAGATTCATCAGCTAATGTCACAATGTCTTGAGCACTCTTGTTCTTCTGGAAGCAATTGTATTGCAGTGGATTTTCATTAAGTAGTAGCACACTGCTTGATACCGTTTCGTGGGTTGATGTAATATTTTACTAATGACAATGTCACTGGCCCCTCCTGTTACAATGAAATAGCCATCATATAAAAGCTTTTTTTTCTCGGGTAAAATAATTTTCACAGAAAGTTAAAATTGGTCATTACTTACTCAATAGAAAAAATGCTAAATGATCTGGAATGTTTCTTTTTATCTCATTCAAACATGTATAAAACATTATTGTAACATTTGAACATGCAACTGTTAATATTTATGTAAATTCAACTGTACAAAGAAAACACAGATTGAAATGAGAGAAATTTTTGACTGTTATTTGTTGTTTCTCCACCTCAAGTCTTAGAGGTCCCAGGGAACTGAATCTAAAGATGTTGTTTCTCCCAACAGAATTAACTTTTATCTGTCTATGTTTGAAATAATTTTTTGGTTTCTGATAGTTTGTGACAACAGTGTATTAATTGTTTGATGTTTGTAATTTTTGGGGGGTATTATAGATAAAGCATTCTCAGAATTCAATGTTGCAAACAGTGCTGATATTAAAAGCAACTTATATCCTACCATTCCAAATTGTCTTATTGTTTGGACTACAGCAGCCTGAATTTGAGATAAATTAGTAGGTGGTATTGACTTTCTTGGAATTAAACATTTAACATCTTTCTCTGTCTAGTATGCTGTTCTCACTGTAACAGATTGCCCACACGCCTCATTTATTTCAGCTATGCCAGAAGACCTGCTTAATTATCAATCTGATAAAAAAAAAACTTCCTCTCTCTGTGCCACTTTTTTTTTTTTTTTTTTTTTTTTTTTGGTTATGTATACCTATTATTTTATGTGTGAGATTTTTTACTACAGCCTTCTTTATTATCTTTTTAAAGATGAGATATAGTTGGTTTCATTCAATTTAAAATATGCAAAAAGCAGGACTGTCTGCAACTATGCTTTTCTTAATGGAAGTGACTTTTGTCATGAAAACTTGCTTTGATCTGCTTACACAAAATGGTATTATCCATGTGATGTATTGTTCACCATATTAGCAATAGACACTACCTTCCTTGAAATGGAGACTTGGGCGATAAAATGACACTTTGATACTTGATTCAGGACACTTTGAACAATTTATAACACAATAACATCAAAGAACAGCATTTGCAGTATTGTGTCAGTGATGAAAGTCATGCCAACCATTTAATGCATCTATTACTGAAAACTAGATGTTTTCTTATTGTGTTTTTCATTATTAAACAGCAAGTGAGTTGGCAGAACTAATGTGTTTGAAATAGATCTGAGGATTAGTGTTGACTTGTTCAAACACAAAGCAGCAGTTGATGGCAATTTAATTGATTCATCATTTAGCCTGCATCACTCATCTCATTGTCTTTTTAACAATTAGTGGCCAACCAAATGATATGAGTGCTACAGAGTAACAAATGTCCTACTGCTCAAAATTTGTTTGCCATTTATATTGACACTAGGAGTAAAATTTGTCATATATTTTTACTGATTTATCTTGACAGAGTTGATACAAAGTAATATATTGGGACTTAAAATGAATGATGCCTTTTCTCCAAGAAACTTTTACCCTAATGTTTTAGTTTTGTTTGGATTACCTTTAGTTATGTATTTTACTTAGCAAATCGTACTGATCACACAAAATATGTCATTTTCACTGTACAAAACAGTTTGTTGTAGATAAAAAAAAAGATTACCTTATTCTGGAAAAATGTTATATCATTTGACTTTTAAATTGTATAAGCATGTCCAATTTCATATTCACATAAATCTAACCCACCCAACATATTGTGGGAGGAAAGAACATTTTTTTCCTTGCAAACATTTTTTAATTTGGACCATTTTGCAGGACTTTGTGAACCAAGTCTTTTCTCCTCTTTTGGTAAGGTTCATGGCTCATGGCTGGTTTGTTATGGAAATGGGAGGCGACCTCTGCATACGCGAAAATACCCCCTCTCCCAATGCTCATGTGACAGTCCCTGTAGTCAGCCACGTAGTATGGCCGATTTCTGTTGGCAGGACTTCTCAAAGCTCTCCAAATTTCTGTAAGTCATTTTAATATAATGTAAAGAGGGTAAAAAGTCTCATTTCATGCTGTGCAGAACTTCCATCAGACCTCAACATTTCCAATCAATTTCACTGTTTAACCCAATGGGGGACCAATTAAGAACAAGCCAATGTTAGGGTTGCCATGGCAATGTTCTCTTCAGTTTGTCAACATGCAGGTGGCCATTTCCTTTAAAAGGTGACAAAATGAGAGAAATGTTACATATTGCACTTAGTCAAGTGTGGTTTCTAGAAGCATGCAGTCAACTTTTCACATAACATCTGTATGCTTCTGACAGTCTGAAGTTTTTAAGTCAGAAGAGAAAAACAAAAAGAATTCTCTACTCGTTCTCTTTTCAATTTTGAAGTGGTTAGTAGTATACTGGCATCAACCTGTCAACATAAATTTTAGATGTGAATTTGTTTCATATTCTCATGTTGTAATTTGTTCACCATTTTTATTATTCATGTGACATAAATCAATCCCTTTGATCATATTTGCTTATGGTTTCAACTTCCCTGTTCAAGCTGGTCATGTGCATAAACATTCCTATTCAAAAGTGAATTTTGGGAAAATGCATACATGTTACATTTGTTAAGTTTTCATAAACAGATTTCCACTTTCTAAGACGTAATAACCAGGCACTGGTATAATTTTGTGGTGATGTAGTGGTCTGTCCCTACTCACCCATGGCCTTGAAATGGACATTTGGGTTTAGAAAACTGTCACAACAGGCCATTGGCTTATGCAGACTTTGTATATTTTGTCCAGCTTAGTTGCAGAAAAAAATCTTTAAAACAATTTTATTACTTAAAAATAATATACAAACTTTTATTACCAATTTTTGCCAAAATACAACTGGTATTATTCTTTATCTGCACCCTTCACTGGGCAATTGAACACTACAAACTTCACCCTGCCGAGCGGTAGGGAAGTTTACCTCATGGGAATAACCATAAAATAATACAATGTACAATCATGATTTAGGCAGCAAACTGCCTTTCCATTTACAAGTTGATGAAGCAAATAATAATTTACAAAAATTTGTTGGATCACACAGTATTATACAGGATCCATAATTACATTTTGATTAAAATCTCACAGGAGAATTGTGAGGAAATCCATGCTAGATGACAATTCATCATAATGATTAAATCTGTACCCAAGAATTTCTGAATTCATAAGTAAACCAAAAGAACAGCTATAAAAACAAAGAGCATTCTACTCAGAGTGAAATAAAGAAAACACAAAAACCTTAACGATGAATAAAATCAATTCTATCATGCGTAATTTCTTAGAAGGCACATTTGGTACCGTTCGTTAAGCAGTTTGTTGTAGGGGAACTTTGAAAGATAACTTGGTGTAATAACCTTAAGAAAATTGCCCAAAGTTCCGAAAAAGTCATTTTTTACGAAATTACGAACCTGATAATGAACAACTGGGCAAATTCTTAAGATGACAGTCACATCACATGACAATAACAGACATGGAAACTCCCAATGTCTAAATTGCATCAACAGCCCTTAAATATAGCTAATGGTTTTGAAAAGTTTGCAAAGATTATATTTTCAGCACAATGTCATTCAATAGCAGTTTATATTATTTGCAGCAGTTTCCCTTTTTCGTCTTGCAGAAGCTTTTGTTGTAGAAGTTTAAATCACAACCTATAGACCCCAAGAAAGCACAGAACTGGAAGAACTCTGGCATGGATCGTATCAAGAGAACACCAAATTTAACAGCTATAGATTACTCTTTAATTAAGATCTTTAGGCAGTAAAAAAAGAGTAGTTTTTAAGTTTCAAACTAAAAAATTCAAAGTTTTTAAAAACTCAAAGCTGCAAGATATTACAAGAGCATATTGACTTAAAATCAATGATGAACACACTGGGTCTTTATTCTGCTGTAGTGAAACATTTCTGTAACATAATCTCCATAATGTAATTGCACTGTTGATGTGAAAATGGCATGACAGACTCCCTTTTTGAGGTGGTTCTCTTGGGGAAATCTAAATTAAAATAAAAACCAACAAATTCATGTAGTGGTAAAATAAATACTGTTCACTTCCTGGTACTATTTACACTTAGCTAAAAAGGAAAACCTACTAAAACTGATGAAGTTCATGACGTTTTCACCTAATGATAATGTGTTATACATTCAATAATAATATAATAAGTTCCCTGCCATGGCGCACACAGTCTGCCCACACCTGAGGCAGAAGATATTGGCATTAACTAGTTGTGGTGTGTATTTCTGGCAAATCATAAAATAGTTTTCCCCTTCTAATTCTGAAAATTTATGATCCATATTTCCTTTCACAATACAACCCAATGTACAGCCTTCACTGGCAAATGTTAAAATCAAATTTCCTTAACAGAATAAACTGCTATAGATCTCATTCTTAACACACTCTAACACATTGCTTGCACAGAATTGCTAAGCATGCATCAGTACGTCCTTTCAATTCATCCCTTGGGATGTGTCCTTCACTCTGGAAGATGTTGTTCATCCAGACCATGGAGAGGCAGTTCTGACCCACAGAAACACGCCCGCGTCCACTGAGATTTGGACCCATAGTCTTAAGAAGAGGCATCACATTCTGGGTGCCCTGCATGGCTGTCTGGAACTCTCGTATAACTGCTTTGAGGATTTCTATCTGTTTTCTTCGCACAGCTACACCTTCACGCAGCCCTTGAAACCATCAGGTTTTCCCTTACAGATCTTCTTCAGGTTCACACAGAAACTACTATTCTGAAGTCTCTTCACTCTACTTTCTCAACCTTGGCAACAACTTTTCCTTCATACAATGGCAAGATGGCATTGTCGTTGATCACCTCAACATGAACAACACCAGTTTCAAACTCATCGCTGGCACATTTGAAGAAATATCTGAAATCACAAGAAGAAAAACTTTCAGGGGCTTTGTTATTTAAAACAGAGGTGCATCTGATGAAAATCTCAGAAGATGTGTCCACTTTTGCTTAATCCTTACTACACAATTAACTCTGACAACAAACAAAACATAACTACTCACCTGTAATTTCCTTTCTTGGTCAACAGACTCTTAAACTGTGCCAAGGTGACACTCTTCCCTGGAAGCTGAGTTCTGTATGGAATGGGTTCACTGCAGAAGTAATAGCCCACCACAGTGACCTCCTGGGATGATGTTCCTGATGCTGCTACAACTGGGACTGATGTTGCTGGTCCTGGGGCTGGAGCACTGCTGGGTCTGTCAGCACCACTTGCTACCTGCTGCTGCATGCTGGCCAGAGGGTGAGTTGGGGGCACGGAGCTGGAGGCTGGGTACTTTTGTCTGCCGACTGGCATTCCAGTATTGCAAGTCCTGGAGTTATTGAAACAAAGAGGCAACTCAGATTAGCATCAAAGCAATTATTACCAACAATATGGAAACTGGCTCTACTAGGATTTTTTAAAATAATTTTTATGCCCTATACCATTTAGTGGAATATTCATTTTTTTATCAAATATCGATCAAATATTTTTAACTACTACATAAAACTTATCAGCTTAATAGAAGAAAATCTTAATCAGCATCCCTCAATGTGATCAATTTTCAGGTTAAAAAATAATGCAAGATCTCTCTGTATACCTTGATCCTTTAGCTAGCTCCTTGGCTAGCTGTCTCGCATGTGCTTCATTTTCCAAACGCCTTCTAGCCTCCTCTAGCTGAGTGGTAGCATTGGGAGGGGGAAGCAGAGGCATGGAAGGGTCCTGGGCAAAAGGCTGTGAGGGACGTCCAACGTGCATGGGAGCCAGCTGTGCATTGATGACGCTGCTAATGCCACTACGGTCAAGAGACCCAGAGCGACTTACATTGTACTGAACTGGAGGTTTACTCTTACTACCAGCACTAAAATAATTGGAAACAATAGCATACATTAGAAATGTAGAAAGTAGAAGCATAGGCAAGCAAGCTATCTTAAAAACATTGAGATATATTTCAAATGAGTCACCAATTGCATCTGCATATGATATTTTAACAATATCATTAACACAGCAAGCTGGAGTTCTTTAATCACATCATTATATTTATAAAATTCAGAGTTAATAAATGCTACAGCATTGTATTCAAACATCAAGCAATGATGAGCAGTAAAAATTGTACTAATCATCCACACTATAATTTAACAGAACCACACCGGAAACATAAAAAAGTCCACTTTGAAATAAAAATTTTGATAATATTCAAATATGACAATAGTCACCTTTGCCTGTGTGGTTGCTGCGCATTGGAGGAGCTTGGCTTGGAGTGGTGAGAACGTTTAGATGAACTCCTCTCTGTACTTCGCTCAGAGTCTGTGTTCGTAGAGGCACTTTGTCTGATCTTTTCATTTTCTAATATCCAGTTCATGACCCTAAAAGTAGCAATAAAATATCTCAATTATGTAAGAGACAACAAGTTACATTTTTGAACCACTTCATAAGCATTGGCTTAAACCCTAGTAAAATGTCATTGCACTGCTTAACTTCATTCAACTTCCTACTAAACTATTAATGTGTAGTTAATTGAGACTCTTTTAATAAAACACCAATGCTTTGGGCACATACACATAAATATGGTTTATACTAAAGATGGTTTGAAAAGTATGATAACCTTTCCATGAAGTACAATTACACATGGCTTCATGCCACACTTCTTTGGTTTGACACTGGAGTGAACCACTGAAGTGAACCAACCTTGACACAAAATTTGTCAAGATAAAAGTCACAATATTCAGCCCACATTGGTTCTTCCTAATGTCTGTGCACCTAATGAGTTAACCTCAGTTCAGGTTAAACATTCACCTTAGCAGGACCCCTATTATTCCCCTAAAGCTTACCCCAGACCCTCTATCAGAATGATCAAAAGGATTTATCAGGATATTACATAACTTCACTCACAGATGTAATTAAGGTAGGTTTATAGCTTTCCACCTGAATATGGTGCAACTCTGTCATCTGGTACATCTGCATTGAAAATTACAGAGTGACTGCCTCCCTCCCTTTTATCTTTGTGCCTGATCACTTGCATTTGAATGTTGAAGGTATTCAGTAACTAGGGTAGTTTGCACACAATATCTCTCTCTGCAGGATGATGGTCAAACTGAGCCTGATAAACAGGACGAGGGCTGCCCCAAACCATGATCTGGGGAGCAAAACAATACCTGGGGCGACAAGGCAACCAAAAAAATTGTACACTGGTGAGAAAGGTGGTCTTATAGTTGCTGAATGCTTTATTTTGTCTTTAACTGCTTTCAACTGAATCTAGCAAGTATAGATCCACAATCACCAGAATGGCTGTTCATACCCCTCCTTCCCTCAATTCTAATAGATATAAAATACTTTTCAACTTTTCACTCCGCTTAGCTCACATCTAGGCACCACTTCCCAAATAGCAACCATTTGACCAAATAGGAATTATTGTATTATGGCGGTAATAAAAACTAACTAGCCATTTTTGGAAATACTGGATGTCTAATTTGACTTCCTACATTACGCCTGCTTGCTGGGAGTTTTTGCTTTGAAGTGCTTTGAAAAATTATGAAATACGGCTCATTGCAGGAGATGAAACAAATTACTTGAAAATGTGTGCACAATGTGATGAGAGCTACACTGGGAAGAACATCAATTCCCCTTGATGCAACTTGGAATTGAATGAAGCCAGGATCCAAGGTCTGAGCTAAGAAATTAGACATGCATGCAGTGCCACGATTGTCTAACTTTATGGCAGATTAATTGGTTTAACGCATGCAAATTACACTTATTCATTCCCATTTAGTGTTATCTCTAAGCCCAGTGGCCAGGACCATGGATAAGAATATGAATTTGATTCGCTGGCTGATCAAAGGCTTGCAGATCAAGAGTCAGGAAATCTGTGCAGTTCAGGACAATCCCCAGCCACCTTAGATACAGTTGTGAAAATTGATTGTCATCAACCATCTATCATGCCGATACTCAGGAGAAGATCCCCACTACTGTAGATAAAGGAGAAGCCAGTTAACAAAAGGAAATAAAATCTACAGCTATTGAATTAATGCTGGAAACATCTCCTGCTCGAATTCCCCTTTGTGTTCTCTTAACTAAGGGGAATTGCTGATGCTGATCTATTGATAACAGTTCAAAGACTGCCGCCAGCTCCATAGAGTCCTAGCGATAAAAAAATAATTGCCCTTAAAACCGGTTTGCTGCTATGAGGACTGACAATGATTTGTTTGGCTTATTCTTGCTACAATTAACTGACAACCACAACCATGCAATCAGAGCAAAGCTACTTGAACAGGAACTTGGCTTTTTGACTTCATGGCTGCCTAACTTATTGCCTGCACGCGCAACTTAGCATTTTAATCAGTTGACATGCTGACCTCCTGCAGCTCATGTTTCTTAGAACTTGATAGTTTTTAACTTTGATGTTGTTTTTTCCTTCTTTTTCATTTTTTTTACTGGTAATAAAAAGTCAGCATTTAAAACTCACTTCAAATGCAACTATGTAGGTACAAACATGACCTTACATGGATATTTCTTAAATTGCTTCAATTCTCATTTAACACAAGTATTCATGTCTGCTTATCCAACCATAGGTATTTTTTTAAAGTTTTCGTTCACTGATGACCACGTTTGAAAAACCACAAATATATATTAATCTTGGTTTACAACAAATTGTCCAAAATCAGAAGCATGTCAGCAACATTTACTCCCACTGGTGTCACTTTGAGCTAAACTGGTATTCCGACACGACCACCCCCAAAATCTACTTTGTGGCCAATTAACACAGGACATCATCTTTCAATTTCTCTTTAAAATGGACCTTTTTTATCATAATAACCTAAAGAATGGTTGAACTATAATCATTAAAAACATGGCTTAAGTTTGTCATGTTTTTGATCTGACATATAATAGAAATAACCCAATAACAAACACTAATTATAAGTGAAACGTAAGCCATTTCATTACAAACACTGAGGCATGAAAAACAACTGAAACCTCTCTCTCCAACACATACATTCACTCCCTATTTCTATATTTCAAATAATGCAATGACTTACTTTTCATTGGCTGGATTTGTAAGGTCTGGGACTGGCGGTTGGTCAACACCGCTGACACCACTATCACATTGGAGGTCTGCGCTGCTGGCATCTATACTTTTCTTGCTTCCTGAGCGTTTGCTGCCACTGTCGCGTGTGCGACCTCTGGATAGATCCATTCCTGAGTTATCTCCTACGCTGCGTGCCGTTTGATCCCCATGAAAATGCGCCATACTCCTTTGTTCTGCGTGATGTTCCAAGTGCTGCCTGGGTTTACCTGAATGCATGTTATGATAGTAATGATGATAATGGTGAACATGACGTGTTTTAGTGTCTTGGTCATAATAAACAGCTTGGTGTTCTTGTGAACTAACTCCACTGTCACAAGACACCATAGACATATGATCTCCACGATCCTTTTTCGTCTTCGGCCGGTTCATAGTCCCTGGTAAACTGGTGGCCGCTCCAATACCAGACGAACGACGATGAGCTCTCTCTGGCGATTTTGAGCGACTTGGGGTCTGTTTTCCAGGTGACCTGCTTGGTGTTTGACCAGTAGAACTGTCCCATATCCTGGAACAATGCTCATCTAGAATACTTTGAGAATTGTCTAAATCACTCTGTTCCTGCGTAGCTTGGGCCATAAGCATTGTGAAGACTGGATTGCTGGCCATTGCTGTCTTTGGTACTAGTTCAATTTCAGATTCTTCTCCCTGTAGTGATGGATTAAGAAAGAAATAATTTTAAAGTAATATCCCATTAGAGACTTAATCTAACTGCTAACAAAACATTCAATATGTATATACAATGATTCTGTTTCAATGAAATGAAAATGTTTATTCAACAAACATATATGCTGTTCTTTTCACAAAAATTATAAAAAAAAATTCCTTCATCCAACTTCAAAATGCATTGTTGAATCCATGAATTTTTTTTTACAAAATGGTCAATATTTGACTTACCTCACTAATAAGGGTCATCTTCTTGTTGAACTCTTCCTGCATGTCTCTCTCCCTCTCCACTTTCTTCAATTTTTCAATCAACATTGATGCAAATCGATGTGGATCTGTTTCTGCTATATTACGTTCCTTGAAATCTTTAATCCTTTCTGTGCGCTACAAAATGAAAACGATTATAAAGTACATGTAAGTTCAAGCAAATCAAACATTCATGTAAAATTCCCATATAAACAAACACAAGAATCAACAAGAAATAGGTCACTTTAAATTAAGAAAATTCCTTGTTATTACATGGTCAGTATCCATGAAGAATAAGTTCCAAGAACTTGGTATAATAAAAGTGCTTGCAGAAGTACACGTCATCATCCCAGATGAAGCCATCATCGCACAACTGTCAGCTGCAACGAACACTGTGATGTATACCGATTCCTAGAATCCCAGGAAAGGAAAGAATCATGCATGCACACAACAACATAACTCGCTCAAGCACAAAATTACCAATCATGCACATGATCTCTTCTGCTAAACATAAAAGCATCTCTGGAAGCCAGCCATTGCACTATTTTATCAGACTTCGAAGCAAGCTGATCAAATTATGCCACTCAACAATATCATTATAGCTAATAGGATCTGCTAGATCAAAGGAAAGGACAATTAGACCATAGCTATTTCGAATGACACTAAAAGACAGCATTATCCTTTCATCTTTCTCCGTTCTTTTCTCCAGAGAAATAGACACACACATTCATACTGTAGAGAATAGAACAATTTAGAACATAACAATGCCCTATTCCAGGAAGGTGCAAGCCGTCAACTCCAGGGAATAGGAGCAAAGATCGCAAGAGATTGTAGAAAAGAACAAAGAATGGGGAATATTTCCTCAAAAGCACTTGGTTTTTTTTCAAAAGCAAATTAGTATCTTCATATACTCTTTACATCCTACTGATGAATATTGAAATTTCATCATGTATTTCAAGGGATTAACTGATTAATATTTTAGTCCATGCATTATTCCATGTAAAATGACATAATTTACCTTATCAGATATAAGGAATGAAAAGTCTAGGTAATGGTAGGCCTTTAAAAAGTACATATTCAACTACAATTATATCATTTTATCATCTTAAAACATTTCTCAAAAGACAGAGGGGTCTGATTTTTTAAAGGTTAATAATCTCAGAAAGGATATCTATCCCTCAGGTGGAAAAGAAATGGCATCAAGTAATTTGCTTTCATCTCCTCTTCTCCTACAGGAGGAAAAACAAATGGCAGTTCCCTTTATGCTGCGTACATCAAAGTAAAATATGTGGCCATGCAATCAGGAGTTCTAAAGGCATGGGCTGGCATACCTTATTGTAAGATCAAAGAAGTACAGGTACATGTGACAGATGCAGTTAAAGTTAGCATGCAACTCATTACAGAAATTACTGGAGTGCTCATTAGAGACATCAAAGAGAGATCAACCCGACCAACATCATCTGAGCCTTAATCACAAACTTCGAGTCCAATTTCTAATGCTACAAACATTTATCACAGGAAAAAGTGTAGGAAAGTTACACCAGTTTATAAATAAACTTCACAAATAAAGGGCATCAACAATAAAAGCTTGAGTGAAGCACATGGAAACAATGCCAGTTTATAAATAAACTTCACAAAGCAAAGACCTGAAGAATAAAAGCTTCAGTTCATTTCCTTTCTGAAAAGGGATACTACTACTTTCATTGGCCTGAAACTAATCAATGCATTTCCTCAAATCAGATATATATATATATATATCTAAGTTGTTCTCAGTGCAGAAAGCGCCAAAATAGAGGTAATTTTCCCTTTGTATCTGGATCAGTTCATTAAGTGTGGAGGAATTTTTCTCCTTTATTTGTTTTTTATTTCAGTAATAAGCACAAAAATGATAGTGGTGATCAACTGTATCTTAGGCACATTCAATGTAACAAAAGAAAATGTTCCTCTTATCAAATATGTGCAAGGGTGTGGCAGTGTGCATTTTCCTACTTCACGTCTGTTGGCTCTGGTAACAGATTTATAAGTACATGGTTAGTTTTGCTTGAACCCTTGGACTTGATCGACATGATCAAAGGCAAGCTTTATTGCCAAGAGAGCAGGTGATTATAGAGAATAACTACCCATGTATTTCTTTCACATGCAATCAAATAAAACAACAGACAATCAATGTATTGTGTTCTTTTGTAGGCAGGTCTCTTGGGTATGAAAACGACATAATGTAGAGGCCTCAAAGTAATGTGCATCAAGACAGCCACACAAATGAGCCGTTTTGTTGAAAATCTCCCTGAAAAATCTTATCATAGGGAAATGTATATTTGAAATTTCTACTGCCGATTATGGAGTCATCTTGGTGCATCCTGGCAAAGGAATTATCTGTCAGTTCACAAAACTTTTTTTGTTACAAAATCATTAAAATGTTGATCAAAGTTGAGTTTCTTGGTTTGCCTAGCTGTGCCTAGCATAAGGTATTTGAAACTAAGAACATGTACATGCACACACACTTGCACATACACACACACACACACACACACACACACACACACACACACACACACACACACAGAGCCCTTTACTTCTGAACAAGATTTCTCTACACAAGCAAGGGCTCAGCACTATACTTACAGGTATAAGGTGAGTACTGAGTGCTGTATCTCTGTTCTGGGCAGCTGATCGTTGCATTTGTTTCCGATGCCGCCTCCAATAACGTCTATTTGGGGGAATGCCATCACTGTAACAAAAACAAAAAATACTTTTATATTGGTGGTTCAATTGAAAACCATTAAATATTATTTAAATACAATGACAAAAGGTAGCAAACTTATGCAGAAAAAAAGGAATTATTGTTCATCTTTTGTTTTAATTTTTTATTTAGAATGTTTCCTTTTACTGACACATATATATAAGGCACCTAAACAATTACAAACAGTTGTATATCCCAAGAGGCCAAAAAGCACTTGTTGCTATAATACCCAAAAGATGTAACAAAACTTTTTCACCACCACTTAGAAACAATGGACAACAAAGACATCAAATAACTTTTATTAATGCCCTGAACATCATTTTTCTCTACATTGTTATGTATCAGTGTAGATCTATGGAATCCCCTCAAAGGATAAAAAACACAATGTGATCANTTATAAACAACCTTTGATGAAGTAAAACAAAAAGAAATCAAAGGATAAAAAACACAATGTGATCACAAAACTGGAAACATGATCTAAGAATCGCTGTCCATTGCAGCTTTTACTGACTTCTCAGGGGATCAGGAAAAATTATTTTCTCCTTTAATAAACTTCCCCAACTTCAGGACCTAACCAGATCAAAGATTTCTTTGACATACTGAATGCTACTATACATTTTTTTTTTCAAAATCATAAGCCTGATTAGCATCTGCTTTGTCCATTTCCAAGTCATACATTCACCCGACTGTGTGATATTTTTGCCTACACAAACTTCAAACATACACTTGCCTTTGATGTTCTATGCAATCATATAGAGCAGACATTGGCTGAAGTATTAGCCTTTTTTTGCTTTCCTTTTTAGAGAGTGGGCCATCCAAGCAACAAGTCAAAGAGCGCGTTCAGAACAGCAGACTAAGGCCACATTCACATCGAGTTGAGCCATGGCTTTACAAAGCCACGACCTAAATATGGCGGACGTACATGAAAGGAAAACCGCCTAATCTTTCAATAGTCTCTCCGCCTCTCACACACATCCCCATGTGTCGTCCCAATGGAGCAGAGATTTAATGACCGTACCCCTGCAGGGACGACGCTTGGGGAGGCGTGTGAGAGGTGGAGAGACTATTAAAAGATTAGGCGGTTTTCCTTTCATGTATGTCCGCCATATTTAGGTCGTGGCTTTGTAGAGCCATGGCTCAAATATGGCTGACCCACTTGAATACTTGTTGCTAATCCCCACGAGAAATTAATTCAGTATCTTATTGGGAATTAAGCAAACTTTTTAGTGGGTCACAATATTTGATTTGTGGATCTGTTAGTCTGCTGTTCTGTATGCGCCCTAAGAGTTGCCTTAACAAAGTAGCAAGTTGGAAAAACTAATGTGTTTGATACAATGCCATACAATACTACAAATGCTTATGCTGTACTGAATCACTACAAAAAATTCTAACTTTTTCATATTCAACAAATAAAAATCCCCAGACAGGCCTTCGTGATGCAGATAGAAACACTTGCTAAGGTGGGTCTTTTTTCACTTCAAAAGCACTATAGCCCTTTGATGAGGAAATACATCAAGGTACGTCTTCAGGCAGAAAAATTTGTCATAGTAGATGGAATACATTCCAAAGTAGCCATCTTCTTCAACCACGCATATCATATATCATGGAATATTAATCACCTGTAAGTTGGAAAAGCAGTAAAACCAACTTTGCTCCCCACAAAAGAGAAAGAGAGAGAGAGGAAGAAAAGTCAACTGATATCACCCAAGTCAGCTTGGCTGATATAAATTAGTAAGCTTTTGGGACATGCAATTTCTTTTTTATCCTTCCTTTCCCCCATTCTCTGCTCAAGTAAGGTGATTTGAATGCAAGAACTTTGATTCTCTGCTACTGCCTGCTGCATCCTATGAGATAAACACGCTTATTCAGATCAAAAGACTCTTGAGGAATCAAGCGAAGGATAAAAGGAATTGAAAATGAAGAAAAAGGCTTTGATGCTCAAAAATGTAATCGACATTAACAAAGTATCTAATTTAGCCAGTCTCATTTCCATGTGAATGCTTATCTTGTCAATTTATCAGACAGCCACGCTGGCTATGAAATTCAAAGTGTTCTCTAATCTTGCAATCCAATGAACTCTTATGCTTCCCTTTTCTCTTTACATGAAGACTAGAGCAGCACAGGAAAAAACTCCTTTTGTATGAATTACAGCTTATGATGGTTGAATTTTTTCTGCAATGCTATCATAAACTACAGCTTTGATTAGGGTCATGTGTTATTTCTGTCGCATACCAAAGCTTAATGAAAGAATGTGATCAATACAGCTTATTTGCAATTCAGTGATTGGTGATTCAATCATTGTGGCCAAAAACAATTGCACTATCCTATGACAATTCCCTTTGATCTGAGTAATATCATACAAAACATTCACACAACGGAATCCAATATACATATATCTTTCACAAAGAAACAATATGATGGAATGACTGCCTTTGACCACAAGTGCATGCTTTGCTGCATATAAAATACCATGTGAGAAATAAAGGCTGAAGTTTGTATCATAATCATTTGTAAAAATTTTCCAATCGAAATGTACCCAAATTTGAACCTACATAACTACATCCACCAAAAGAAAAACAAAACAATGTATTTATGTTGCCTTCCTCTTCAAAGTATTTCTACAAATACCCAACCAGAAATAAGAAAGATGGAAACAAGCAGCAGACCCAAAACAATTTCTGGTTGCAATTCTAATACGAAGACTCCACCCAATAACAACTTAAAGCCAGCTACACCCAACAAGATCTCCCCAGACCTCTAAACCATTACCACATCTTCTGATTTACAAAAAAAAATTCACCACAATTGATATTTTTTGCACATACATTTGTTCAAATCAAAATTATCAGGGTGCCCATGGCCTACAAGAACCTGTAACTGATAAAATATTTGCTGCTCTACTGGTGGACAACTCTAGATTAATTCTGAAGTACTTGAGAAATGACAGTTGCCATGGGAAAAATTATTATTTGGCCATGCTCTACAGACAGACTGTCCAATGCTTTATAACAAACACACACAAAAATAAGATGAAGCTTCCAAGATCTTGTAAAAACCCAAAGAACTTGAGTTTTTTATAACTATGACCAGTGTTAACATATTTCAACCCTGACATATCATGACATGCAAAATGCATGTCAGCAAAAAATAAAAATAAAGTAAATAAACAAAAAATAAATAAAAGCTTTTCATACTTATCAATGCCATCAGCATACAACTGGATCAATTAACATCATTTCCACTATGAATGAATCTCTATAGCTACTTACACACTGCTGTCTGTGAGAGACATAGTGTCATCTGTGAGAGCATCACTGGAAAGGCTCTGCAGCTCAGAATCCTGGGCCGAAACGGGAGCATAGCTGACATGGTAGGGGTGTGGTACTCTACCTCCAGGCTGTAGGTACAGGCTGAAAAATTAAGAATTAAATAAATTACAGATTGAAGTTATCTTCACTAGGAAGTCATTTCACTGAGTTATTTTAATTTTTGTCATGCACTGCATTTGTTTCCATTATTTTTTTTAATACTTCAAGCATCAACCCCCCCCCCCCCCCCCCCGGCAATTTTATTTTAACTTAAAATGAGTTTTACTGTGTGCAAACCATTGCCCAGATCATAGTCTAAGTTACAGGACATCTTTCAAGTTCAGGGTTATCAGAGTGGCTGGTGAGTCATGCCTGTACAAATACTTAGTAATGAATGGCTGATTTGTCCCAGGTTTAGTTGAGCCATGACTTACATCACATCAACCCCCAAGAACCTTGCTCAGTTAACTCCAGACAAATGAAAACCAAGTCTCCATCACATGTCTATAGATCATGTTAGAGTTGACTTGCCTTTGCAATTTTCTAGCAAGCAATGATAAATAAGTTTAACTGCATCTTCCCACCTTAAAAATCTATTCATAAATGAGATCAAACTAGTTGTAATGAATAGTGGGAATACAGTATTTCCCAACTAACTTCAAATAATAACAAATGGGTGAAAAAAAACTTGAAATTATGTCTTTGAAATTGAACCAAGAGCCCAAACATATCACTTTGTGTGGTTTGAGACTTTTGAAACAGTGGGCCAGATTTAGTGCTACTGGCCTTGTGTGCACTTTATTTATTGTATAATTCTCTGTTCTCCCACCTGCTCAAAAGCTTTCTCCTAAGGCAGCAAATCAGAAACCTGTGCCATGGATTTGTTTATGAAAGCAGTCTCAAATATTTGGCTTCTGTCACCATGTATTGTTTCCCAATACACATGGTTGCTTTGTATAATTTTTACTCAGCTTTGACTCATTATTACGTCCAAAGCTTTTATTATGAAGCAACTCTAAAAATACTCAGCAGCTGTACTGAGAAAAAAAAAACATGCGTCTCATCTGATTGAAAGATAACTTTCACCTTCATCAAACTTGTGTTCCCTTTTAATTTTTCAATTCACTTGCCTTTTCCCACATGAAAACAACCCTAAGCGTTCATTCACTCCAAGGCAAAATACAAAAGACAGAACGCTTCAGGAAAAGCTCAGCACAGTGCAAGTACACTGAACGTCAATGATTTTTTTTACAAATGTTTAAAGTAGCTGGTTGATCAAAGTAAATACTGGCTGCTTGGTGATTACACTGAATCCCATGAAAGCCCTGTTCGCTGAAGCCTTGATGCAGCGAATAGTAAACATTCCTTGTGGGAGTGAATAAACCTCTGATAGTTTGATTGCACTGAGGTGACCAAGGTTAATTCCAGTACATTCATAGAGAGATATATTAGGCTAAAATAATGCAAATTACAAAGCAAAACAGGATTTTCTTGTAGCCTCACTGCTAGGATGACAAATTTGGATGAAAAACAATTCTGAATGATTAAAATTATTGGGGGTTTTATCCTATCTAATAAGACACAATCAAGAACTGAACTTCATCTCCTACCATCAAGGTGATACCAACATTTCCCTATCCCTAATAGCAAATTTACACAGCAAATATGGCCGCCCAGGTTAGGAACCCTAAGTTACTAGGTCACAGTGAAGGGCCCTTGATAGGTTTATGGACCACAAAAGCTTGAAGGTTCCTCAATAAATCTTGCAAGTGATCGTAGGTTCAGTTTTCCTTGACTTTATGTGCAAGTGGCCATTTGTGCACCTCTTAAGGCTCTCTATACTAGTTTCAGGGACTGAATAAAGGAACAGAGGTCGTGCCCCGAAATTTGATCTGCCATACTGAGGTAGTCATGTGGAAAGCACAAGGAACAAAGTGTGTTTTGCTGGGCCAGTTCTTCAAAACCCAGGTAGCTAAAATATGAGTCAAATGTGGTATGGGGTGACTTGCTACCCCACACAGGAAGGACTGGATCGATATAATTAAATCTGATTTTGAAAGAAACAGACTGAAATGGCATTTTCAACTGGCGGGATTCAGTTAAATGGATAGAAATCAACTACTGTCCTAAACCTGGTCATGTGAATTGTTTCTCAGTAGCATTTACATGAACTCAAACCAATTTAGAAATGTCTATTTTAGGATCCACAGAAAGTTGAGCTATTTAGTATGTAACAATGGGTGTATTTGTGTATATTTCAATCTCCTCTCCTTTTCCATTATAGCTGAACTTGGCAAACTTGGGGGTAGAATATATGGAGTAGATTTGGTACTCACTTAAATTTTAATTGGAAACTTTGTTTGATCTCACACACCTAGCTGACCTAAACCCACTGCGAGGATGGATATATTACAAGCTCAGTTAACCATAACTGCCAAAAAATACAGCCAATTAAATTTGATCTGTGATCAAAAACTGACTTAGGTCAGACGATACATCTTCGAGTCAAAAAACACCGTCAATCCAATTACCGCAATGCTTTGGTGCAGACAATCATGACCATGTTACCATGGTGATGTACTGTGGCGATCTTTTAAAAGAGTAATAGAAAAAAATGACATTCAAAGGAAGTTTGCATTTGTTGAGTTTGTTGTACATGGCTAGTCAATTAGTTCAAAGGAAACCAAGGGCCTCCTCTGTTTATCCACACAATTCCCTCCAAATGTGCGATCTGCTGCTACGCCAGGGAACACATACTTCCAGACATGGTTTGAATTTTGCACTGACTGTGAACCTGGTAACATTTGCACAAAACATCAAAGCTTGTGAAGCTAGGCTTTGAAGTGGAGAGATTGTTTTGTCCTTTACACACTGCCAGCGGCTAATGTGCCCCATGCCACAAGACACTTTTGATGAATAACAACACGGTTGCCTTAAATTACGTTAAATTCTCGCTTTTTGAAACATCCTTAGGGCTTGGCAGAGAAAATGGGTAATTTCTTAAGACAATGCATTGGAAATCACCCACATTTCTAGTTCTTTTCCTCTGGCTTTTTGTTAATGAAACTACTTTTCAAGACCTCTGGATACCTCTATCCCAGCAGCTTAGAGAATGCCAAGGCAGCAAGCACATCAAGTTCAATCAGCTTGCCAATATATAAGTTTCAACTACCATAACATCCAATTTTAGGTATGGCTGCTCTACTTGCTGGCCAGTATGAAATCCAGATTTCAAGAGAAATCCACAGTCAAAAACTGACCGAAATACCATTAGTGGCTTCTCATATTTTTCCCCTTAGTAATGTGGGAAATTACTTTCTTCAAAATCTTCAAAGTCTATAATGGTGTCAATAACAACTTTATCCTTATATCCCATTATCACATCAATTTAAATTTTGAGCTTATTCTTATTGCTTTCCACAGGGTTATGAATTTATAAATAGAGGTCTTTTTTGACAAATCTATGACCAGATTAATAAATGACCTAAATTCACAACAGTGGCCATACACATGCACACGCCTCTTGTACCAGGAGCAGCAGGAGGCATGCAACCATGGATGCTCAAAAGATACACAATGCCACCAGTCAGTTGAGCGTTTATTCCAGCCACATGATTAATGAAATACCAGCTGAATTGAAAGTAGGGGGAGGCAGTTTTGATAGTAGTTGGTTTACTTTTAAGACAACCTTGGCAAGTGTTGGATTTGGGCCACATGGACTGATGAACTGGTCTACATTAGGGGCATCCTTTAATGGTTTCTGTCTGCAAACAATCAGGCTTAGACATTTGCTCTACCCCTTGGTAAAATAAATGCCATAAATATATAGATGATACATAGAACTTGAACACTGAGAGGCCTCTTTTTACACCTTTTGTTATACACAAAATTGGGCCTTTCATAAACATTTTTGGTGGTCATTCCATGGTTTGTTTGATGGTGCATTGATCCCCGTTTCAGAGCCAGAAGCAAAACTGTAATTCATATAACGATTTGTAACATTCTCGCTTCATAAAACAATGTCATGCCAAAATGACCTACACATCTCATAAATCAAATCCAAGAGAAAAGTTATATTCTTCAAAATACCATTCCTGGGAACAATAATTGTTAAGACTTGTAAGTGAATTTAAAGATAATTAAAATAAAGTAACATTCTTATCAGATCAAAAAGTTATCCTTAAATATTATGTATTCAACTGGCCTGCATTACCTATGCAATGACCGTGAACTACACCATCTAATATGGTAGAGCTTGCACATCTATCATCACTGACTAGGTTTGAGTAAACGGGTCTTGGGTTGTAAATATTCTGAGCAAAATTAGATTAATCCTTAGCCAATATGTCATTTTCTGACACCTCAGAAGTGAATATGCCCATCTCATGTATAGTTTATTTGGCCTAAGTGATTTGATCACTTATTACACTGACTAGAGTTCTGACTTTAACCCAATCCCACTGTCCATACACTCACCCTGCCACTGCTTCTGGTCTTTTAAATGGTGGAAATCCACTGTCTAGCCTAGTATTCCGAGTTGCAGTCAAAGATTTTGTAGTAAGAGGTATTGGAACAGTTGTTTGAGGTATCGACTCTGCTAAAAGTTCAGAGTCCTCATGCAGAGTTGGTAGTGGCCCCGCAACACTGAGTGGACGGGCACTGTTTGATCCACTAGAATTGGAGCTACCTCCCTTGGGACTCTCTCCTCCATTTTGAAGGTATTGCACATAAAGATCAGATTTTAAGAAGGTTTGATATGTCTCATTTCGCATAATATCCTCCACCTCTGCCTGGGCGCTGTCAAATATAGCTCCATCAATGTCTTTTTTATTTGCAATTTTATCCTGTATTTCTTTTCTTATTTCCCCACTTAATTGTATTCCAGTGTCACCACGAATATATTTCTTGTAAATCAACTTGATGATCTGAGTCTCTTGGGCCTTTTCTTGTTTTTTCAAACCGTTCACTGCAAACCAGAAATCCAGAAGATTCACTGTTTGCTCCTGCTCAAGAAACTCACGAAACAGTTTTACCCCATCTGCATCTCCAAGTAAAAGATTGAAATTTTTAGCCCAGTTTAAATATGGTGGGGTCTCTGTAAATGGCGGCGAATTGGCAGCACTCCCTTCTGGTTCAAAACCTAGTGGAGCCTCGATCTCTTCGGCATTTAAATCCTTGTTTGAATTTGTGAGAGAGCCACCCCCTTTGTCCAGATTGGACCTTCTTGGAGTTCCTGCAGGGGAATGGCTAACATCACTCTTTAAACTCTTGCTGGAGCTGTGGCTTTTGTGAGATGCATGGCTCTTGTGTGAGCCACTACTTCGTGTACTGTGACCTCCATTGGATTGGAGTTCATTCTCTTCTCCTGGTACAGGGGGCCGAGGTGCAGTTTCAGTGAACTTGTGTCCACCTGAGTCATTAACGAATTGGTGCACCTCAATGCTCATGTTGTTGATAGATGCAGTTTCTGAAATTATAGATGGACAAACTAAAAATATATCATAAAAGCCTCCTATCAATACATGTGACCCTTAAAAAGAATAGTGGACTGTACAAATGAGAAGATTTCTATCTATAACATTCAACAAACACTTAATATATGATTCTTTTAACTGGCAGAGGGACTGGATATTCTACAGCTAAAATGCACCCCTGCAGATAAATAAGAAAACTTTCCAAATCTGTCTTAACATCTTTATAACATTTGCAACACTTATGCCATGTTGTACTGCAAAGCATGTCCACATATTATGCAATGATTGTGCTAAAGTGAGAAAAAAAAAATATATGTATATATATAATGTTATATAATGTTAAATATATTATGTTATATATCTAGTCATAAAGGCTTAATTTATATAATTATAACACCCTGTATGCACTTGGTCACATTCAACAAATGATGCTTTAAATTACTGAAATCATTTGATAAACAGCAACAGTGTTCGCTTTTTCTGGAGTGCTACTTAATTTCTAAGTGAGACCCAACTTACAGGGCAAACAATTAATTTACAAGAATCAGGTCACCAATTAAAATACTGACAAGAGGTATGCTTCCAAATAACTTTGCATGTTGTTATGACGAAAATGTATAAAAAATCCTTACTCTTATATACTATACCATATAAAAATCAACAACATAAACCTCAAGTTCCTAAATAAGTCTGGCAACACTTCCGATTTGACCCCACCATCTACAAGACTACAGGGCTATGAGAAAGCTACCCAAAGAATGGAAGCCGCCATCTTGCATGCAAATAGGACAACGGGGGCACGTTTAGGGAGAAGCCATGACATACAGAGGACATCGGCTTCTCAAATTACAACAAAGTTGTGCTAAATTTACTGTCATCATTAAAATAACATTTAATTAAAATGAATTGAACTGCAATTAATACTGATTTATTGTTTAATTGATGTTACCAATGTCAGAAACCCTGACGGAACCCCATTCATTCGTTAGCCAGTGCCCGTTCTCTTGAAAGACCACACGAAAATCGGACTTGGGTCAAAAAGAATTACTTCTATAAACCACCATATATATATTTCCCTCCACAGATTTTTGAACCCTTTGCTGCTTCAAGCTTTAGTTTAATGGGAATGCAAATTACAAATGGGAGAACAAGGAGCCCATTGATTGAAGTTTACAAAACAAACTCAAAACGTGGATAGGAGAAATGTGACTTAAACAAAAGTGCGTATTCTACAACATTGAGCATCCTAAGTTAAAGAATTTTCAAATCTTAAACGACAAAATGGAACCCACCTCTCTCTGTCATTCACATTGTATCGACCTCGACTCACAAAGGCAATAATGTATAGCCAGTCATTCTCATTGAATGGCCCATAATTTGATGTCGGAAAGTTTTCAAAGCCAATGGAATTCGGTCGATTTCTCCACGAAAACTACTAAAAGTTCTAGTTTGCATGATATGATAAGTGAGATCTTGTACTAACCTTCTGCTATACCATCTTGATCTTTGTGGTTTGCTTTTCGAAGGGCTAAAAAGACACTTCAAAGTTTGAATACCTTAGATCAAAGCCACATGCCCGCCGCCGACAATCCCTGTACACACTGACGTCACGAGGTTTTTGAAACACCGCACCAATCAGAGGCAGGGAGATATCAACACACTTGAAATGAATTGGGCGAGATCATTTACCCCACAATAGGTCCCATTTACCTGAACGGATATTACTTTACTCTACTTCAAAACTTTATAGAGCTATATCTTTTAATTTTTTATAATACTATTGCATTTTACCTGTATTTTTATATCAAATCCAGGTGAAATGTTGAAAAACCAATTAGAGTTAGTAAAGAATCTGTAATTAAAAATGCCTGGCACCCCTTCTAATTCCTCGGTCCACTTCAATTGGTAACGAAGGGGTTGGGAGAATCAGATAACTCGCAGATCATAGGACTGTTATTTTATCGTATTCTGGGTTCATTTTTTCATAGTATCACCAGGAATAGTGATCATGAGAACCCTTTACGGGTCTGATATCATGACAAAGGTGCACTTCTTTTGATTACAGTACTAATTGAATGAAAAGAGGAGATTTTTCCACCATCTGGCGAGAACAAATGTGCCCGTTTTATTACTCCTTTGATGTTCCGGTAAATGCTAGCTGGCTGCTATTTAATTACACGATAGGGGTTGTGGATTTCTTTGTAATTACCCGACATCGTGCATTAACCATGTGTCTTTGTTTGGATCAACTAAGAGACATTTAGTCAGGCAACTATTTAGTTACATGTATTTTAAGAGTGAGAGGATCTAAAAAGACGTACTGACATGACATTTCTGTGATCTGTGTTTTCTCAGAGAAAAATCACCATTAAAATCATTTGTGTGGTTTGTGCGACTTTCTCAGCTTATGTGCAAGTGAGGCCATTTCAGGAAATAACCAGAAAATTGAGTTTCATCGATTGGAAGGAAAGGAAATCCATGCAGCTATCGTTTGATTTCTTCTCACGCAATCTTTTTCGCGCTATTTTAGAATTAGCCTTTAAATTCTTATCCTTATTTTTGTACCTTGGACGAAGAAATCGTTTTATTCGTCCAAATTCTACTCCAAAAACTATTTCCACAAACCACTAAGGTCGTCTAGCCATGTTATAGTCATGAAAGATTTAAAAGTCAGTGAGAAGTCATCCACAGAAAAACAGATTCCTCATACGAACAGATGTTAAAACCACCAACCCGTTTATTTAGAACTTTATTTGTAATTTGCCTCTGCGCTGCACCCAAACAAAATCTTGTGAATAGGAAGACCAGCCTAACTGATGAACGAAGCTATTTACCACATTTTGGGGATTTTCTACTGAAAGTAAAGGTTAAAAAAATGTAGGATCTTAAAATCGAGGGAACGATGGCATCTTTTCTTAGGAAACCCACATGTACATTAAGTAGGTCCCGTAAAGATGAAACATCAACTGGTGCTAAGCTCAAATATGAAGTATCAAGTCCGAAAAATAACGATCGCCAAGCCAATACTTAGTGTAGCTATATAAATAAAAGAAGGGAGAAAATAAACAAATTGAAGGAAGAATAAAATGCACGCTCTCTTGTGATTTTGCCACCAATTCCCCAACATGAAAAACGTGACTATATCAAAAAGAATAAATAAATATTTCTTTTTTGGTTTATTTAACTAACCTTGGTGCCTTCCTTCCCATTAAAAAAATTAGGCAGGCACCAAGGTAACTTTTTTAATTAAATATATATCATTTTTGTTGTTGTTGTTGTTTTACCCTTTAAGGTTTAGTCATTTTTCTCAATCACAAACGTCTCTACGTCTTGTGGATTTTATGCTTTATGGTCCTTTCTTCATTGATCGAGAAATCATTACGAGGATATAGGATCTAGAATACTATCGCCATCTATTGGTTGTCATTTTTGTTAATTATATAGACGTCGCTAGCGTAGACTAACTGACCCTGACCTTGCGCGAAAAATACTCCGAGGCGGAGCAAGTAACTACAGTTTAAAAAGTCAAATGTCGTGGGGAGGAACGCCGCATTATGTAAGTTATACATCAAAATAAAAAATGTGTCATGGCGTAATTGTCTAAAACTACAGGAGATGGATTGCCAATGAGCTGAAAACAATTTGACAGGAATACTGTCACTTCAGCTCTAGTAGCCTATAGTTATGCATGTACAGTACCACCAGTACGTGTATTTCCTCGTTTTTAATTTTGATGAATTAAATTTAAGGGCATCAGTTTTTAAAAGCAGCAAGTGTAAACTCAGTATTTCCGGGTTGGACACTTGTAAGATTTGTGAAGACCATTAATAAACACCATTCAACAAAAGGTGGTCTGTTCATTTTATATTGATGTCAAAATTTTTCTGTTATAAGGTGACGAGATATAATATAATAGGGCCTAGTTGTGCCACAACTACTTACAAGTGATATATTGGAATGTGGTAAAATTGTTTGTTACAATGTTTATTTCGCTTGCACTGTTTAATTATCTTCATGCTGTGATCAAAGTTTAGCGCACTCTCTCTCTCTCTCTCTCTACTCTCTCTCTCTCTTGCTGTGTGTATGTGTGTGTGTGTGCAGGGGCGGATTTAGGCCGTCTTCTGGGTCTTCCGGAAGACGGTCAGATTTTCAAGTTTACATTGTCAGGCATCTAATGTTTTCTGTCGGAAGACGGTCAAAAATGGAGGATGGATCAACAAAGATAATTTGGAAGACTGTCAGAAAATATCTTTGGATCCGCCCCTGTGTGTGTGTGTGTCAGTATGTACATATACCAGTATCTGATCTTGCACATGATATCACTCTCCTGTCTCCTGTGCAAGTGAATAGCAAAATGGGCTTTGGCTCATAATATAGCATCTGTACCTATAAAACGATCAACAAGTTTTCAATGAGGAAAAGAATAAAGAGTTTTGACCTTATATGGTTGTACACCATTTTTAGTCACTTAAACTCTGTCTGCATTATGAATAGATTGTGTTACAAGCTGCACATCCAGGCAGCTGCTTCTGTTTCCATCCTACAGTGATTGTCATTGCAACAGTTTTTATTGAAAGTGGCAGAAATAAATGCATCTTACACATTTGATGTTATTAATAACATCAGGGCTATGGCCAGGCCCCACCCCCACAACAACAAGGTTATGGTCAGCCATATGGTCAAGGTCCACAAGGTGGACAGTACAGGGGACAGACACCCAGCTCAGGGCAATATGGTCAAGCACCTGGACAGTACGGTCAACCTCCTCCTGGACAGTATGGTCAGCAGCCTTGTCAGCAATATGGGGCAGGATATGGCTATCAGCAGCAACAGCCTGGTGGAGCGTATGGCGGTGGGTACCCAGGGGGACAACCCGGAGGGGGCGGTTTTGGATATGGTGCAACACCTCCACCCCCTGGGATAAGCCCAGATTTGTGGCAATGGTTTCAGGTAAATAATATTTTAGTTGATAATATATTTTAAAAAATCAGTTAATACCATGTGTGATGGGTGAGAAGTTATTTTTATTTATTTATTTATTTATTGTATGAGAAAATGAAAACTTTGGGCTATTGACAAGTAACATCCTCTTGCTAGTTTCTGTCCATTCTATCAGACAGATTTTCAGAAAAAAAAAGGCTAAAACCTGACTGCTGAGAGATCTTGTTTTGTGAAACTTTTGGCAGAAGTAAGACGCCATTGCTTGCTGCATATTCTACATTTTTTACCATTGAGGCCCTGTAAATTAAACAAGAAAGTAAATTTCACTACACAAACTCATTCTTATTTGTAACATGCAGTAGCTTTGCAGACAGCTGGCAATGAGCTAGTGCAGTAAGTGAATGGCTCGATGGTTATCAACCTTTTTTATCTTCTGTACATTGTGTGGCACAATGTCACAAGATATGTCTTATATTTATGCTACATAAGGAAAATTTGATTGATTCTATGTTTACTGATTAAAAAAAATCCCTGCATACCTTACGTCTTTCTGGTTACAGGCCTGTCTGTATAGGCTGATCATTTTTAATAAAAAGCTCATATTTTTATTTTCATTACGCAGGCTGTTGATCAGGATCGATCAGGCCAGATCACGGCAAGTGAATTGCAATCAGCTTTGGTGAATGGAAACTGGACACCATTCAATAAAGAAACATGCAGGCTGATGATTGGAATGTTTGACAAAGATAGGTCTGTTTGTTATGTAAAATTTTCCTTGAATTTCAGAACAAATAAATGTGAGTTTTTAAAAGGATGGATCTAGGAAATAAAATGGCAGAAATGAAATGCCATCTAAAGATATATTTGATACAGTTAAGAATTCTGTGCTACCGATATGTTCATTTGGTGAGAAGAAGGACACAAAGATGTGGAAAAAGAAAATCTTTGTGAGTTGTATGTCACAGTGCAAAGAATTTTTTTCTGTCTCTTGACTCTGGCTTGCTGCAAGGTACACTTTTTGATCACAAAAATTGAATCTTAAATGTGCCTTGGTGCAACTTAAATATAGAAGAATGCCTATTTTCTGATATTTTGCCAGTGTATATGATCTGCTTTGTAAATGATTATTTACCATGTGTAGTAAATTGATACACTTGGTAATGGTATGTGTTATATTTTATTTTTAGATTATCATTCTTGTATATTTTATATCATTAACAGAAGTGGGACAATAGGTGTTCAAGAATTTGCAGCCCTCTGGAAATACATACAAGACTGGAAAAGCTGTTTTGATGGGTAAGCTTTTCATATGTTATTTAGAAAGTTTACATGCTATTTAAAATTTACACATCATTAGGGTTTGTATGTATTAATCCGACAAAATACATTTAAACCTTAGAAAGTTGTAATTAAAAAGTTACATGTAATGGTATTTGTTGCATGTAGTTTTTAAAAATATACATATATTTTTTTTTAAGTTTTGATGCAGACAGATCAGGGAACATTGATGCCAATGAACTCAATAATGCATTCCGTACCTTTGGGTATAATTTGTAAGTACTTGTACATGTCTTTAATTCAAGCCTTCAGTTGATACTGATGTTTACTCCAAATAATTAAAATCTGTTTTTTTAATGAGGACTGAACTTTGAAATTATATCTTTTAAGACACCAATCTCTTTTTAAATTTTTTTTTCTGAACTGAGAGGAATGTAACATGCTTCTTCTTTCTTATTAAATAACACCATACTAGTATTGTAGAGCCAAATTTGCTATATTTTTTTAATAAGCCTGTTAAAATGTCTATTATTTTATGAATAAAAGAATAGATACAGTACTTCAGAAGGCTTATACTTTCCACATTACCATGTGGCACTTCTGTTTTAGATCCCCACAGTTTTGTCAGTTGGTAACTCGTGTCTTTGATCGCAGTGGTAGAGGAGTTATGAAATTTGACGACTTCATTCAAGCATGTGTGATGCTTAAGTCATTAACTGACAAATTTCGAATGAAGGACACATCCCAGCAAGGAGTTATAAGAATACACTATGAAGAGGTTAGCATATTTTACATCATGTTCAGACCCAGTAATGCCTGTGCATAGCCCATCTGATTCTGCCCATTTCCCCACAATAACTACAAAACAATGTTACCGTTTTGCTTCAAACTCACATGCATTGCACACCCATTGCTCTAAAAAGCCTGTCAGTTTTGAAACTGGGTGTGATATGATGATCTTTTAAATTCGATTTTTTACCTATTTTGCCTCATGGAGACCATTTCATCCAAGTGGTAACTCTAACTTTAAAGCTGAAACCTGATGGGGCTACCCTCTGATATCAGGGGTTTCTGAATTAGTACACAAACTCTAAGTATGAGCCATACAACAATTATGTAACAAAGATCTAGTGCATCCTGTAGACAGAATGTGTTATAGGGCTACTTTTACCAGTAGGCCTAAATTGGAGGTCAAGTCCAAAAGTGGGCATTTTGTAGCACAAAATTAGTAAATAATTAAAAGGAAGTATGTGTTTGCACTGTCTTCATTAATTTTGAACTTGATACACTGTGGATCTCTGAGTAAATAAATTGTCTTTTACATCAGAAAAAATTATTATGAATATTGTGAATGTCCCATAAAAACTCTGTATTTAAATGTGATTTTGAAATTTTGTCTTTTGTATATTGTGTATTATTAAATTATAATTTTTTTTAGATTTTGATAATTGTATTTAATTCCATATCTCTTTTACAGTTTTTGGAGATGGTGCTTGATAACACCTTGAATAGAATCAGTTGAAATTAACCTGTTATCACAGACAAAGAGAAGGGTGACAAAAATGGATATGATCTGTGCTCTTCATGGAAATGAGACTGACATTGGTTTATGATTACAACAAAATGTGATATTTAACAAAGCAAATAATTTCAAATGTAAACTTGACCCAATATTCAGATGAGCACATGTTGCCACAGAATCTGGAAAATCATTATTTGATTCTAGGATCCAACATGTTGGGTCCCAGTTTGGTTTCATCAGTAAGTATGAATTTGACCAGATCATGCTGTTAAGAATTTGTCACTGTAAATGTATAAGAAGTTTTAATGGTTGTAATTGATGTAATTAGAAAAATAATGATAACCATTGTGTTTGTAAGTACATTTTATAATACATGGAGATTTAATACATGTATATACCGGGTATGCTATTGATGTACAGTACCAGTATTTTCTTGAATATTTTTCATTATGGAGATTTTGGATAAATGTGATTTATTAAACAAGGTTTTGTTTCTTCTTTCTTAAAGAAAATTAATTTTTTTATTAAAAAGGCTGTATACAGAAATTTTGCATAAAATTTATGATTTATGGATTTGCTTGGGGTCTAAAACAATTCTTAAATTGTGACAGCTGAGCGTGGGCTCATCCTGTGGGTGTTCTGACTGATACTCCGAAATGCGATCTGACACACACCTTGAAAACGGGTAGTGTGGTCCGATATACCGGTTAATTCAGGATCCTTATGTGCCGAGTCTGGTAGTTGGGTAGGCCTGAATACTACCCCAGTACTTGCATGTCTATAACTCTGTTGAGCTTCAAGTTCAAAATTATTAAATTTAAGTACCATTTCACAACCACATTTCCTTCACTTGGCTGGAGTAACTTAATACTTATTCACAAACCTTCATTTTGATATGAATGCAGATTTAGGAGCAAATGGTAGTCGAGTTCATCTCTTAAAAGGATGCATTGCAGGGACTCGTACGTGTGCTAAAATTGAGCAGATCAAGACATTGGCAATCCAGGGTTTAAGCAGTTTGTGTTAAATAAGGTGATTTTAATTTTTTTTTATCTATCTCAAAATTTAAGAACCATTTTACGTTATGTGTTTTGCAAATAAAAAATGCACCCTTTCTTTAAACCTCGACTTTGACCTACTCCTGGATTTGGCCTCTCTTGCACAACGAATTATCGATGAATATTGTTTTCACTTAGTACCAAACGATTTTCAGCACAAGAAGTGTGTACGCATCTTGTTATATCTGCTTACTATACTTGGTTATGATGGATACAGTACGTGCCCAGAATCTATTTGATAATCTATGAAAGTTGCATCATCATGTTGGCATTGGAGTCGATATAGGAGATCATCAAATCGACATTTAAGAAATATGATTCTTGTCTTCAGTGTTGTTCCGTCCACGCACTGATTACTGGTTATAATTATGATACTTAGAACACTCTCGTATATCTGGAAAACTATGCTTAGGAGTAAATATACCGATGCGCTGTGGAATTTTCTGGTTCGTGCGGGTTTAGTAGCCCTCCCCAAGCCAAGAATATTGTTACAAAATGATCACTTTGTAGTGATTGACAAAGACCCAGATGTAAGGATAAATTCGGACGATCCAAACATGGCTGTCACAGTTGAAAATCAGCTTCGCTTATTATACCCTGACAAAGCGGACGCACGGATAAAGCATGGTTACAGGTAGTCAAGTTTATAAAAGAACTACAAGTGTAACATTAAATGTTTTAATTATTTGTTATGATAATTAACTTAAAGGGATAATAACTCTTCGTATGAGATCTATATTTCACAATAAAAACATTGTTAAAAACTCATAGAAATATAATATATTCTGTTGTACCACAAAAAAGGCAGTTATAGCTATTATTCTGATATCTGAGCTTGTCCTCAATTGATGGCTAAACTCTGCTATAATCTCTTAAGAGATTATAACAATAAAACAAACTTTTTAGGAAAAAAAACAGGGACTAACTTTGAATGTTTAAATGGATTCATTAACCATAGGTGAGTATGAGAAAATTGTTTACTTCAGGAAAATTAATTTTTTGGCCAAAACGAAGAGTTAGTATCCCTTTAATTGTACACTTATATATCTCAGTTGTACTCCGTTCACGTACTGTTTATATGGGGTCATCAATTTATGTTTCTGCATCAACCCAAGTTGTAGAGTTACTTCCCTGCATCATTACCCTGCCTTGCAAATATTTTATCCTACTTATCCAATACCAACCCTACCCACTCTGATATGCCCACACAATATGGAATTCTAAACTTCATTTTTACCATTAGTTGTGTATTGATTTCTTTAAAAATAAGCTACTGTAAAATAAATATCTTGTTCAATTTACTCTTTTTCCAGGTTTATTCATCGTCTGGATTTTGCTACCAGTGGAGTCTTGTGTTTAGCATTCAATAAAAAAGCTTGTAATGAGGCCAGTCAGCAATTTAAGAATACGAAAGTGACCAAACACTATCTTGCTTTGGTACGTCTAAAAAAACATGTTGATCCTACTTACAGTGAACCATTTTGAATTCGTATTGAATATAAAGGTATACTATACATTGTATACAGCTATTAAAAATGTCCTGAGGTCATATTTTCTGTCCTTTTATATCCTGTGATATACCCTACTTTCCCAATTCAGGCCTTTCAAATGTTGAAACCCCTAAATTGAAGTACCTGATGTTGATATTTCCTTCTGAAGTGTTCAGGAAGACACAGCCATCAAAGTGGCTTGCCAGTTTGGCAGTCATTTAGCCACATATTTAATTAAAATGTATAAGGCATCAGATTCAAGAGCACAGTTTGATGTTTAAGAAATAACTAATTTATTCAGCAGATTTATACCATCAAAAATTGTGTATGAACTATTTTTAAAGGGAAATAATATATTCCATTTTATCTCTGGATTTCCTTTGGTGAACACCAAATGCTTAATTGCTTTCATCTGAACAAGTTCTGTTCTCAATACAGATTCTCTTATCAATTGAGAATTTGCTATGCTTAATCATTAAGCCATCGCCTGCAGTATGTACATGTTCCACAGCAATGCAAGCATTTGAAAACACAGTTGGGCTTTAACCAATGATATTAACATAATTATAATTTAAAAGAATCATCTGAATCATCTTTTTTATGCTGCTAGGTTCGTGGCCACATTCAAATCCCCTATCTCACCATCAATCTTGCAATTGGCAAGGAGACTGCTCCAAGCATGGAGCATATGTGCTGTGCATCAACCTCTGCAACATGTATCAATCCGAAGCAAGCTAAGACTCATCTAGTGCTTTTAGAGTTAGGCCTGTATCAGAATTCTCCTGCATCAAAGGTGCTGTTAATACCAGAGACAGGTAAACTATTCAGAAAACTGTCTGTAAAATGTCAACTTTTTATTTCAGGCGTTCTTTCCTATATTTTGCAAGTTGAGTTGAATGTTTTAAAAGTTCAGTTGAAAGGCTTCTCTTTCTGTTAATTGAAATTTTAATTTACAAAAGTTAAACTTTTTTGTTTGATACAGTCTAATTTTTAATTGTCTCATGTCAACTTTTTAAAACGGCCTAAGCATAATATCAAAATCTATAATGGGTAACTTGTGGATTGAATAAAGCAATGCCACTACAATAAGGGTCCATACCCACAGATATTTGGATTGATCTATCTCCCTGGGGAGTCTCACTAAATTGCTATCAAACTTATCGACTTAAACATTTGACACGTCTGGTAAAACTGTTAGGGGGTAATTATCTTTACCCCTAGCTGATTCAGTAGGCGTGACAGACATTTAAGCCTCTTGAGCAGATAGCAATTTAGCGTGAACCCCCAGGGAGTTAGGTCGATCCAGATGGATCGATCTAAGTATGGGAACCCAGTCTCAAATATGCCTTATAAACTAAGCATTATGTCACATATCCTACTCCATGACTACATAAATATTTTGTGTTTGATTCAATCTTACAATTTAATTTCAAGGTAGACAACATCAGCTCAGAGTCCACTGTATGTCTGTTGGTCATCCCATAGTTGGGGATTACACATACAGTTTCAGAACAGACAACAAACCATATCGTATGATGCTGCATGCGTACAGGCTGATCATTCCTCTACAAAGTGGAGACATAGATGTCACAGCTCCAGATCCATTTTTAACAGAGACTGATGGTCATTGGAGATCCACTGATATTTTGTTGACTTATTCAGACTTCATTAAGACTTAAAATTGTCTATATTACAAATGTTAATCATACCAAGTACATTTAATAATAATAATATTTAATAAATGTTAATATTGCAGATATTTGATATTTTGTATTTCCTTTAACTAGATAATAAGACATCTTGGACATTTGAAGCTTAAAAAATACATACATGGAAAGTTGTCTAACAAACACTTCCTTCAAAAATTCTGACATGGCAATGGCAGAACAAAGACATTTTAAGGCACCAGACCTATGCTCTTGACAATTTTCACTTTCTGTACACAAGGTGAGGTCAGATTTTACACATTAAATCAATGCTTTATAAATCACAAAACTATATATTAAAGTATATCAAAAAGAACAGTTCTATCACATTTGATGGCCATAACCTCTACCCAATGCAAGTCCATCTGTGTAAACACGGTATTTGTCATATCAATATCAATGTAAATTTGTTGCACCTGGTACATGTATATCTATCCTTAGCTGTCTTCATGTAAAGCCAATGCCTTATTGTTAAATTGTGTATATAAAAATAAATGTAAAATGTGTGTATAAGGTACAACATAGAGAACAGTTCAGTCAATCACTGAGCCATAGCAATCTCTACCCAATACACTTCCTCATCTGTGCATAATTCGCCATCATATTTGTCCATGACTATCTTAATGTAAACTTTGGCACCTGGTTCCACTACTCTCCACTTGTCTTCATCCAATCCATTAATACTGTTAATGGCATTGTTTATTCTGTCAATGAAATTTTTGCAGTCTTCATCATCTCTGTACTTTGGTGGGATATTTGCTGGATGGATTGGTTTTCCCTTATATTTTTCCTTACAAAATGTAATGGTATAACGCCTATCTGGAATGTGTTCAACCTGAAAAAGTCAAACATTAGGGTGATCATACACGAGACCTAAACAATTCCTTTTTCACTGATATTCCAAGTAATGGTATTGGTACTTCTGCTCTGTAATTTCTGCTCTGTAAATGAGTACATGGAATCACCAAGTAAAGACAAATATGTTACAAAACCCCATAGAGGCATCAGGGTAAAACTGCACCAAAATGTCATCTCAGAATACAAAACAAAAGTAACATGCAAAACACGAGCACAGGATTCCAGTGATTGCGCATGTACAAAAAGTAAGCTGTTTGAAATGGACAAATGTTGAAATTGACAAAGCCTGTCCGAGTCTACTGTCTGGTTGATTTGATTTGCCTTCTGGTGTCGTTTTGAGAAAGTATATTGGAAATGTTCTGTTGATTGTATGTATGAAAAGGTAAATCCATCTGACTTTGCCTAGAATTACACTTATTTTGCCTGCATTTTGGGGGGGTTTCCATCCCTCTCCCAATCTTGATAAATAAAATGGTTCATTTGGCAGATTAAAAATGATATTGCAAAATGCATTTTAAATTGTAGGAAGGTCAATTGCAGGTAATGCTGCGAGGATGTTTTTATTTGGGGCCAAATTGGCCAATATAAAATTTTAAACTTCTACTTTTGTGTTTTGAGTGCCAGCTCGAATTTTTCAAAAGCGAGGCATTCATACCAAACACTGTGATACAATTTACCTTGTAAAAATTTATTGTTTTTTAATGAACACCAAAAGACTTCTCATTTCTGATTGGAATCTTTAATAAATACAAAATATATGATATAATAAGCTCTAATGTGAGGCATATTTATTAGCTTAATTGATATTTTGTAGAATTTAGAGTCTAAAAATGCCAAAGATCGTCTTGTGACCTGGTTATATGTTTTTCCTGTGCTCAAAACGAAAAATATTCTTGAATAAATTCTGTCAGCTTATATTTGGTGCGACACTGCACTCACTTTTCTTTCTTTCCTACTTCACTTCCAACTCCAAATCCCAACACAAATTCTCACTTGATTTTATGTTAAGTCAAGAGACTAGACTATATAAAATGATTTCAATTGAGTCAGAAATCAATTCATATGGATTGTTAAAGATTTTTTCAAATAGCTCAGAAAATTTCTGGTAAGACTGGGTGATGACATAACTACTGGATTACAGACTAACTTGGATTTGAACTATCACAATTTCTTTGAATACTCTTTTTATCTGAGCTCGGGCAGTAATCCTTACCTCAAGAACTAAGGGTTCATTTGTTTTGGTTTCTGTAAGATGATCAAGCAAATCCATCAGCTTATTTCCTGCAATGTCGATAAGCAACACTGGCCCTGACTGAAGCTTGATGTTCTTTGTCAAGAAACAGTTCAAGGGAAAGTTGCGGTACAAGGACTGCTGAAGTTCTTCATCACTGTCAATCTCACAATTTAGTACTTCATCCATCAAACTCAGATGCTCTCCTGATATCCTGGCAGGGAAATAGCCTGCAAGAAGAAAAAATTGTTTTACTTAAATTCATTTGACAGCAGTTATAGAGGTTAATTTTTAATTAATGTTTTCTTAATCAATGCCACGAGTTACAATACACTAAACATGACCCTCATTTTACATTTTCATGCAATATGAAGAGACACATAACAAACTCTCAGCTATAAACAAATCTCTTAATCATCACTGTTATCATATATCAATATTCTATATACTCAGAAGCAATGCAACTGAACTGATAACAAACCCTTTTCTTTAACTTGTTCAGCTATATAATCTTTGAAGGCTGACAGCTCATCACCATCTCCTTGAGGTTCATCTTTCAGTTTCAAAACCAAATTTCCTTTGGGAGTAAAAACTAATGCCTTCTGGTTCAAGTCCTCCTTGTTGTAATAAGCAATTTTCATTGGGCGTCTCCAAGTGGAAAATATTTCTGGTTGTTGGATACAATTATTTAATTCCTTTTTGACATGCTCATATACGTAACTATGTAGGATTGTAAAAGAGATGTATCCTATTACTGATGCTTCTCTTTGCATTTTTTCACACAAGCTACATGTGTTATTACTATCCGGAAGGCCACATTCTTGACCACTTTTCAGTCCATTCACCATGTGTTTTGTGAAGATACTTAGTCCATCACAGCTTGCACGAGATGTCTGATGCTCTGCACAGGACCACCATTGGTAAGAACAACGGTTGTCAGAATCAGAAGGTTCGCCTTTTACAATATATCTATGATGAGGATTGATGGCTGCACCATTACTAGGGGATGCACTATCTGAATCAGTTTCTAAATTCTTGGCTTCCAGTGGCGACTCTATAGTGGCTTTAGCTCTCCTATAAAGTGTTTCTCCAGCAACATTTATAGGACCAATATGACAGCTCTCTGGACTTGACTGCACATCTGGGAGTCCCATATCGATGACACTCATTTTATTAACCACTTTGCCGTCTGCCTCTAGACTATCACTTTGGCTGACGTCTGTTATGGTCTGAGCAGAACCCATTGTTCCCTTTTCAATATGCCTATTAGAAGCTGCAAAACAGCAATCCAATATAACCAGTTTCTCTGAAGCAGACACGCCCCCTAGCATAGTCTGAAGTTCACTCTTAGTAATATCAAAAGCCTTATTTCCTGGTAGCGGTTGTAAACCACTTTGAGTGCCATGTCCTGAATAATAGAATACAAATGTGACTTCTGGAAGCCCTGACGTTTTATCCTTTATTGTATTTAGATGTTCTTCTATTTCCTGCTTTACCTCTTTACTGTCTTTGTCACACAAAACTGTATACACTTGGTTCTCCCTGTTGAAAAAGAAATTTTAAACATAGTCAACTAGAAAGTAAAAATGTACACATGAGATATGCTATTAATAGTTGATCAAGTAGCAATCAACCTACATATTATATTTTGTCATTCATATCTTATAACTTTTTTATAAAAACAGTTGGATATTATGAAATAATTCAGAAAAGCCAGAAAACAAAGCACAGCCAGATACTTAGTAGTACATGTATTTAAGGATTGAAAAACCTGCAAATTCAAACAATGAACTCATTGTGTCTTTCACCTGAGAATATATCAAATCTCTACCCTTAATAAAAAAAGATTTGTTTTGATCATCAATTTCAATTTAATCATCTAATAGGCATTTTGACTTATAAAGACAAATTTAGCAAATATATTACTAAAGTGACCACGGAAGCCAACTTTACCTAGTATATACATACCTGAAACCCATAATGTTGGGATTGATGACAACTTTTTTGAATTCTAAGACATCTCTTTGAAAGATGTCAGGATTGTCTTCGTCAAGCCCACCAACCAGTATGGCATAACTGCTATCATGACCTTAAATATGGTAATTAAAAAGTTTCATTTAAGCAGATAATTGATGGGGGAAAAGCACTACAGTTTATTTATTTTTTCTAAAACCCAACTACAAATGTCCTTATATGGTACTACATAATATTTTAAAGAGACTAAGCATATGTAAGATTTCAAACAAACAGCATTTTTTGTTTAACTTACCTTTGGCCAATTTATAATTATCAACATGTTTAAACAGATAAATGCCACAAATTATGTCACTAAATATAATTTATCATCACCAGAAGAATATGTCAACCATCTTAACAGTTTTGGATTGTTCTCAGTTGTCAGTTCTCAAAGGTATGGAGGTATTTCAAAACCCACCCTTTAGCATGGGTTTAAGACTGTCATTTTCCTAGAAAATTACAGAGTTCACTGTGCATGTTTAACTAAACAGCATTTACAGTGAGCATGGCTATTTCACTACAAACGATTATAGTTCAAATACAAATTGCCAATATCAAGCCTTATGTAGTCTCTAGGATGGTGGCATTCTTTAACAGAATGGTGCTGCAAACTAGATAATTGTTTTCAATCTGGATGAGGCAACATTCCAAGACATTATGGGCACGTAAAACATTTTGACAGTCTGCCTTAATTACTATACCCTGTTATAATCCCTATCACAACATTGAGGTCTTTGAGTGCATTCAGTACAAGTTAATCCGCAGACTAAATATGCCTGACCCACTTGAAAGTGATACCACTAATCCCCAAGTGGTCTCCCTGCCTCCACACACCATCGCTGCACAGGCCTAGCAATTAAACCTCAGAACCAAGTTTTTATCCGTTTAATGGCACATGTGGAAGCAGGGAGACCATCAGGGAATTAAGCAGCTTGCTTTTAAGTGGGGTTGGCCGTATTTGTGGGTGGATCAGTAAGTCCACAGATCAGCTGTTCTGAATGTGCTGTATCTAATCCTGAAAGATCGTTTTGGATTAAGTTGGAGGAGATATGTTCATGGTAGAAGTCAGGATGTATCATACCAGAAAGATGTAGAGAACAGTATGCAAGTGTGCAGAAGAAGTTTAATAAATTGACTTTTAAAGAGATTACAAAAGAAATTATTATTAATTTTGTAACTGAATGCGACTTGTTTCTAAGAAAGTGTACAGTGATGTGAGGATCATCGTGGGTTGGTAAAATGACCATATTTCTATAAACTTCCGGTTGTAACAATACATTCTGTTATATGAATTTCATATTCTGCAAACTCAATTCTGAAATTTGTTTGACATAAACCAATCCTCACCAATTGGTGGCTGTGAAAGGCCATGGGTTGGGCAGTATAGAGGATTGCGATAGTGATCCATAAGGCAACCTTGACAAAACAGCCTGCATTTTTCTTCTTTTCCTGGTCCAGTGCAACCAATTCTTGGATGCAAATCCAGAGCTAAAACAAAATCAGCACTACCATTAATGTCATACTCATCATCATACTTTCTTGTAACACTCAACACCATAGACAAAGACAGGCCTTGTGGTACAAGAAAACTTATCTGTAAATAAAATATATGGAATTTTTAAGGAATTTAGTCATGCAAATTTAGATTTCAATACTCATTACTAAAACTAAAGCACCTGAAAAAATGGCACCATATAAAATAATCTACCATTTTGAATTGAAAGGATGTTACTAAATAAATTTAAAGAAAAAAAGTCAGCACAAGTGGGTTGTAGAATAATATCCAAAAATGACTTCTTTCCATGGATGTACTGAAACAGATGTCTTTCGAAATGATCTTATTTCTGAAGCCAACTTATCATTATATCAATATTTATACCTTTTTGTGCTGCATTTCAAATACATAAGACCATCTTGCAGGACAGTTAATAAAAACTTGACAATTAATATAACATGTCTACAGACAGAGGACTAGACCACAAAACTTGCAAATGTACAGACAACATACAGAAAAAAGTACATGTTTTAGCCAATTTTGATGCACTGCTACATAACGCTTTAAAACAGCAAAATCACCCTTACCCTCTCACATTACAAGCTACAGGTAATATGGACATTAAAAAAATAGCAAGTGATTCAGTTCCATGGGATATAAAAGCCACTGAAATGTGTGGGGAAAAAAAACAATAATTTACGTTAATGTTAACCAATGTTAACCAATCATACTGATTTTCAAAGGCAACCTGTCTCTTTACCAAAACAAAGCAGGTAATTTAAAGTAAAACAAAATGATTTGGTATCTATGGGGAGAACGTCATCAAAATTGTGCCAAAAAAACAGAATTACTGTAAATGTAGACCAATCATGCCGATTTTCAAAAGCAACCTGCCTCTTTACCAAACAAAGGCACTCAGTAAAAAAAAAAAAAAAAAAAAAAAAAAAAAAAAAAAAAAAAAAAAAAAAAAAAAAAAAAAAAAATAAAAAAAAAAAAAAAAAAAAAAAAAAAA